CCGGGAAAGTGTTTTTTGGGAAAGTTCCCGGGAACATTCCCAGGAACGTTCCCTAAAATTGGGAATGTGAAGGAATGTTTGCGAAATAAAAAATATTTATACCTATGTCTTTGTACTCTTGACTCTTGAGATCAGTGAAAAATCTTAAACATTACTACATTACAGTGGCGTATCCAGGGGGGGCAAAGGGGGCAATTGCCCCCCCCCCAGAGCAGCAACCTTTTATTTCTTAAAAATATCTCAAATAACAAAAAATAATATTTTCTACTCGCGTGCGCAAAGTAATTACTTTGCACACTCATTTGCATGCGCAAAGTTGCGTTTCTGGATAAACTAATATTCAAAAAGAAGGGCTTGATGTTATTTTTGTTCCAAGAAAGGTTTTCAGGTAATGTTTAGCATTTTTAATTTGAAATTTTTCGTATGAGGAGCGAGGGGAGGAAAAATCCAGCAAAAACAGTTAGGTGTGAGGTGTGAGGTCAAGTGACCATTGGCGTGGGCAGCCACCCACTCATATTCCTCCTGACTAGTCCTGACTTATTTGTTTTTTAAATTGTTGTTTTTCAAATTAAGAAATGTTAGGATTAAATTTTATAGATACATTTTTGGAATTTTCATATGTATAATAAATAGGTAGTGATTTTTTTACACTATTTCACTATTTTTCATTGCATTTTTGACGTGTGTAAGTTCTGAGTATAATAACATTCCTTTGGAGTATCAGATCATTAAAGTTGGACAGTAAGTTATACTCCTCCATATACTTCCCAACCCAATGGTGTCGCGGAAAGAATAAATCAGACACCAATGGACAAAGCAAGATCTATAATAATGAAATAATGCAAGCAAAAATGGACAGGATATTTTGGGAAGATGCTGTACTTGCTATGTAAAACTAATTCAAAAAGTCACATGAAAAAATAATCATCCTGGTATAATAAGTTTAGTCTCAAAATTAGGCAGGAAAAACAAATTCTAAGTAAACCTCGCTAGCACAACCACTGTTGCAAATAAAGTCAAAGTGATCACTGAAAAAAAAACACATTTAAGGCCGCGTTAATGGCCGCCATGTTTAAACTGTGATTGGTTGATTTTTCGAAACTTGTTTTAAGGTCTTTAAAAAAACGGCACATCAGAATTGGCTCAAATTTGGCATAAACATTATTTGATCGATTATCTACAATTCCTTATTTTGGTTTTTCGATATTCAGCCTTTTTTTTTAAATTCAAAAATCATGTTCGCAACCAACAAAACAATTAAATGTGTTGGTGGTTGCATATTTCCATGTTTATCAAGCTTGGATCCGTGAAAAGCATATTTTATTGATAACCACGAAAAACTAAAAAAAGCTAATTATAGAGATTGTAAATAATATATCAAATAATGTTTATGCCAAAGGATTTTGGAAATTATTGCGGATTTTTTGAGATGACCTTAAAACGAATTTTGAAGGTGTAAACAGTTCAAGCAATTTCAAGTAGATGGCGTCCCGGCAAAAAAGCTACATTGGGACCATCATAATTGTATATTTGTCTTTCTCTGTCACTAAGCGTTTCACCGACAAAGAGATTTTGTTTTGGACAAAAAATCAAAAATTGAACCGTATGTGTAGAGTGACGCAGTCATCATTTTCAAAAACTAAATTTAAACATGGCGGCCATTAACGCGGCCTTAACTAAGAGCGAAAATTACCAGTTTTGAGCATCCGGAAACATTTAAAGAAGATTAGGTACCCACAGCTCCTTTGGATGCTATGCAAATCTTCAAATACTCGTAGAAAAAGTATTGTTTTTAACACTTGCGCAAAGCGTCTTTCCCGCACTCAAAGCTTATTTTTGCGCACTTGCGAATATGCCATCAAGATGTGTGTGTGTATGATTTTAACGACTTTCGGGCATGGCACCTCAAAAAAAATTCCGCCTCCGGCGGACATCGGGTGTGCCCCCCCAGAGCCTCAGGCTGGATACACCACTGCTACATTACTACTGTGTACTGCAATATTGCACATTGTAACTATATTATTAAATATAACATATTGGGTGGTATGAATAAAAACAAAGTACTTGCTACTACTACAAGCAGTAGTATATTCTACGAAGTATTTACTTCAAAAAGAAGTATTTACTTATTTCCGGTAGTTTTGAAATGTAGTATCTACTTCGTTTTATAGTAAACACTAAGGATAATCTACTAATACCTGTAGTAGTAGCAAATACTTCGTTTTTATTCATACCACCCATCAAGTTATAAAAAAATAAAAACTACATTTTATCTTTTACCGAGGGGTCAACCACTTCCCAAAATACGTGTACAATTGGCCCGAATTACCTCCGAAATACTTCGAAGTAGCTAGAAATACCGTGAAGTACGTCGAAATACCAGGTATTCCCGTCGAAGTACGAGAAATCCCATGGAATTACCGTCGAACTACCCGAAATACCCTCAAATTACCGCAATACTAAAAAAATTCTCGTTTATAACGATTCTTCTTGTGGATCACAGTGAAGAATTTTTGCTTGGATTTTTGTATCTTTTGATATGATGGATTATATTCGGACACACAAACAACAATTAAATCAATAGTTGCAGGAATAAGAATAAAACATTAACATAAGATAAAAATAGCTATCGGAATATCAGATATTTTCAACGGAATGAGAAGTGTGACTTCTCCAAAAATCATACAAAAAACCGCTCATCCATGGTGTAACTCGTTGGTTTTTGGTTCAAATGATTTTTTAGTATCATTTTTGAGTTCTCCAGAAAAAAAAATTTCCAACTGGCTATTTTCAATGTTCTCAAAAATACAGGGAAAGTCAAAAATAATCCCCTGTTAACCCCTGTTCAGTCCTCGTTGGATGACCGATGATCTTGTACTCTTAACAACTAAAGGGTCATTTACATCCACTTAACCTAACTTAACGTAAGGAAAATTATAATTAACGTACGAAACTGATAATTTACCCGATAATTTACAGACTAGTGCAATCTGTGTGTCATTCAGAATTATTATTGAAATTAACGTACGGATTTCCTCAAGTTGAAGTTGATTCAGTTTTCCGTGTGGTACGTTAATTTTCTTAATTTTTAAGTGGATGTAAACAACTACAGATAAATATACATGATCATCAACTTTTCTTTATTATTAATTTTCTGTATGTTAAGTTTAGTGGATGTAAATGACACTTTACTAATACTGATTACTGATACATATCAGGTAGTATATCTTTCCATTTGTTTCAATTAATCTGCAGTAAATCCAAATTATGTAAGCATATTTAGGCCTCGATTTAGCCTGTTCGAAGATGGACTATAATTTTCATTCTATAATATTTCAATTTTGGGTGATAAAGAATTAATTATTCTCGGTGCATAAAAAAAATACTAATAATTTTATATAGCGCGAAATAACTCGGCTTACCGCGAAATACTTCCGAATTACCTCGAAATACTTCGAATTACCTCGAAATACTTAGAATTATCTGCAAATATTTCTTAATACTCGGCAATACCACAAAAAACTAGGTTCCAATTACCACCACCGAAATACTTTGAATTTCGCGAAATACTTGCGAAATACCGACATTTTCGCAATACGTGTACACATTTGTACAGAGTGGTTGACCCCTCGTCTTTTACCTAGTAGTAAAAAAAACTGAATATTTTAACCCTGAAAAAAACTGAATATTGTATTGTAATATTGTACTAAACCCTGAAAATCTCGAAGTGCTAACAAAAAAAAGACAACTTGTTAATTGTTGGGCTTTTTGGTGTAGTAGGTTATTAGACTATAAAATATCATTCAATTTTGTTTTTTCAAAAACATTCCCAGTTTTTGTTTACTTTCCCAACCTTAAAGGAAAGTTCCCGGAACGTTCCCTGGGAATGGGAAAGTTCCCTAGGGAACGTTCCCTTCGGCACATCTATAGACCAGACTCTCCAAGATCAGTTGCCTGCCTGATCCAAAATATCCCAAACTTTGTCAGGCAAATTTTGCAAATAATTTTATAGGCAGACCATCATTCCCAAAGCTTTCTTTATTTTTAATACCTGAGGGTAGTAGGAAAAGAGTAAAACGAATTATTGATCCCTGCATTATTTGAAAGAAAGCTAAGTGGATCAGTGTGTTGAATAATATTTTTGGTCAGGTTTTCCGCCATAGAACAGTAATATTTGTTTTGTTGACTGAGTCAAGAGACATGTCGCTATCATTGATGCTTGGGAAAGAATGGCTTTTCTCACCAATATTGTTTATAATCGACCAACTTTCCCTTTGTTTGTTGGATGCATTTGAAGACAATTGGAGTAATGTAAATCTTTGGTTAACTTTATAAGTTTTCCTCGAAGTTTTCTGTAGATTGACCAGTAGTTGTTGAAATATAATATAGTGAATATTTCCAAGATTCTTAGAGAATATCGAGGAGAATATGTTAAGTCCTCTGGTAAACCCTCGGGTAAACCAGAGTTTTTTTTATATCAAATCATCACAGAAGATTGTCCTGTTTGTAGAGGTGACCTCTTTTGAAATACCTGGATTCCTAATTAGAATAGTTACCTTATTATGTAGGAGGGTATTTGCATTTTGTTCCATCTTTTTAATATATTTTGTCTGCTTTTATGAAAAGGATATGAGGCACAATTTGGACACTCTACATTGTTCCTTATAAATATTGCGATAATTAAACGAACATTTTCAATGAAGTGGCAAACAATAGATATAGAAATTAATTATTCACAAGGGGTCTTTGCAGTGGCAAAGTTTATTGGACCCAATTCTGTACGTATCGAGGAAAAGCACAATTCTAAACTGATTGATTACTGACTCTCTAGACGCGTTTTTAGAGCATCCCACAGTACACAAAAATTAAATTTGGATTTCCAAAATAAAAAAGCATTTAAATGCAAAAAAATCATGAAAAAAAAACATGACATGATAGAGGTTTTAAATATTACAATAATCCAAAAACAGGCCTATATTTAAACTATTTTCTCTACTAACCTGACACAGGCCTAGGCCTGGTAACTGTCCCGCTATTTCCCACAGCCCCACTGTGACTTCGGGAAATTCCTATACAACCACCCATAGTTTTTCGGCAATTGTCCCGCGGCACATTTCACAACCGATCAACTTTGAAAAGTATTGAATAAAACTAAAAATTTCCATTTTTCATCCATGTCCATCAGTTCATTTGAAGAAAAACCTTGCGTATATGTGTGTATTGTGTGGTACAAATACGGAATGTGAACTTTACTTTTTAAAACAATAAACTGACATCTATTTGACATGTTTATGAGTCATTAGGGGAAATGGGAATTACCTAACGTCAGTTGCTGACAGTAATCAGCTGTTAATGGCGGCAAATTCAAATTGTTTACAAATTCTTATCAATAATTTACTCAAGAAAAAATTAAATAAGTAATTATTAAATACACATTATGTAAAAAAAGGTTATCGACTAAAGATTGCAGTAATCACTTACAATAATTGCCTAATCGAATGTGCTAATGATAATTTCTTTAACCTTAATTTTCAAAAAAATGTTAATAATGCAAAGGTAAAAGAAAAATCCTTATTGTTTTAGAATCTCCCATATCTCAACTATTTCATTTCAGTACTTTAAAACTAATACTCAATAGATCCTGTAAGGCTCAACATTGTAGAGCCCTGGGTCAATATTATAACCACAAAAATAACGATTACAGGGGACAGAATTTTAAAAACAAAAAAACACCCCTAGTTATTGGCACTGCTATTACAAGCCTTGTGGGATATTATCTATTTAGTAAGTTATTTCATATGTTGAAAGATATTATCATAATTTATTATAAATTCCAGTAAATAAAAATCAAAGACATGTATATGCGAAGGAAGCAAAGAAAGAGGAAACCAATGCCGGTGCTTATTGTAAAGGTTTACCTTCATATTCAATGTCTGAAGTTAATAAGCATACAACAAAGTAAGTAATAATATTTTATTTCCATTTACAAGCCTGGCATTATAAAAGCAACATTATCCAAAGTATTGAGTAATTGATCAGGATTACAATTATCTTCTAATTCTGGAATAAGCTGGGTCAGGCATAGTAATGGTCCTAATGCACATAGCAAAGAATCAAGTAAAACTGATAAGCTTCCAGATACAGCTATTTGTCCTTCGTGCTCTTTAAGACGTGCCCCTATAATTGCCAAGCTTTCTCCTAGTAATTTTAAATGAGCTGCCACATCGATTGGTTTAATGCCATTCACCTTGTAAACTTCTTTGCCTTTGGGGCTTTCTGGAGATGTATTTTCGTATGTAGTAATGCCTGGTTGAAAAGCTGCCAGTGGTCCAGAGGATGTTTTTGTTATGGTCATTCTTTTTGGACTTTTGCTGGTGTCTCTTAGTTTTGCCACATCTTTTCCTCTAGCTTTAAAAACTTTTCCATCTTTTATCATCAGTTGCTTCTTCTTGGACGAATCCAGCTTTTTGAAGCCACCTTCAGTATCATCGAAATCGCTTTCAGATTCAACAGAATCATCCATGCTTGATTCTGTTGTATTGTTAGCTGTTGGCTCGTACTCGCTCCCATATTCCGAATCACTGGGGCCTCCAGTATTGAAAAAATTGTCAGTTTTTGTGTAAATGTCCTCTAGTTTCTGGGTTTTTTTCACTGGTGACGGGATATCGGGTATTTCGGCCTTTTTCGCGGTAGGAGTTTTTTTCGAATGGGACCGTTCAATGTCGTCTCCTGGGGACTCGAAGTCCATTAATTTCGAGGATTTTTTTCTCACCCTGCCGCTTCTCGATACTCCTGTGACTTCGAGATCTTCGCTTTTCGGTTTTTTGCTTGGCGAAATGTCCATTGTTGGTTCGAAACGAAATGCCAATACTTCCAACAAATATTTTTAACTTGAATAAACAGTAGTTATACCTTTTTTTTATGAGAAAATAAAATTCAAATTACAAAAATCAAAAATGTAAATAAACAAACTCCCTTCTCCTAAACGAAAGAATTTTCGTTTAAGCTACAAACTACTACTCCCTCTCTCTATCTTTCTCTAACTAATACTGTTAAAAAAGGAACAAAAACAAGATACTGTTATAAAAAAGATAGCATTAAAAAATAAGAAACGTCGATTGGTTGTTGTGGGTAGAGAGAGATAGCTAGAGTGTAGGTAACATTGTAGCATATTGTATAATTATAGGTTTTAGTACTAAAGTAGCTACTTTATAATTTAGATTTTGGAAAACTTTGAACTATTATGGATAGAAGCTAAAATTTTCAGCTATTCTTATCCCACCAGAAAACTACAATCCCTGAAAATTTCAGCTCATTTAGACCAGAGCTGGGCAGGGCTTGAGTGCTTTGTGCTTGCGAAAGTGCTTGAAGCACTTTGAGGGCTTGAAAGCCCTGTGCTTCAAGCCCTTTTATAGATTTGTAATTGGGGCTTGCAAAGTCAATTACTTTAGAAAAGTGCTTGGTAATTTGTAATTGAAAAAAGTAATTCAAGCCCTTTCAATGAGCTTCAATTACTTTTAGAGGGCTTGAAGCACTTTTGGGAGCTTGAAGCCCTTTGAAAGGGCTTGAAGCCCTTTAAGAGGGCTTGAAGCACTTTTGGGAGCTTGAAGCACTTTGAAAGGGCTTGAAGCACTTTAAAAGGGCTTGAAGCACTTTAAAAGGGCTTGAAGCACTTTAAAAGGGCTTGAAGCACTTTGAAAGGAATTTGAATTGACCATCATTCAACCTCCCACTTAAAAATTTTCGATCGTGTTTTGTCCCTTAATTTTTTTTTCTTTTATTTGAACTTGAACCGTCTTATGTCTTTTATCTCTTAACAATGGAGGTTTTGGGTTCGAGCTTAGAATGGAATTTAAAAAAAAAATGAATGAACTTATTATTAAAATAAATAATTAATTTATATTGGTACCCTATTTAACTTTATCACTGGATTTTTTCCACTTTTCCCCATTGAACATTTTGAAAACCTTAAAATTGAAGTACCATGTAGTACCCCAACTACCCCAAGTACCCCAGAACTACATCTCAAAAAAAAACATACTACTGCTACTCTGTGAAATGTAAAGTTCGTCTCTACTATACCAATTCTGTGTGATGAGTTTACGCGGTAGCTTATGCCACTTTGAGAATTTTATTACAAATTCAAAGTGCTTTAGGCACATTTAAAGAGCTTCAAGTACATTTAAAGAGCTTGAAGCACATTTAAAGAGCTTGAAGCCCTTTTCAAGGCACCTCAAGCACTTTTGATGTGCTTCAAGCACTTTTCAAATCACTTTGAGGGCTTTGTGCTTGTCAAGCCCAAAGCACTTTGAGGGCTTTGTGCTTGTGAAGCACTTTTAAAAATAAAAAGGAATTTGCGCTTGAAATTGAAGTTATCAGGCAACCTACCTCTCTCAGACAACCTTGCGTACCTACTTCTATACAGTGCTATGGTTGTTTGAAATGTCTGGTTTTGTGTACAGTATTGCGAACACCCTGTAGAATGTTAACAGATTTTCATAGGACCATGAAGTAAATGTAAGTAAAGTCCGTCGTTTTTAATCTGACACCTCCGTATGAGGAGCGAGGCGGTGAAGCATATGACAAAAACAGGTGTGACGTCAGGTAACCATTGGCGTTCTAATGTAGGTAGCCACCAGCTCAAATTCCGTTGGAATATAAGATTAAAATCGACAGACATTATACACTAACAACCTGCCGAGGGGGAAACCACCTTAGAATTTTGGTGTACAAACTGATAGAATTATTTAGAATTTCTTAGAATTTTTTAGAATTATCAGTATTTTTTAGCATTTTTTAGTATTTTCTAGCATTTTCTAGAATTATTTAGAATTTTTTAGTATTGTTTAGAATTGAATTAGAATTTTTTAGAAATAATTTAGAATTTTCACCTATTGCGCATGCTCAAGAGCCTGCCCACTGCGCAATCTATTGGGATTTTTGGACATTTTTTTGAATTTTTAGAATTTTTCGAGAATTAGCATTTTTCAGAATTTTAGAATTATTTTTGGTGTAAAAAAATTAGATAGGTGGGTTCCCCCGAGCGGGAAACCTTCTTAGAATTTTCGTGTACAGGGTGGATCCATTATAAATGTCACCCCCTTCTAACTTTTTCATTTGACATTTTTGACAAAAGTGTCAAATACAAAAGTTGCAATAAATTGTTGAAAGTTTTTAACTAAGTCTGTTTTAGACATATAGGGTGTGTCAAAAAAGTGTAGGAGTGTGAAGTTATATTTTTTTAAATGGAACACCCTGAATATTGTGCGCTTATTTGTTAGTCCCTTTTAACATGATTTCAACGATATACGATTTGATGTCTATCTTCGATATTTATAAGGAAAAACATGATAACTCCTTTCAAGGTTTCATATTAAAAAAAGAAAAATTATACCATTTAAGCTTTAGAGAATTTTTTTTATAAACAGTTCATTGTTCAAATTTTATTCATTAATATACCTACAAGGTGAAATATTATATTATAATAAATCCAGTTATTATTATTATTTTCGAAAAAATAACATGAGAGAACTAGCAAGGGATTTTCGCGTTTTTCCTACTGATTTAAAAAATAAATGGATAAACAATTCATACGGCTTGATTGGCAAAATTTGTGCGAAAATTTGGGGCTGATATTCTACGAACAGTTGTGCAATGGAACAGCCTATCGCCTGCGCAGTGTCTTATCTTTCGAACAACTGTTCTAAATTTTGAAATTCCTTCATTTTCATTGGCCAGATTTTGTGCACGCACAATACATGTATCTACTGCGCACGCTCACAGCTGTCCCAGTCAGTTGTTTTTGTTTAGATTTCGACCTCGTAAATTAGCAGCATTAGAAGCGTTCTTTGTTTATCCATTTATTTTTGAGATCAGTAGTTTTTCCCTATAACTATTGAAGATAAACAGAGACATAAACATATCAAACCGTATATCGTTGAAATCATATTATCTGGAATGGTGCTGGAACTGGTAAGGGGACTAACAAATAAGCGTACAATATACAGGGTGTTCCATTTAAAAAAATATAACTTCACACTGCTGCACTTTTTTGACGCACCCTGTATGCCTAAAGCTAACTTAGTTAAAAGAAATTGATAATTTCTTAAAACTTTTGTATTTGACAGTTGACACTTCTGTCAAAAACGTCAAATGATAAAGTTAGCAGGGTCTACATTTATAATAGATCACCCTGTACAAACTGATAGAATTTTTCAGAATTATCAGTATTTTTTTTTGCATTTTTTAGTATTTTCTAGAATTATTTAATATTTTTTAAAATTGAACTAGAATTTTTTAGAAATAATTTAGAATTTTTGTCTATTGCGCATGCTCAAGAGCCTGCCCAATTTGTTGGGATTTTTTAGAATTTTTTAGAATTTTTAGAATTTTTTGGGACAAATAGGATCTCCAATGGATGAAATATGTTAGTTTTTGTTGACACATGCAAGCTGCGATTTTTTGAAAAAATATTAAATATTTTAAAAACGGTTGTGTTTTGGTATACCTAGATGATTCCTATATAACAAAAAGTATGTAGGATTTTTAGAACGATAGAATGTACTAAAATATAGGGTGTTCCATTTAAAAATAACAAAGTTCTGTCGCATACCCCATTTACAGAGCACCTTGTATATTTAACCCGGCATTACACGCGCCAAAAAAATTACGTCGTTACACGCGTTCGGTCAAATCGACCGACTGCCCAAAAGTTTATATGAATTATTAGTTTTTTTCGCGGAAACGATCCCAATCGTATCCTGAACGCTAAGGCATGACCTACGCAATTTTACTATTCAATAGAGACATGAAACTTTCAAATATTACCTGCGTAAGTCATGCCTTAGCGTTCAGGATACGTTTTGGGACCGTCTCCGCGAAAAAAGTGTACAAGCACTATAATTCTTAGGATTCATAATTATTACAAATGGAATTATATTATGCAGTACAGTTACCGTATTATCGATAGCCAAAAGTACTCCCAATATCAGAAAATGCCAATTTTGAACATAAATATTTCAGATACTCAGGTTCACGCGCCTAGTCAAAAGCACCGACTATGAAAATAACGAACCCTTTTTCAACCAAAAATCAAAATATTTTTGGGCCAATGGGTAGTGGAAAACCTGCATCAGGCATTCCTGGATGGACAAAACTGTCACCCTTGTACCAGTGGCGTAATTACTGATTTTATCAATGATCGGTCTTTTTGACCGACACGCGTGTACTCGCGGGTTAAAAATATTTTTAAGTAATGCACCTTACGGCCATTTGCACCGCTATAACTTAAGGGATATTTAATCCATTGAAGCTTTGAATGTGACTCTTGTAGAAACAAAAGTCACATTCAAAGCTCCACTTGATTATATATCCCTTAAGTGATAGCCGTGCAAATGGCCATTAGAGAATCAAATAACTTTAAATTTTTATTTATTTTTTCTTGCATCACCCTGTAAGAAGATATCGTCCGATATCGCACTAAGTGGACACCCTGTATAACTATTTTGAGGGCATCGGGATACATTTTTGTCCGAAGCGTGTTTTTTAAACGACTTTCGGGTGCAAATTTGGGCATGACACCCCAAAAAAAAAAATTCCGGTCATTCATATTACCATACATATGTATGGACCGCCACTGATGTTAAGCAATTTGGGGTGATTTATCAATTTTTCTGAGTGCCTTTTTTCATAGATTTCGGCTTCAAATCTGGGAATAACTTGGTGTATGGAGTTCGGGGGATCACGAGGGACCATTAGGATACAAAATCCCAAAAAAAAAAAAATTGAAATTTAATCGTTTTAGTAAGAAGGTAGCTACATTATGATTTAGATTTTGGAAAATTTTGAAAGGTCATAACTTTTTTTCTATTATAGATAGAAAGCTGAAATTTTCAGCGATTCTTATCCCACTAGAGGACTACAATCCCTGAAATTTTCAACTCATTTGGACTTATAGTTCCTGAAATAAAATCATGTTAAGCAATTTGGGGTGATTTTTGATTTGAAATTTCATTGTTTTAGTAAGAAGCTACCTACTTTCAGCGATTCTTATCCCTGGAGGACTACAATCCTACAATCCTTATTTTGACTTATAGTTCCAGAAATAAAATCGCGTTAAGCAAATGTAGAGTGAATTTTTTAATTATTCGATTTTTCTTCATATAGAGAGGACAAAATTTGGGTAGTTTACCGCGAAGGTGTCTACGATATCACAGAATTTGCAGAACAACATCCTGGTGGCGATCAAATTCTAATTGCTGCCGGAGGCAGTGTAGAACCATTCTGGTTACTTTACGGTATCCATAAAAACGAAAATGTATTTAAGATCTTGGAAAGTTTTAGAATCGGTAAGCGACATGGGCATATTATTTAACATTTTAATGATTTTTAAATTAAATAGGTAATCTGAAAAAAGAAGACCAAGTTCAAATAACGGATATTGAAGATCCTTATGCTAAAGACCCCATAAGACATGTAGCTTTGAGGCCAGCCAATATGAAACCATTCAATGCAGAGGTATCACCAGCTCTATTATGTGAGAGTTTCCTTACTCCCAAGTAAATTTATATTTATTAAAAACTACAAACAGAGAAATTAAAGGAACTATATTATTTTAGTGATCTATTCTATGTCAGAAACCATTTGCCAGTGCCTGAAGTAGATCCAGCAACGTTTGAATTAGAAATTGAAGTGGAAGGTACCAGAAAGACTGTAAGTTTTACTTTGGAAGAACTGAAAAAGTTTCCCAAAGCAACAATTACGGCTACATTAATGTGCGCAGGGAATCGAAGGACTGAAATGACAAAGGTAAGAATTTACATGAAGATGATTTATTTAGCAGTATTAGAACCACTTTCAAATCTTGTTTGTGATCTGATGATCCTAAAATGATCTGATTTTCGCAAGTTCTTGATTGGTTGATAATATTATTTGGTTCTTATTAGGTGAAAGCTGTGAAAGGTTTAAGTTGGGGACCTTGCGCTATAGGAACCGCAACATGGTCAGGAGTAAGACTGAGAGATTTATTGCAAAAAGTCGGAGTAACTGATGATGAAGAAACGCTCAAGCACGTGCAGGTAGGAGTTTCACTATTGATACTACATAAATAAATTTTATAAAGTTTGAAGGCCTAGATTTTGATGTAACGGCGAACCAATACGGGGCTTCCATACCACTATGGAAAGCTGTCGATAAACGTGGTGATGTAATTTTAGCTTACGAAATGAATGGGGTTCCTTTACCACCCGATCACGGGTACCCATTAAGGGTTGTGGTTCCTGGAGTAGCTGGCGCAAGAAATGTTAAATGGCTTGGTAAGAATATTGTTTGGTCTGTAAATTTTATGTTTAAACCTTTAATTTTAGGTAAAATTGTTGTGTCCCAACAAGAAAGCTCTTCTCATTGGCAGCAAAATGATTACAAAGGTTTTTGCCCGTCTATTGATTGGAACAATGCCGATTTTAGTACAGCTCCTGCCATACAAGAAATGCCTGTAATTTCTGCTATTTGTAGACCAGCAGAAGGGGATGTAGTAAAAGTTGAAAATGGATTTATAAATCTAAAAGGTAGATGACTATAGTGAAAATAAGATTTTTTTATTAATATTTTGATTTAGGGTATGCTTGGTCAGGTGGTGGTCAAAAAATTATCAGAGTCGATGTAACAACAGACGGCGGCAAAACATGGCAAATTGCCAAACTGGACGATCAAGATGCTGCACTGCCTCCCAGACATTGGGCGTGGACTTTGTGGTCAGCTCGGATACCTGTAGATCCCAAATTAAAAGAAGTAATTAATGTGATTGATAATTTTATATTTATTTAAAAAAATATATATATAATTTCAGGTGGAAATTTGGTGTAAAGCTGTAGACTCGTGCTATAATACTCAACCAGAAAGTTTTGAGAATATATGGAATTTTAGAGGGGTTCTTAGTAATGCATATCATAGGGTTAAAGTTAAATTAGGCCAATGATTCATTTATTAATTTTATACTGCTTAGGAGGAAATTTTATTAGGCTTAAGTAATGGATGGGAGCTTTGCAAATGAGAAAAAAAATAGAAAAATCTGTTCAAAATGTGCGGTAATGCCTTATATTGGTTGTAATATTATCTTTTACATTTTAGATATAAGTATAAAGTCTACTCTAATAATAATAATAAGTTAATTAATTTTTCTTTATATTTAACATTCCTTATCAATAAAAACATATTTTATCGCTCATTTCTATAACTTCTATTTTATCATTGGTAACTTTACTTATTAAAAAAAAAAATATATGAACGTATCATGGACAGGTGCAGATTTAAGAATACCACAAGCGATTATGTCAAATTTAGATGATAAAAGTCAGACGATATTTTGCGAGTCAGACTCAAATTTTATTTTCTTTTTTTCAAATCATAATGTTAAAATATTTTTCTTGATGCCACAAATTCTTTGAGAAAATTCCAGTAACCCCATTGTCCGGTTCTTGATGTTACATTATGAAAATCATTTTGAAAAGGTGAATAACTTTGAAGAACGGACACAATCTAAACTGAATTTTTTAGTCCTTCCCAGTCCATTTTCAGCATACCCCATAGACTGCAGTATTGTCGAACCTTGAGTCATTTCCCAAAAACCAAAGAAGAACAAAAAAATCAAAAAAGTTACAAAAATAATTATTATAAGGAAAAGTTCACAAGCAAAAGTGTATTACTTGGTGCCGCCACAACCAGTCTTTTCGCATACTACTATCTTGGTAAGCAATTTTTAATATGAACTTTCGGTATTAAATATTTACTTTAGTAAAAGAAAAACAACAAAGATATGTTTATGCGGCAAAGGAAAAAGAAAATGGAAAAAGTCCCTCCCTTAATCCCTGTGCTAAACCAGGACTCTGGCGTTCAGATTTGCCAATATATACCAAAGGAGAAGTAGCAGAACATCATACATTGTAAGCAACAAAATCTTATCTCCACTTGCCAAAATATCTTATTGTATAGAAAAAAGGGTATGTGGATATCATACCATGAAGGCGTCTACGATATCACTGATTTCGTTCATGAACATCCTGGTCGTGATGCAGTAACGTTGGCGGCTGGGGGACCTGCTGAACCTTTCTGGGCGATGTACGGTTTCCACGAGGAATCTCCATTTATTTTACAAAAACTTGAAACAATGAGAATAGGTGTGTATGATTATTATTGGATGTCCAAGCTACAAAAAGTTATCGTTTATTTCAGGTAACCTTTGTAAGGCAGATCAATTGAAAGTGTCCGACTTTGATGACCCATACATTGACGAACCAAAAAGATCTGAAGATATTATACCGGCGACCAAAAAGCCGTTCGCCGGGACTTTAAGATTGGATTATTTACCTCTAAATTTTATCACGCCTGTGTAAGAAACCAGAAGATTAACAAATTTTAATTATTAAAAAAAAAAATATATATTTCCAGCCAATGGTGGTATGTGAGAAATCATTTACCGGTACCGGATTTAGATGCCAATAATCACCAAGTCATTTTGGAAGTCGGAGGTACACAAAGGATTTTTACAATGGACGAAATTCAACAGATGCCAAAAGCCTGTGTTATGGTTACTTTAATGTGTTCTGGGAACCGTGGGTATGAGATGCTAGAGGTGAGATGTGGACTACAAATACCATAGGCCAGTATACCTGGAAATTATTCCTCAAGGAATTCTATTTTATATTAGGTATAATTCTATCAATAGTGGGAAACTTTGTGCACATCAATTCATTTTACTTTGGATTTATTTTTTGTTTTACTCTTTGTGCATTGTTTTTTCTATGATGGACTTTCCAAATAATCAATGCGGATCCAGTCTTCAGGACACCTTTTCGTTCAATTTCTTGATCAATACATTTCCCCTTTGACTTCTTGTAATAATACCTATTATATTGCTGATGTTTCATTTAGTTTCTGTTCTTCAGACTACAGGCACGAAAACTAAAATTTGGGGCCCAGGAGCGGTAAGTAACGCCATATGGACTGGTGTAAAATTGTGCGACTTATTAGAAGCAGTCGGCATAACCGCTGAGAATCATGGGAACTATAAACACGTTCAGGTAAACTTAAATTATTCCAACTACAATATTAATTGGTGAGTTGATCTTTAGTTTGTAGGAACGGATTGCGAAATAACTGGTGTCCCCTACAGCGTCTCGATTCCGATTTGGAAAGCCGTAGACAAAAAGGGTGATGTTTTGCTTGCGTATCAGATGAACGGTGAACCCCTGACTCGAGATCACGGATATCCGATTAGAATGGTCGTTCCGGGGCATACAGGCGCAAGAAGTTGCAAATGGCTTAGTGACTAATTACCCAAACAACTTACATAATAAATATAATTTATTTAAATATTCCAGCGAAAATAATTTTGTCTGACAAAGAGGCTGACGGTAATTCCCAGATGTATGACTTCAAATCCTTTGGTCCATCAGTCCGTTCGACTACTGCGGATTATGAAAAGGCACCTTCCATACAAGCAGTCCCTGTTCATTCTGTAATATGCAGACCTAAAGCTAGGGACAGCGTTCAAGTGGTTGAGGGACGTATCGATGTTAAAGGTTGGTTTCCATGCAATATTTTCACTACCAAATAATCTACTGATTTCAGGTTTTGCTTATGCTGGTGGAGGAAACAAAATCATAAGAGTGGACATATCTACGGATCAGGGCAAAACTTGGCAACCGGCACAACTGGATTTTCAGGACAATAAGAGCGACTATCCTCACAATTGGTCTTGGACACTTTGGTCTTGTAAATTACCAATTGACAAAAACCAACACGATGTAAGAATTGACTAAGTATTTTAAATTTTTATTTATTACAATATCTAGGTCGAGATTTGGTGTAAAGCTATTGATACTAGCTCTAACACACAGCCAGAGGGTTTCGAATATATTTACAATTTCAAAGGAGTAACAGCTAATGCTTATCATAAAATCAAATTTAAATTAATCCCATGTAATACTTAATTTAAACACAAAATGGAATAAAAAAACATCCTTTCATACATAATATTTTATTTGTGAACAGAATTCCATAAATGTTCCAGTTGGTACTGTACAAAATAAACCTAAGTATGATACAAAATGAATACAAAGAGCAAAATATACATTTTTTTTATATACCTTAAATAAGTAGTACGTTTAAAGCCTATAAGTATTTGCACAAACAAAGCAAGTGATTTCTCAAGTCCAGACAGAAATACTGTAACATTTAGTCTTTTAAATTAAGCGTGATTTTCTTCGGAGATTATCGCGTATCATGTGGGGCTGGCGTTGCTTCTAGTCATGCGCTGTTGTTGTTCCTTTTTATAATCTTGTGCGGTGTTTTCTAGTTGTTCTTTTAGTTTCAAAAGTTCACGAATTCGTTGGTAGACAGGATCCTAAAATAATTATGTCTTAAAAAAACCACAAAAACATATCTTGGTGTACAATTACCTGTGTTCTCATGCTAGGATTCCACCTACAATAATATGCTTTCCATAGTTTTATATGACGAATACTGGCAATGGGAACCAGAACCCTTTCTTGTTTACTATTGGCCCAATATAGTGGATTCCTATACAAATCCAAATTGCTATTGGTGTAAGACCATAAAGCAACAGAGTTTTCTTTAATTTCTAAAAAAAAATTATAATGTATTTGCAACAAAAAATAAATAAAAATCATTACTTTCTTGTGATCTCTCTCTCTCACTATTGAACAAAAAAGTTCCAAATCTGCAAGAATAAAGATGGTCCAAAATGGTAATCAAAAAATGTTCATTGAATTCAAAAGCATTTGGAAATTGTTGCGTTATTTGCCAAACACAATCCACAAATTGTAAAAATACCGGTGAACGATCTGCGTCACTATGATGCTCATCACCATGACCTACCCTCTACAAAAAAATATTCAACAAATATTCCAATCCAATAATACAAAACAAATTCTTACCTGTTGAAATTTGTGTCCAAAAGATAGCCACTCCTTTTCAACCAACACTTCGAATCCTTTAATTGTACGATAATAAGGGTCAAGCATTAGCATTGAAAGGGCTGTGAGTTGAGCAGTTCTATCCCAACCGTCTGAACAATGAACTAAAACCGAAGTTTTATGATTTTCCACTTTATCTACTATCCTGACAGCTCCAGCTAAGATGCATTTAATATGTTTTAGCCAATAAGTGGATTCAACTCCACTAAGCCATTTGGTTTCGTCTATGTTTGGATAACATAGTTCTTTAAGTTTCCTCAAAGATTCTCTCATAACATGAATATTATGGATGTCCAGGAATACCAGTTCTGCATGTTGGTAAGCATCTTCTGATTCATAGCTGAAGAGAATGAATGAATTACTAGTTGAGGCCTTAATGAAAAATCTTACCCTCCCCCTTTGGCCTTATTTGCAATGGCATTTGCTGTAGGCCTGGCATCCATGATAATCATTTTATGGCTTTGTGCGTTTGCATCCATAATCAATTGAATGTAATGTTCATCTTCTCTGCATCTTTTGCCACTGACCTATTTTAAAAAAGGTGTTGAAGTTGTTCGTGAATGTTGGTTAAATACTTCTTACCCCCACCAAAGGTTGAGCACATCTTGTGATAGTTGCCTGTGATTCAGGATGTATCCAACTTAAAACAGGCAATCTTCCTCTGCTTCTGAAAGTGCAAACAACTTGTATATCCTCGTCGGTGGCTTGAGCTGGAATAGCCCAAACTGCAGGATAGCTGTCACATATTGTATAATGTTCATTTATTTTAGTTATTTTCCACATATCATTGTTAACTCCCTATAATGAAGATTATTATTAATGTAACTTTACTTGATATTGAAAAAAAATAAAAAATATTACCATTCGTTTTAACTCGGCTATAGGTTCATAAACAGCCCATCCATTTTCACTAAAAATCTCTTGATATTCAAAAGCAAAAAGTTGTTGTTTGAAGCTCAAAGGAAAAGCATACGTTTGCAATTTTTCAAATACGGTGCGTCTAGAATGGTTTTCCTGTTTGTGTGCAAAACGTAAATTGCGCATGTCTTTGCAGAAAATTTCAATCCCATAAGCATTTTCACCTCTCGAAGAGGCACCGCCTACTTTCTCAATACGAGAAACCTTGCAAATACCATTTTTGTTCATTTATATTTGATTTTTTTGTAAGAGTACTTACAACGCCCAATGGGACTTCGATAACATTGGACAAATCTTTGTCCGCCGATCTGAAATATAGCTTGTAGTTGGTGACTGTTAGTACGCCTCTGGCAGGTCCTTGATAGGGGCACAAGTAGGTTACGTCTCTAGCTTGACCTGTTACTTTTTCTCCTGGTAACAGAGTCAGATCGTCTTGGCGATTGAGTGTGTTTTGTTCAGTAGCAGCTTGAGCCTGTATAATATCAATAGAATATTTAGTGCACTTTTCAAGTCATCTTGGGTGGTCTCATTTTTCAAAAGTAAGTACTGGGATTTATAAATATTGTGGGATGAAATTACCTTTTTTCTTTCCAAAGTGGAAGCGACATTTTCTGTAGAAGTGGAACTTGATGAACAGTAGCTTTTGCTTGGTGATGTTTTGCCCCAATTATTAGCCTGTACATGAAAGATTGTTAAAAGGGTAACACTAATTTGGAACTGTTTATTTTTTATATTTTTAATAATCCTAAAATACAGTTGAAAACATTCTTAATTGTGGAATTTATTCAGATTCATATACTGTGATTTGTTGAAGTTGGGAAATTGGTTGTATGCAAATAAATAGTTGGAGTCAATTGATTAAAAAAACAGACGAGGTAGTCACTCTGGATTTTTTAGGACAGAAATCTCGATTTTTGGAGATCTCCTCAAATTTTATAACTCTAACAGGTTTGAGAGACCTGAAGATAATACACTTGATTTTGTAAAAATTTCTGAATATGATGTTCTCAAATCGTTTAAGGGAATTAAGTCAAAAAGCATGGGCATAGATAAAATAAGCTACAATATGATACTTTTTAGCATAAATATTGTTGCATATTATGTTGCTGAAATTGTCAACAGATCTATCGAAACAGGAGAGTTTCCAACAATATGGAAAACCTCTTTGATTAGGCCATTACCAGAAAAGAATAAAATAGAAAATTTTTCTGAGCTGATGAGACCCATTTGTCTGCTGCCAATATTTGCAAAAATGTTTGAATTTATAGTATCAGATATTCTCTTGGAATTTGTTGATAATTATAGTATTATACCTGTAACACAGTCAGGCTTTTGAAAGAACCATGGTACTGCTACAGCCCTTACAAATGTCACTACTGAAATTGTTACAAACATTGATTCCTCGAAAATGTCCTGCTTGGTCCTACTGGATTTCAGCAAGGCATTTGACCTAATAAATCATGAACTTGTAGTCGCAAAAATGAGCTTTTTCTGAGAGGGTCTGTCTGTGGTTTGGTAGTTATCGCCAACCAAGAACATAAGTTGTGGAGCTTGAGGGAGCCTGTTGAGACGTCACTTGGGGTCCCACAGGGAAGTGTACTTGGCCCCTTATTATTCAATATTTACACAAGTGATCTTCCACAGCAGGTTAGGACTTGCTCAGTCAACCTCTGTGCTGATGATACCCAGCTGCTGGTTGGTTTTCCTCCAGAGGATTTGTGTCTGACTATGCAGAGAGTAAATAATGATCTAGAGGAAATATATAAATGGTCAACAAAACAGGGCTTGATCCTGAATGCAACAAGAAGTCACTATATGATTATAGGTTCACATAATAATAGGCAACAATTTCTCCAATATAACTTTACAACTTTACATATAAATGGATCTATTTTGCCCTCTGCAGAGTCGGCCAGGAATCTGGGAGTTACCTTTGATGAGATGCTCGACTTTCAGCTACACGTGAACAAGAAGCTGTCATTTGTATATGCCAAGCTGAGAAGTCTATATCCTTTTAAATTTATCCTACCTAGTGAGATTAAACTGATGCTGGTTGAAGCACTAATTTTTCCTCAGTTGGACTACTGTAGTGTAGTTTTTTACCATTATCTCTCTGAATATAAAACCAAAATTCAACTAGCACAAAATTCTTATATAATTTTTTTTTTCTGTTTAAGGAAATTTGATCATGTAACTCCCACATATTTAGCAAACAGCATACTAAGATATGAGCACGTGCTGTCCTGCATTTTGGGCAATTTGTTTGTAAAATTTTTAAATTGGGCTGCCCGAGTTACTTGGTGAAGTATTTTATCAAGAGGCAAGACTTGATTTGATTTGATTGATTTGATTACACAATCTTAATCTAAGAAATATGGTTCGCTTTCACATACTTACCCCAGCATAAAACAGCAAAATTTAGAAACTCTTTCTCTTTTCAAACAATACAACTTTCTAAGCAGGCACAACAAATAAACACATAAATTTTGAAAATTATTGTTTTCCAAAACAAGGTAGCATGGAAGAACACTATGTGAATATTTCCTTCTAAGTGATGTAAACTTTTTGTTATGTTGCATAATAAACATTTTTTTATTTTATTTTATTTTATTTAAATCCAGCATGCCATTTTACATAAAATAAGACACTTTCCAGGTGGATGTCCTCGACTTGTATAGGGCTGTCTAAATACGCTTCCTACGAACGCTCAGATTCCCAACTACTAGACAAAATTGTAATATTTGTTTTAACTGTTAGGCACCTAAGAAGCTTAAAAATTGAAATTATTGAACATTGAAAATTTTTCAAAAATGACATTGAGACAGTTTTTGCTTCACAGCTTCGTTAATTTTCATCTTATTCCAATATAATTAAGCTGCAGCCTGCAATTGAAGCTAATTAAATTCCCTACAAACCTATTAATTAAGATTTCAATTTGGTTACAACAGTTTTGCACCTGAGAAGATTCAAAATTGAATTTATCGAACATTGAAAATTTTCCAAAAATTACTTAAATTGAGACAGTTTTTGCGGAACTGTGAATCCGTTAATTTTCATTCGATTTCAGTGTAACTAAGCTCTTAATTGAAGCCAATTAAATTTTCTACATTTGGCTTCAACAATTTTGTACCTGAGAAGCTTCAAAATTGAAATTATCCTATGAAATTATCGAATATTAAAAATTTCCCAAAAATGACGCTGAGACAGTTTTTGCCTCACAGCTCTGTTAATTTTCATCCAATTTCAGTGTTATCAAGCTCTAATTGAAGCCAATTAAATCCTCTACAAACCTATCAATCAGGATTACAATTTGGCTGTAACAGTTTTGCACCTGAGAAGCTTCAAAATTGAAATTATCGAACATTGGAAATTTCCCAAAAATAACACTGACACAGTTTTACCTCACACTCCATTAATTTTCATCCGAACTGAATGTAATTGAGCTCCAATTAAAGCTCATTATTTGGCTAATTAAATTCTCTACAAACCTATTAGTTAGGATTTTAATTTGGTTTCAACAGTTTTGTACCTGAGAAGCTTCAAAATTGAAATTATCCAACATTGGAAATTTCCCAAAAATGACAGAGAGCGTTTTTGCCTCTCATCTCCAATTATTTTCCTCTGAATTCCATGTAATTAAGCTCTAATCAAAGCCAATTAAATTCTTTACAATTGAACAAGCAAAACAAGCTAAAAAGTGGTGAAATAAACTCAAAATTAACTCTTTTACTATGACAATGGTTTGCCTTAGTTTTTGACAGTAAGTTTTATATTTTTTTATAATTATTTCTCAAAGAGCTCTTGAAGATTTTCTGTTTCTCTTTCCTTGATAAAAATTGAATCTAGTGCTTGTGACTCGGCTTGTGATAATGGAATGAAGGAGTAAATTAGTATCCTACAATTTTGTCTTTGTGGGCGTTTTGAAGGCAAAATCTATTAAAAGTTTTTCTAACTCAGTATTTATAGGTATTTTGAATAAAAATAATTTTTATTTGTGTATATATAACAACTGTATCTACCACTCATTGCAAATTACCGATAAAGTTCATATTACTAAATATAAAAATAATTATTCCAGTGGTTTTATGGATGCATTTCATTTGAAGCAGATTTCGAATTTGGGACAAAAATATCTTACCGATTCCGGTCCTTTTCCCAAATTCAAGCTTTTAGTCTCTGAACGGTAGTTTTCTTTACCGAAATGATTCGGGTCCATATCCAGCAATTCTAAGCTTCCAGTTTTCCGACTCATTTCCAAAAAAATTGGGCAAAAATTTAATGGAAAACTAGAAAAACATATCAAAAATAAACAAATTGAAAAAATCTGACACCACCAGGGTTGCGTTCGAAAACTTGGTGTGTCGTATAAAATTCACACAGCTGCCGTTCGAAAAGCCGGAGTGTGGATAAAAATCACACGGTTTTGGACGTTCGGAAAGGTGGTTGTTACTTGTTACGTACTGGACACTCTAGTCCTGACTAGAGTGAAATTTAAGCTAACATAATATATAACATTTTTGGTTTATTATTGAGCCATTGTATCAATTATTGTGTGATTTAAATTAAAAAGTTAATAAAACAAACCAACAAAAAATGTAAGGTCGAATTTATAAAAAAAAATTAACACTTAAACTAAGAATTAATATTTAACTTAAATAGCTGACGTTATGATATGTAACGTAGCCAGGGACACTTTATCCGTTAGGACAATTAGGTCATGTCCTACGGGCCACTAGAGAATGAAGGCCAACCGCTGGCCTTTAATTTATAATATAAAATATAAAAGCCCACTGTATTAAAAACATCGACTTGTTTAGTAGCAGGACTAGCAGATATTTCAATGCCCTTTAATTCTTATAATTCACACTGCACAAGCACATTTGGTTTGGCCAGAGTGCACTGTCTGACGTCACGATGCTCTGGAATCACTCCGCTCGCTCCAGCGAGCATCAATCCGGAACACGCCCTAGAGTCACCGAGCTGCGCTGAATCGCCGTCGCGTCATTAGCGCAGCACGGGCACGTGGCAACTACAGTGGCTAAATAAACCTTTACATACAGTGGCGACAATAGAGGTCCCGCCGCCATTTTGTTCCCAACCACATGTTACTTTTAAATATTAATATATAAGATTTAAATGGACATCTATCATAAAAAATTGAAATGGACGTATTTGATGACCATTATTAGGTCCATCAAATACGTTGTTTTCTATGATTTTGATGGATGTTCACCCATATTTAAAAGTAACAAGGGGTTGGGAACAAGATGGCGGCATTTTCAATATAAATATATGGGATTTTTGAACCAATCAAAAATAAGACAGCAATTGTCGCCACTGTGGGTAATAGAGTCACTGTAGTGGCAACTGGCAACGACTACAGCAGGAACCTGTTAATGTTTGCGCTGCTTTGCCAAATTGTAAGTTTCTTTGAGCTTCTTCTGGAGCATCCAGGGACTTGAGCAGTGTCTTAAGGGTCCATTGTACCACGAAGTCGTGCCTTGTTGTTGTTGAGCTTGTAGGACATGCACAGGCAACGTGGTACGAATTTTCCTCAGAGTTGCAACCCTTTATGCATCTTTTCCTCGCTAATGGATTTGATCCAAAGCCATGCAGCTGTTCTTCCGAAGCACCCATCAGTACACTTAGGCCCCAGCATCCATGTGTGGTGATTAATAGGCTGGGAGCTCAATGCCATCATTTTCTTTTAGGACGTGCCGACCATATAGCGTGTTTTGTGATCATTCTTGTTCCATCATTTTTTAGTTCTTTGATTTGACCGAATACTACTTGGCAACATTTTTTGTCTTCATATTCTGCCAGGTTAGTAGCTTGAAATCGTCTGAGGGCCGGTTTTTCAATAGCAGGTCATCCTCGGGTTAAGGATAACTCCAACTCCAGGGTAAACATAGCAACCGAACACGCTTACTCGGGAGTTAAAACTAACTCGGAGGTGACTCGCCAGCCCTGAATGATTTTATTTATCCCTATAAAAAAGAACAATCACTCATGAAAGGCCATACTAAATAATTGACCTACGGGCCAGAGAAAGGTTAAAGCGTCACTGAACGTAGCGCAAAAAAAAATTAAGACTTATCAACTAAGAATTAGGAATTACATAAGCGTACGTTGAAATTCTTAGTTGTAAGTTAATTTTCTTAAATTACCTATTTTAAGTGTTAATTTTTTTTTATAAACTCGCCATAAACTACTCGGTCAGCGTTCGAATACCTAGAGCAAGATTCGCACACCGAAGTGTGTCGGACCCCCACTCCTTGAAATAATTTTCACACCAACAACCAGGTTCTCGAAAGCAACCCTGGGCTGCGTTCAGATTGAACGTCGGTTGTCGCCCGAGCGCGCTCTGACCGTTCAGATTGCTTTGGGTCAAATTTACCCAGCCGTTCAGATTGTCAGTAGATTTTTACCTGACGACACCCCGACGCACACTTTTGCATCCCATAAAATAGTAAGATAAAATTTGCCCCGCATGCGCGTTAGTGTTATGTTTATGTTCTAACCAATAATAAAGGCAAATATTGTAAATATTATTGTTGGGAGTTATGGTGAGTTTATCCAACAAATAAAATAAAATAGGAAATAAATTAAAATAAGAATTAAAGGTTAAGAGGTATTATTTTATATGTGATAGTTCTACCAAAAAAATCAAAATAAAATAAAATAAGAGTTGATTATCTTTGAATTTTCTTTTTTCTTATTTTACAAAAATGTAAGAATCACGAACACAGTGAATTTTGAAAAGGCAACAAAATCAAAATCAAAGCATCCCATAAATAGTGATGTTATGAGGAGAGAATGCGTCTTGGCCGTTCAGATTGGGCGAATCGCCAGGCACACTCGGAGTGCACTCTCTATCGGGTACGCTCTGCACTGGACGTCGCCCAGACTCTCAATCTGACGCGCCCGACACTGATCCGTGATGTTGTCAAGTTTCAATCAATAATACACAGTTGCCAAATCCTTATTTAGGTTAGTAGGCGTTGCGTTGAAGCACTGGGACTTGGGAGCAGAAAAAAATTGCTTTGTTCGGGAACCACATTCCGAATTCGAATCACTTTGCTGAGAATCGATCTGGAACCAATTCTAGTTGAGCCGCTAACAAATAACTAATCGACTATCTGCACTAGAACGCACTCAGATCGCATTTTGAACAGGGCGCAATGCACAACAACTTCTTGTTCGGATTGATACAGATTAGCATTTTTTGGCGATTCAAGCGTATTTTAAAACCAGGGAGTCAGTTCAAGTTTTAATAATTTGCACTGTCTTTGGTGGAACGGAACTGTCTAGAGCGAGCTCAGAGCCGCTTTCCAGTATGCACATTGGCGCGCTTTAGAGCACCTCAGGGGCGCCACGCACTAAAGGACCCCGCACACATCTTATGGGTTTTTGGTTTTCTGTCAAACTCAATGAAATTGATATGTGGTATATCTTGACTTACTGATAAAAAGTTCTCATGGGCCCAACCCGATACTATGATTAGTTTCCGAAATAGAGGTGGTTTAATGTTCAAGAAATGTACACATTTTATATGCATTCACATCTACCTGTCACCTATTATTAGGTCTGTCAGAGTGAATTTCATTGGTTGTAACTAGTTTTCTGACTGTTTTCGACCAATCAAATTCGCTCTGACAAGTTTGTGATTTTTGCAGAAACAGACCTATTATTAGGCAATTCAAACCACGTGACTTTCAAGATGGCGTGGCGTCCACACATGGGCCAAAAAACCCAAAAAAATATCTAGATTCTGCCCGATTTATCAGTTTAGGTACCTAGGGCCAAATTACAGTATATCTGCATCTGCAAATTTGCAGTTCTGCAAATATGGCCGACTTGCAAATGTGCTCTATTTGCAGAAACAAGCAAATTACAGAAAAAAATCTGCAGTTTCGTCATATTTATCGGAAAAAGTGTTTGGGCGCTACTGATTTACCATATTAAAATGCCAAAGTTGTCAAAGTGATTGCAAGGACTTGCAGGACCGTTTCACCATGCGCAAATTTGCAGGCGACTTGCAAATGCGTTCTGCTTCTGTAATACGAAAAGTCAGACTTGCAGGTTCTGCATTTGTATCTTGGTGTTGCAGAGCTTCTGTAATTCCGGGCCTAGTCAACAAATATTTTATTAAATAATCCAAATCAAAGTTGCAAGCAAAACTCTAAGCAAAATAATTTGAAATACGCAATAAAACATATTCAAAACAAACTTGCTTGGCCGCCACGCCATATTGAATTTTCCTATCTGACAGATGGATTGAATTGCCTAATTAGGTGACAGGTAGATTGTGAATACATATAAAATGTATACATTTCTTGGACATAAAAGTACCTGTATCTCAAAAACTAATCATAGGATTGGTTCGGGCCCATGAGAACTTTTTATCAGGAAGTCAAGGTCTAACACATATCAAAATTTCATTGAGTTTGACAGAAAACCAAAAACCCATCATGGCGTGAGACGCCTGTCTTAAGGCCATATTCTCCGTAGTTCATAAAGCCTGGCTTAGTGGAAAAGCTCGGCTTTGTCACACAAAAAGCCAAGTGCTTCCACTAAGCCAGGCTTTATGAACTACGGAGAATATGGCCCTTAGTGTCAAATATGTCAAATTTTAAAAATAATGATCTTTTTGTTTGTGCAGTTTGTTTTTCTATTTATCAAAAATGAAAGAGAATCAAAACTTTATTTTTTAAAATGTTCAATCTTGTGATATAACAAGAAATAAATAGATAAATAGCCACCCACGGATGTGACAGCTGACAGGTTGACTAGACGCGTACGTACAGCTCGAGAGCTCAACAGCTCAACGCCCCGAGTGGCTCCGGGCGTCACACTCCCATATTGAAAGCGGCTCAGGGCATAATTTGAGCTGCGCATGCGAATCTGTTCTGAATTCTTACTCCAAACGGAGCTATCGTTCCGTGTTCAGTTCAATCTGCTCTGCTAATGCGCATAAAAAAACCCGCTTCCATGCTGCAGTGCAGTGCACGCTAATGCATCGCATGGCACTTTTTTAACAGTTTCTTCAGCGGCTAGAACCTAGAACTTTTCTTCTCCGAAAACAAGCCACCCTTGTTTCAATTTTTTGGTTGAATTTACTGTAAATTCAATTACAAAAATGAAATACATCTTGGTGAGCGGCGGCGTGATAAGTGGCGTTGGCAAAGGGGTGATTTCCAGTTCCATTGGGGCGATTTTAAAATGTTGCGGCATAGAAGTGACGATGATCAAAATCGACCCTTATATCAACTTGGATGCTGGAACTTTTAGTCCTTATGAACACGGTAAGTAATTATTGAATGTTTTTATTGGTTGTTTAATACGTAATTTAGGACGCGTTTTTCAAATAACACCTGATAATTATTTATAACCTCATTTTGGCATCATGTTCATGTTATTTAACATTAACAACAGAGTGCTTGTTCTTCCAAGAAATCCCTATTTATTAAAGAACAAGATAAGGTGTTTTGATTGCCTTGAGACTTGAGACGCAGTATTCCTGTTTGAATTTTTGGTGATTTTTCCAAATACATACCTTGTTTTTAATATTGAATCATGTGGCATGCTAATGAGCATTTATCAATTGATGTTTACTGAAAATATTATGGTCCAAAACATCATGAACTCTGATCTGAATTATCCAGTTAGAAATACTTACTTATTTTTGTCAATGTACTTATTTATTTATTACCGAAAAAGAATAACGAGTTCTATAAGGGCCAAATTATAGACCAACTGGTAAGTGTCTGGATGTTACCTAGCAGGTACTTTCTATTCTTTAGAGCATAGAAAGTACCTGCTGGTTTCATATTGTGTAGTTTGTTTAGCCAACAAACCATTGGCCAAACTTCAGATAATTTAACTCGATCCTTATTTTGCAAATTTGTGGCTTACCCGCAACTATTAGTTTGATAACCAGTGGAAGTTACCACTAATTGTGAAACTGGACCTAAAAGATTGCGAGAACATACCCTTCTTTAGTTTTTTAGGTCTATTCCTTTAGTTACGAATCAACATACCCTCGAACATACCTATACCGAGACCTAAAGTCTGTTTTTTTTTAAAGATAATTCCAGGTCTATAAACCTAGCAGTCCCAAAATAGAAAAAAACTTCGGGAACTATATAATAATTAGGTGCTTTTTAGGTGCTAATTAGGGCCTCTAATTAAAAATTAGGTGCTCCTTTAGTTTTTAAGAAAATCAAAAAAAACTAAGGGACTGCTAGGTTTATAAAAGCTAGCAGTCCCCTATAGTAATAAATATTTTATGAAATTTTTTTTTTCTATCAGAATTAGGTGCTTTTTAGGTGCTCCTGAATAGCTGAAGAAAAAATAGAATTGATTAATTATTAACTGAGTTACAGATTTTTTTTTAATTATTAGGGGACTGCTGGCTTTACGTTTACATGTTGGTGTGTCAGAATGGAAAAACACTTCGAGATCTATATAATAATTAGGTGCTAATTAGGGCCTCTAATTAAAAAAACCTAGCAGTCCCTTAGTTTTTTTTTTTTTTTTTGATTTTCTCAAAAACTAGAGGAGCACCTAATTTTTAATTAGAGGCCCTAATAAGCACCTGAAAAGCACTTAATTATTATATAGATCCCGTAGTTTTTTTGCCATTCTGACACACCAACAAGTAAACGTAAAGCCAGCAGTCCCCTAATAATTAAAAAAAAATCTGTAACTCAGTTAATAATTAATCAATTCTATTTTTTCTTTGACTATTTAGGAGCACCTAAAAAGCACCTAATTCTGATACAAAAGAAAATTTTAGAAAAATATTTTTCACTATAGGGACTACTAGCTTTTATAAACCTAGCAGTCCTTTAGTTTTATTTGATTTTCTCAAAAACTAGAGAAGCACCTAATTTTTAATTAGAGGCCCTAATTAGCACCTAAAAACAAGGTTGGCAGGATATATATCAGCGATAAATATCCTGATATATATCTTGATAAATATCATGATATTTATGCTATAAATATCCTGATATATATCAATAATATTTGTATGGACTTTTTTCCCTATTTTATAGTTTTATTATTTTATTTATGAGAAGGAAACCACAGGGATTTTATTTATTTTTATTTGTGTATAAGAAATATTAGGTTTTTAGGGCGGGTATTATGAAACTATTTTGACAGGTAACGTAAAGTTAACTTCTGGAATTACTACGAGATGTAACATCATTCCAGAAGTTAACTTCTAAATTGTAGATTTATTTTTGTTGTTGAGTTGTTGAGTTCAGAATTGTCATTTTTTTGTAGTTGTTGAACCACGATTTAAAGCAAACATAAGTAGGTATGTAGTATAAATACCATAAATGTTTCCATATTCTTAAACTAGAATTTTTATTCACTTACTACACTTTACATTTCTATACATACAGGGTTAGTAAAAAGTACTGCAACACTTAAATATCTTCAAAACTGCTTAAGCCGCGTTCACATAATTCGGCCTCTGACAGTTTTCAGGCATGCGGAATTCAACAGTGCTATTGGCAATGCTGCCAGATTTCCCAGTTTTGAGCTACACATAGTCTTTTTGTTATCTTAAATAGAATGCCCCATTTATTTTTATTGCAATGAATTGGGCGTTGATAAGACTCCAAATTTTCAGAATTCTATCTCTACTACTTGCTGAAATATGACAACACTGTATTTTGGTGAAAAGTATCGCAACGCTCGAATATCTTCAAACGCTGCTTAAGGACGTTCACGAAATTTGGTCTCTGGGGGTTTTGGAGCAAGTGAAATTTAACCGTGATATCGGCATTGTTGCCAGATTTCCCAATTTTGCCCTACAAGTAATCTTTTTGTTATCTTGAATAGAATGCCCCATTTATTTGTATAGCAATAAATTGGACGTGACAAAATTGATAAGATTCCAAATTTCCATAATTCTATCTTCACTAGTTGCTGAAATATGCCAACACCGCATTTTCAGTGAACGGTATCGCAACGCTTGAATATTTTTGAAAACCCGCTTGAGCTCGTCCACTAAATTCGGTATCTGGGGATTCATGGGCAAGCGAAATTCAACTGTGATATCGGCATTGTTGCCAAGTTTCCCAGTTTCGCGCTACACGTAGTCTTGCTTGTGGCTTATGTTTTTTTTTTCAATAATACATGTTTAAACGTTACATGTTCATGAGGTAGGTATTCATATTTCCGGGCGGTTCCGATAAGTTTGCGGCTCCTCCTGAAATAGGTAGGTAACTATCCCAGCGGCCTTGATGCAAAGTTAATTGAGGTTCCCAGATCCTTTTGGAAGTATATAAACGATAAGCGTTCTGTTCATAATCTACCTAGCTCATTATTTTATGGTAACCGTGAGGCTGCTAGTGGCCAAGACATTGCAAACTTGTTCAGTGATTTTTTTCAAACTGTTTATACTCTTGATCAAGACCCAGCTGATTTGTCTGAGAATGTAATTGAAAACATGAACATAAGTAGCAACGTAAACTGCACTGTAATTTCAAAAATTGACATCTTCAATGAAATCTCAAATGTTCCTAACAAATTATCCTCAGGACCTGACGGCATTCCCAATTTCTTATTGAAAAAATGTGTTTGCACCATAGTGTCACCCTTATATATACTTTTCAACAAGTCTCTACAATCCTCAATTTTTCCTAGTGTATGGAAAGAGAGTAATATCGTTCCGATATTTAAAAGTGGCAAAAAGGACAACGTTGAGAATTATCGAAGCATATGCATACAGTCCGCGATACCTAAGATATTTGATTGTCTTGTCACCAAACAGGTTACTTTGCAGTGTAAGGGCCTTATTCGTCAGGAGCAGCATGGTTTTTCGAAGGGCAAGTCGGTGGTATCCAATTTGACAACCTATCAGCTAGATATTCTGCATAACATGGTGGACAGAAAACAAACTGATTCTATCTATACAGACTTTTCAAAGGCTTTTGATCGTGTCGATCACAAAATTCTGCTTAACAAGTTACTTCAGATAGGTTTTAACCCTGAATTTGTGCTGTGGTGGAAGAGCTCGCTCACAGATAGAATTCAGAAAGTTAAAATAGGTTGTTATTACTCAGATACAATTAATGTCACATCGGGAGTTCCCCAAGGGGGCCATAGTTCACCTCTTTTGTTCAACATTTTTGTAAATGACATTGCTGACTGTTTCTTGGGGAGCGATTGTTCCATGTTTGCCGATGATCTCAAGTTTTGGAGGATCATCGAAAGTACTTCTGATCAATTACTCCTTCAGGAAGACCTGAATCGTCTGTCAGATTGGTGTCAAAAAAACAAGCTAAACTTAAACGTAAAAAAATGTTGTTACATAAGTTTTTTACGTAAACCTGACAGGATCATGACTGACTACCATATCAGTGATCAACGGCTTGAATATAAATCTTCACTTAGAGATTTGGGTGTTATTTTTGATGAGAAACTTTCGTTTGTTGAGCATATAAATTCAGTCTCTATCAAAGCTTCAAAAATGCTGGGGTTTGTCATAAGAAACTCTAAGTATTTTTCTATCGAAGCCATCAGAATGATCTATTGTTTCTTGGTAAGATCATTGCTTGAGCATTGTTCAGTTATATGGTCCCCATTTTATCAAAACCATTCTGATTCTTTGGAGAGGGTTCAGCATAAATTTCTACGAGTGTGTGCCTTTAGAAACAGTATTGGGATTGTGAACCATGACTATAGCGCCATAGAAATGCAATTAAAATTACCTACTCTAAGCGAGCGACGAGACTTGTTTGGCTTAATATTTTTATATAAAATAATTAATGGAATTATTGATTGTCCTACCCTTTTAAGCCATATTAGCCTAAATGTGCCTTATTATCATGGTCTGAGATATCATAATACTTTTAACATTCCTTTCTGTAGAACATCCTATGGCGCTAACAGTCCAATTATCAGATATTTATCTATGTTAAATAATCTAGATATTGACGTTTTTAATGTGAAACTAGCTCAATTTAAAACAATCTGCCATAAGGTGATAAATGTACCTTAACTATCTATAACTCTCTGTTCCTATCAAAGCTACTATAATACCTAATACCTAGTACTAAGTAATTATTTCCTACTTAAATGTGCTTTCATAATCAGTTAAATGCATAATTTGTTAAACTTTTCGACTACTTCATAATTTTTAGACTATTTATGTTTACTTTCTGATTTTGGTTAATTTTTGCTTATTTTTTGAGTTTGTATTTATTGTTTTTGCACTCGTTTCAAAACCTATTGTTAGGTGACATTTTGCTCTATTTATTTATATACATTTATAATGATATAGATTGTTATTTAGGTCTAGTGTTTATGTTTGCCTGGCCTTTGTTAATTATTGTATAATTTCTTCTTTAATGGGGTTATCCCGTAAATAAATAAATAATTTCTGAAAGTTTGGAATCTTATCAAATTTGGCACGCCCAATTCATTGCAATAAAAATAAATGGGGCATTCTATTTGAGTTAACAAAAAGACTACGTGTAGCGCAAAACTGGAAAATCTGGCAACATTGCCCATAGCACTGTTGAATTCCGCATGCCTGAAAACTGCCAGATTCCGAATTTTGTGAACGCGGCTTAAGCAGTTTCGAAGATATTTAAGTGTTGCAATACTTTTTACTAACCCTGTATATATAGGAGATAGGACAGGAGCACTAAAACTTGTTATCGCCATACCAACCTTATATGTTTGTAACATTTTATCAAATTCACCATAATAGTTATTTGTTCTACCAGGCATTAAATCTGCTTTTCTGCCATGTTAAACATATAATTTTTTCTCCGATTATTCAAATTCACACATGGACATCTTTTTTATATTTATTTAAGTAAAAGTCCACTTTTACTGCCTAGGCAGTAAAAATACAACTTTTGATCCTGTCAAGTGTCACGTGTCACTAAAAGACCGCTTTTACTGTCATTCGGAGAAAAAGTTATTTTTAATTTTAATAATATAGATAACAAAAAACAGATGAACTAATTTAAATAAATAAAAATATAAATAAATATCCAAATTTTGATATATGTATATATCGATATATGTCGGATAATTGGATATTTATATAAATATTATGATATTTGCCAACCCTGCCTAAAAAGCACCTAATTATTATATAGATCCCGAAGTTTTTTTTGCCATTCTGACACACCAACAAGTAAACGTAAAGACAGCAGTCCCCTAATAATTAAAAAAAAATCTGTAACTCAGTTAATAAATAATCAATTCTATTTTTTCTTCAACTATTTAGGAGCACCTAAAAAGCACCTAATTTTGATACAAAAGAAAATTTTGGAAAAATATTTTTTACTATAGGGGACTACTAGCTTTCATTAACCTAGCAATCCCTTAGTTTTTTTTGATTTCCTCAAAAACTAGAGGAGCACCTAATTTTTAATTAGAGGCCCTAATTAGCACCTAAAAAGCACCTAATTATTATATAGATCCCGAAGTTTTTTTTCCATTCTGACACACCAACATGTAAACATAAAGCCAGCAGTCCCCTAATAATTAAAAAAAATCTGTAATTCAGTTAATAATTAATCAATTCTATTTTTTCTTGGACTATTCAGGAGGACCTAAAAAGCACCTAATTATGATACAAAGAAAAAATTTGAAAAAATATTTTTTACTATAGGGGACTGCTAGCTTTTATAAACCTAGCAGTCCCTTAGTTTTTTTTGATTTTCTCAAAGACTAGAGGAGCACCTAATTTTGAATTAGAGGCCCTAATTAGCACCTAAAAAGCACCTAATTATTATATAGATCTCGAAGTTTTTTCGCCATTCTGACACACCAATGTGTAATCCTAAAGCAAGCAGTCCCCTAATAATTAAAAAAAAAATCTGTAACTCAGTTAATAATTAATCAATTCTCGAGTCAATTCTATTTTTTCTTGGACTATTTAGGAGCACCTATAAAGCACCTAATTCTGATACAAAGAAAAAATTTGGAAAAATATTTTTTACCATAGGGGACTGCTAGCTTTTATAAACCTAGCAATCCTTTAGTTTTTTTTGATTTTCTCAGAAACTAAAGGAGCACCTAATTTTTAATTAGATGCCCTAATTAGCACCTAAAAAGCACCTAATTATTATATAGTTCCCGAAGTCTTTTTTCCACGTTGGGACTGCTAGGTTTATAGACCTGATAATTCCCCAAGTCAAAGATTTAGTAATTATGTTGGTAACACAAGCCTTTTCTACATAAATTTTTTTAAAGCATTGACAATTTTACATTGTATTGCCAACATAATGTCATTTTGACTTTTATCTTAAAAAAAAACAGACTTTATACAGATATCTTCATACATTCAAGAACTTATTATTGTCACAACACCCTCTCTTAGGGCCAGTTTCACAAACAGTGGTAACCCAACGGTAACCACAAGACACTGGTAACCTACAATATATCTGTTTTATAATGTTTGGTTTAACCAAAACCATTGGTCAAGCTTCAGAATATTCAATGTAAATAGTCGATCTGCAACTATGAGTTTGATAACCAGTGCCGTTTACTACAACCATTCACACATAAATACAACTTGTGGTCGGAAACGTGTCAGTCTGCTACCAGAATCGGACATGGAAGCACCTCTGAAGATGCTAGTCACACGTGCTAGCAAAATGTCAGGAAGAAATTCCAACTTACGGCGGCCATTAAGCCCAAATGAAAACACTTTATCCATTTAAAAAATAATCCTTATTATTTATCAAATGGTCTGTACAGGCATAATCCATAAAAAATAGAAACTCATCAGTATTACTTACAGTTTTTGAAATGATTCCACTACCTCTACTTATCATAAAACTTATTGCATTTTCCTTAGAATCAGTGTAACTAAACAATAAACTATACATATGTATCTGAATCAATAATTTATTCTTTTTAGGAGAAGTATATGTTCTGGATGATGGAGGCGAAGTAGATCTGGATCTTGGAAACTATGAAAGATTTTTAAACATAACATTACACAGAGAAAATAACATTACTACTGGAAAGGTTTACCAATCTGTTATATCCAAGGAAAGGCATGGGGATTATTTGGGAAAGACTGTACAAGGTAATCTTATCTTATTGATTAAATCGAAACTTTTAGTAATAGTAAAAATGCTGTTCACTTACATGATTAAAAACACGGATCCAATTACTGAATTATCTCTGAGGATACTTAATTTTATGATTTAATTAAAAAAAAAATTAAAACAATTATACTTACACTATTATTATTAAAATATAATTTCTCTATAGTTGTTCCCCACATAACAGACGCAATTCAAGAATGGGTGGAAAAGGTAGCCCAAATACCAGTTTCAGAAGGTGGAAAAACTCCAGAAGTATGCATCATCGAATTAGGAGGAATCGTTGGAGATATTGAAAGTATGGCCTTTGTTGAGGCTTTCAGACAATTTCAATTTAGGGTCAAGAGGGAAAATTTCTGTGTTGCACATGTTTCTTTGGTTCCACAGGTAAGAATTATTATCCATGAAGATATTACAATCTATCAACAATTTTTTTTAGCCAAAAACAACAGGTGAATCAAAAACGAAACCCACCCAATCTTCAGTGAGGGAATTGCGAGGTTTAGGTCTGTCCCCAGACATAATCGTTTGTAGGTCGGAAAGGCCAATAGCAGAAAGTGTCAAAGAGAAAATTTCCAGTTTCTGTCATGTGGCTCCTCAACAAGTAAGCTAAACCTGACTCCCACTTAAACAAAAGTTTCATAACAAATTTTCAGATTATCAGTGTACCAGATTTGCACTCTGTCTATGAAGTCCCAGTCTTTATAGAAAACCATGGAATAGCAGATTTTTTGTGTGAAAGACTTCATCTGGGTGTCGCTCCTTTGCCTCCTAGGCGTAAATATATGGCCGAATGGATTGAACTAGGAGACCGCATAAGGCATCTCAAATACGAGGTTATTGTAGCTATTGTAGGCAAATATACAAGACTTGAAGATTCGTACACTTCCATAACAAAAGCCTTACATCATGCGGGCAATAAAATAGGCTATAAAGTCGTTATTAAATTTATTGAAGCTTCAAATTTGGAAAACACAATGTTAACTGATGACCCTGCTTCTTATCATACAGCTTGGAGGGAACTTTGTTTATGCGAGTAAGAAATTTAGTTGGTTTAAATATGTTTTTACTTAATTATTATTTTTAGTTGTGTTGTTGTGCCAGGTGGCTTTGGTAAACGCGGAGTGGAGGGCAAAATTGAAGCTGTCAGGTGGTGCAGACTAAACGACAAACCTTTTTTGGGTATTTGTCTTGGTTTCCAAGCTGCCGTGATTGAATTTGCAAGAAATGAGCTGAAATTAACTGATGCACATTCCATTGAGGTAGTTAAATTAGTTGTTGTTTTTAGCAATTTTTCATAATAATTGTTTTAAGGTTAATGAGGACACAAAATATCCTGTTGTTATTGACATGCCAGAACATAATACAGGTGAAATGGGTGGTACAATGAGGCTGGGACAAAGAACTACTGTTTTTAAGACTTCAAGTAATTCTAGTAAAATAAGTAAGTCATACAATAATTATCTACTAAAAATGGTTTTACTATATATATATTTTTCTTTTAAGGAAAATTATATGGTGGCAAAGAAAAAATTGAAGAACGTCACAGGCACCGATACGAAGTTAACCCAGAGTATATTCAAAACCTTGAAAAACATGGACTTAAATTTGTGGGTGTTGATGTGGACCAGCAAAGAATGGAAATCCTGGAACTAGACAACCACCCTTACTTTGTGGCAGTGCAATTTCATCCTGAATATTTGTCAAGGCCTGTTAACCCTTCGCCTCCTTTCATAGGTTTGATATTGGCTGCCAAAGATAGACTCAAAGGATACTTAGCCAGAGGTTGTAAATTGAGTCCCAGAGAACCGCAGAGTGATTATTATGATTCAGGTGAGAATTGTTGTTGAAAATCTCAACAAGTGAAACTTGACAAAAATATTTTTTTTTTTTTTTTAGAAGAAGAATTGCATGACGTCAACGAACTGAGGGTAAAACAACTAAACATTGGTGAAAATGAAAATGATGACAACAGCAGTGCTTATAGTAGCTCGAGTCAATTCTAAGTTTATTAGAATAAGTCTGAACCAATATTTAGATAAAACTGTCTTCCTTGTCTTTGCAATTTAAATGGGATTTTTTTGCATATTTTTTTAGTGATTTCAACATGTGATATTGTTTGAAAATATTCAATTATGTATAACTTTTGTTGTGGGGGGCTTAGATCAGGATGACATAATGCTAAATTTTTCATATAGGTTTCATGATGTTCATTGACAAAAATCTATGTAAGTTCAATTAGGTTAAGCCATAAATTGTTAATACATTTTTGTATTTTGTATTCTCGACTTGACAGTTTCTGGTAGATAGTAATAACCTGTAGTTGGACTTGAATATTTATGCAATATAATGTTTCTTGTAAGGGAGATCTTTTTTTTTAAAAGAAGCTAATAAGTGCAACCACAAACTACCAAATTGTGTGGTCCAGATGATAATGATTCACTTCCCAGTAATTGGAAAGTTGATTTGGTGACTACAATATTGTATTCGCTTTGCAACAATCTGCCTGTAGATTGGTGAGTGATAATAATTATTGATGGGTAAAAGAGGAAACATCATGTCCCATGAGAATGTGTTGTCGCATCATCATGCAGACATTCACAGGTACTTGTAACAAATAACAATAATATTTATCTAGAAGTACTAACTCCGTAATGCCTATTATTGATTTTTTTGCTTGCATGTAATTACTAATTCATAGTATAACAATAATTTTATTGTATGAGCAAAATTATATTTATCAAGTCCAATTTGACTTTGGAAAATCCTTATTAGCTGTCCATATCCGCCAATGAACATTGTTAAATAATAATTAATGCGGATCAGGTAAATCTATCAATCTCTACTGGAATTATGTTGACATCTACATTCAAAGCATTTTTATCCGTGACCATAATTTAATTAATTTTAATAGAGTATTGAAAGACACAATATTTATGCTAACTATTCATTTGTCAGTTGAAGATTGTTGGAAGCGGTTGAATTTTTTCTTGTTTGAAAAGTACTACAGTGAGACGAGATGTGCAGAATTATTCGTGCTATATTTATGGTAAGAATATAGGGATCAGTATAAAACTAGACCAATTCAAATTATCATGTCATTTTGAAGACAATTCCTGGAATTTCATTTGACAGCATTTTTATTTTTAAATCTACATTCCCAATGGTATGCTATGGTATGAGGCATTAATGGAACCTAAGATACAAAGCATCAGCGTAATGTTGGGTTCTTAAATAGTCTTTCATTCAAGCGCATATAGTGATTGAAGAGTACCTCAAGTAGGTGCAACGCCAATCCTTATTAAAGAAGCATTAGAATTATCGAGAAGCACCTGTACTGAGCCATTTCGCAGATTATATAAATTCACATCCATTCACTTGTTACAAAGATTGATTGAGACAAAACTTTTTAGTCAACTTCATTCTGTTTTCATACAAGTATTCTTCAAAAGGTTTCTCATCTCTCAGGATGTTTCAGGATGAAAGTAAAATATGAACATCATTTAAAACTTTTGTATTCTTTTCAAGCTCGTCGTTGTTGCTCTATTCATGGCAACAACTCGAGGAGCACCAGCTCCAGAACCACGTCCTGCTCCCCAATGGGTGGTACCATCTTACGGCTATGCTTATCCGTATTATTACAACAGCTATTATTATGCAGCACCTTCATTGGGTAGGTATATATTGACAAATGTTAGCTTTATTCTAATTTGTATATTTTTTTTTACATTTAGGCTATGCTTATTGGATATAGAAGTGCCAATATGTTGCGGCAGTACCTTAACTATTATAATTGAGTCATATATATTTTTTCACTACTTAACAATATTATAGCATATTATAGATTTCTATCATGTATTATTGTTACATAATAATTAATTAACATCGTAGTACATAGATAATTTGCACATAAAAGTCCACATTATTATCTATGTAAATATCGTGAATGCATTGAATAAATAAATAATTAAAAAATAGTTGCGGTTTAATCATGATTAAGTACTAATTTTATGTATTTATAGAACATCAACAATAAAGGTATATCTTGGATGCTACATTTTATTAAATACTTATATGGATGTCGGAAATTTAAATTCATTCTACACAAATAAAATACTATAAACGAATAATATAATCAGAGGATTTAAAATTAGGAACAAATTGTAGTAGAATTTTAGGCATAGGGTAGTAAGATAAGGCAAGTGACCCTAAAATATGTTAGTAAGAACTTTAGAACAAAAAAGGTTTCCCATTGTGGCTTCAAGTTTTCAGAAAAATTATTATTCTCTCTGGTAGTCCTGGTAGGCTAAAGCATTACTTTGAAAGCCTTTTTTGCTTCAAAGATTACTCATTGATGAACTAGATAACAAAATAGCCCTATATTGTAGCAGTACTTAGGTACTACAATGATTATTGTCCTATAAATATTTGTCAGCAGGTTAAAATTACTCAAATGAAAATCCCATAAAAGTATAAGTAGGTTTCAAAAATACATTAATATGCAGCATCACTATAGCTTTGAAGAGAAGAAAATCCAGAGCGTCGAAGTGGCGTCAGTCGGTGGTCGAGACGCTAGCCGATACACGCATCCAGGCGCCAATTTGCGTAGATCGGCGTCGTCGGGATGAAAATCGATAGCGCTTCTAGCTTTCCAGCGTTCGTAATGTAGTCGGGGCAGTTTTTCTTAGAGAAACATGCAGCCTCCGTCGCTTCGGTTAGGCCTTAGGACTCCGCCAGTGCTTCGCTAGTTGAACAAGCCCCCTCGCGCGCCTCCTTTGTAGTGCCACACCCCCCACACCACGCTCCCAGAGACTGGGTTTCGTTTCCGTTTTTGCACATCTTCAGGTAACGACCCCCCCAAGAACCTGCCGATTAATAAACATACACCTGTTAGGTATTATTGGGGATAAAAATAGATTTTGAACATCCTTTTTTGTTAAAGAGCGGTCTAAGAATAGAAACTTGTTTACATATACATTTGTGCAGACCTTCCCTAAGTACCTACTACCTACTTCTGGCTAGGTCAGATTAAAGTTGTATTTCTTTCTACAAAAACCCCAGAACTATTATAACCAATAATTACTACAATCAGTTATTCTTTTTCAGTTTAATTTTTGGCTTAAACATCAGCAACAAGTTATAAAAAAAATAATGCTCAACACAAATCGCAACATTCTGTTCAAAGCTACCGTGCTAGCGTTGTGCGTCATTTCCTTAGTTCACGTGTTCCTGTTTCCGCTCTACGAGGGCCGAGGAGCGGCACCGCGTACCTACGGAGATTTCGAACAAAGTTTATGTACCAACAATATTAAGAGGCGCAAAGTCTGGAGGTTGAGCCGGTGCCCGCAGGATGGGATCGTTACTATCATGCAAGGAGGTAGATTGGGTAAGAAGGAAATTATCTCATATTGTAGATTTTTGAAGAATAATTTTGATGTTCTGTTTGTGGATTGGTGATATTCTAGTACAGGAGATGATTTTCCAAAACTGATCACACTATATAAATTATTTGGATAGACCTGGAAAAGTTACAAGGCTTTCTCATACTATGGTAATTTGCACAATAAAGCATAATTGATTTGTTTAGACCCATTTTATTCATCTCCAGATAAACTTGCTGGTAAATACCGAGACATCACAGCACACAGACATCTTAAAGGCTTCCCTATTTCGTTATTATTACTTATTTCATAAGTTTCAATTTTTGTCTATTCCAGGCTCCATGAATTAATCTGAGGTTTTTAAATTGTTCTCAAGCCTTTCAAAATGCTGCTGAAGAGTGTTTTGGACCATTCTAAAAGGCTCATTGAAGTTCTAAAGTGTTTTTACTTGGCTTGGAGCATTCTAGAAGTTTTTCAGTAATTTCAAAATTGTTCTGACAGATTTTTAGGCATTTTAGATTCCCATGGAAGCTCCCAAACTGCTCTAAAAAATAGTTCTAAAAGTTTCCGGTTCTAAATTGAATCCTAATCGTTCTAAAATTAACTCTGGAGTTTCTAAATTATTCCAAAATACTCCTGAAAATTCTGATTTGGACTTGAACCGTCTAAAGTTCTACAGCAATCTAAATTCGCTTTTGAACGCCTTCTGAAATGCGTTTTGTAACTTTTAACCAGAATCCTGAGATTCCGGCGTTTTTCAAAATGTTTCTGGAAATTCTAGAGTGTTTTGAGTTTCAAACTTCTGAATTGTTCTAAAATGTTTTTGGAAATTGTTACTCAGTTTTTGAATATTTTGAAGCATTCTAAAATGGTTCTGATATTTCCAAATTGTTCTGAAGCACTACAGAATGGGTACTTTTGGTAATTCTGAATCAAATTTTAAATGTTTTGAACTTTTCAAAAAACTTATTAAAGTTCTAAAGTGTTCTGTACAGGGGCGGATACAGGGGAGGGGCAGTTTAAGTTAAAGTAAGTCAGATTAGGTTAGTTTGGGTTAGTTTTGGCTACGCATTACCTATGCAAAATACGGTTTTTTGAAGGAATGGCCCATAAAAATATGGGGTTGCCAAACTAGTAACATAATCTGAGAAGTTATTCAAGTACAAACGAGTGGATTGTTGCGGAACTTATGGGTGGACCGCTGCGCTCGTCCCGCAGTCATCTATTAATTAATACGTTATTCAAATACGATACTAACCTGACTCATACTCAAATGTCAGTTATTCTCATTAGTTCAAAAACTACAAGTTTCAAGTGAGTGTCTTATTTGAATAGTTCAACAGTATATTGGTGAGTAGATGGCTGCGGAACTCGTTGCGCTCGTCCTGCAGAAGTCCACCCATAAGTTCCACAATAATCCGCTTATTTGAACTTGAACAATAACTTATTATGTAAAGTCAAAATTTGTAAGATTATGATTATTCACTTTTTGTCAATTGGCCTTTTAACAGGAATTAGTAATGTTACTTTACTTACGACTAATGTCACCCCCAGGATCCTTATTCTTGAAACAGGGAAGCAACGTTCCCAGGAGAACGAGAGTGTTCCTTCTTTCTCAATGATATGCAAATGATAATATAAACAACAAAGACAGAACACTCGTTCTCCTGGGAACGCTGCTCCCCTGCTTCAAGAATAAGGACCCAGGGAATAATGACGAGTAGCGGGATTAATGGTCATTATTCCTCAAAAGTGTCAAACGTGTAGTGCTTGTGGATTTGTATTGAGATGAATGAAATTTGCTATTGAAAATCTCAAATAAATTAAGTTGTCTCGTAAATAAAGTAGTGTATACTACTCGTATAGCAATAATGGCTATTATTCCCTCGGAATGTTACTCCCTCGGAATGTTACTCCCTCGCCGCTAACGCGGCTCAGATCGTGAATATTCCTCGGGGATAATAGCTATTATTATTGACTCATGGTAAAATCTACTATTATCAAACTAGTAATATATTGCGACAAGTTATTCAAGTACAAACTGGATTGTTGCGGAACCTATGGGTGGACCCAGCCATCTATTCACCAATATGTTGTTCAAGTACAATACTAACCTGATTCACTCAGTTGAGAATTTTTCTCATTAGTTTAAAAACTACATGTTTCAGGTGAACAGTTCAACAGTATATTGGTGAGTAGATGGCTGCGGAACTCGCTGCGCTCGTCCCGCAGAGGTCCACCCATAAGTTCCGCAATAATCCACTTATTTGTACAGAGTGTTTTTTTATATATTGACACTCCACCTACAGTCTTTACCTTCACAGGTAGGTGTAAATACAAAAGTTGTACAGTTTTGGCTGATTTTCTAGAAACCATGGTCAGAAACAAAATTTGAATGTCAGAAATGTGAAATATTGCATGCTTCCAGCTTTTTTCAAATGCCTCCCTGTCCCCCCACTGTATCCGCCTCTGATTCTGTAGCATTGTGAATGATTTCCAGTAACTTCTTAATTGAATGAGAAACGAATTCTGTGGCAAATCCTTGTAGACATCTTTTAAAAGACGGTCCTATTCCTGAGATGACCACAAACGACATTCATATGTTTATGACCTTGAAGACGTTGTACGTGACAAAACCCAACGTCTTTCAGACATCTGCCTAAAGGACCAAGTACCTTCTAAAGACCTATGCTAAAGACATCTTCAACGTGATGTCTTAAAGACGTCTTTAAATGTCTTCCGTTTATCAGAAGGTGAATAAACCGACCGGTGTGAAATTAGCCTCTTAAGATAGCCTCCAAAACTTCCGGAAACTGCCGAACGGCCAGTGGCGTCGGAAATATAGGAAAATATATTCTAAAATCTGCTTGTACTGACAAATTCATATTTTCGGGATAAATTGTGACAAGCATTTGCTCTTTTTCACCCTAACACCAGATTCCAATAGGCCGTCAGATGGTGTCAAAATATATAGAGTTGAAGATATAAAAAGAAACATATTTCAAAATCTGCTCGTGCTGACATATTCATATTTCCAGGACAAATTACGACAAGCATTTGCTATCTTTTCATCCTAACACCAGATCCCGATAGGCCGTCAGAAAGTGTCAAAATAGGGGTGAAAATATCAAAAAAATTATATCTAAAAATCTGCTCGTGCTGACTGATTCATATTTCAGGACAAGTTATGACAAGCATTTGCTATTTTTCCATCCTAACATCAAATCCAGATGGGCCGTCAGAGGGTGTCAAAATAGGGGTGAAGATATCGAAAAACTCATATCTCAAAATCTGCTCGTGCTGACAGATTCATATTTTCAGGATAAAATTAGACAAGCTTTTGCTATTTTTTCACCCTAACATCAGATTCCTATGGGCCGTCAGTGGGTGTCAAAAAAGTGGTGAAGATATCAAAAAAATCATGTCTCAAAATCTGCTCGTGCTGACAGATTCATATTTTCAGGACAAATTACGATAAGCATTTGCTATTTTTCCATCCTAACACCAAATCCCGATGGGCCGTCAGAGGGTGTCAAAATAGGGGTGAAGATATCGAAAAACTCATATCTCAAAATCTGCTCGTGCTGACAGATTCATATTTTCAGGATAAAATTAGACAAGCTTTTGCTATTTTTTCACCCTAACATCAGATTCCTATGGGCCGTCAGTGGGTGTCAAAATAGGGGTGAAGATATCAAAAAAATCATCTCAAAATCTGCTCGTGCTGACAGATTCATATTTTCAGGACAAATTACGATAAGCATTTGCTATTTTTCCATCCTAACACCAAATCCCGATGGGCCGTCAGAGGGTGTCAAAATAGGGGTGAAGATATCGAAAAACTCATATCTCAAAATCTGCTCGTGCTGACAGATTCATATTTTCAGGATAAATTTGGACAAGCATTTGCTATGTTTTCACCCTAACATCAGATCCCGATAGAGCGTCAGAGGGTGTCAAAATAGGGGTGAAGATATCAAAAAAATCGTATCTCAAAATCTGCTCGTGCTGACTGATTCAGATTTTCAGGACAAATTATGACAAGCATTTGCTATTTTTTTGCCTCAACACCAGATCCCGATAGGCCGTCGGAGGGTGTCAAAATAGGGGCGAAGATATCAAAAAAATCGTATCTCAAAATCTGCTCGTGCTGACAAATTCATATTTCCAGGACAAATTACGACAAGCATTTGCTATTTATTCATCCTAACATCAGATCCCGATAGGCCGTCAGAGGGTGTCTCCATAAGGCATCCAAGATGCTTCATCAACTTACCCATTACTAGACAACCTTAACTTTAGGAACCTTGGGTGAGAAACTAACAAATGTCTGTCATAATTTATCCTGAAAATATGAATCTGTCAGTACGAGCCGATTTTGAATTATGATTTTTTTGATATATTCGCCCCTATATTGACACTCTCTGACGGTCTATCGAGATCTAGTGTTAGGGTGAAAAAAATAGCAAATGATTGTCGTAATTTGTTTTGAAAATATGAATCAGTCAGCACGAGCAGATTTTGAGATACGATTTTTTTGATATCTTCGCCCCTATTTTGACACCCTCCGACGGCCTATCGGGATCTGGTGTTGAGGCAAAAAAAATACCAAACGCTTGTCATAATTTGTCCTGGAAATTTGAATTTGTCAGCACGAGCAGATTTTGAGATACGATTTTTTTGATATCTTCGCCCCTATTTTGACACCCTCCGACGGCCTATCGGGATCTGGTGTTGAGGCAAAAAAATAGCAAATGCTTGTCATAATTTGTCCTGAAAATATGAATCAGTCAGCACGAACAGATTTCGATATATGATTTTTTTTATATCTTCTCCCCAATTTTGACACCTTCTGACGGCCTATCGGGATCTGGTGTTAAGGTAGAAAAATAGCAAATGTTTGTCATAATTTGTCCTGAAAATATGAAGCTGTCAGCACGAGCATATTTTGGGATATAATTTTTTTGATATCTTCAACCCTATTTTGTCACCCTCTGACGGCCTATCGGGATCTGGTGTTAGGGTGAAAAAATAGCAAATACTTCTTGTAACAATTTGTTCTGAAAATATGAATCTGTCAGTACGAGCAGATTCTAGGATACGATATTTTCTTATATTTCCGACGCCACTGGCCGTTCGGCAGTTTCCGGAAGTTTTGGAGGCTATCTTTAGAGGCTAATTTCACACCGGTAATAAACCGGCCCTTGAAATACAAAACTTTATCTACCAATTCTCTACTGAAGGCAAAAAATCGTTTTTCCATGGAATACTGCTGTTAGTAGATTTTTTAAGCAAAACTTTTGTCTTTATTTTATCCTGCACTTATAGTACCTCTATGAGGTTTTCTTGGGTACCTAGTCTGTGAGGCTATAAGAAGTAGCGTATAATAACATAGTATACTTATAGTCCAGCAGTAATTTTTTTCCAGTTCCAGTGCAGAAATCTTTTTCTCAGACTCAGTAATAGGTTTTTTTTTATTGAGGCAGGCTTTTCCTTATCTGCATATTTAAACATTTGTGTACACCTTTAAATAGGTACTTATGTTACTTATGTATTAAAAAATAGCAAGATTAGAGAAATGAAAGTAAATTACTGATAATGTTTTAATAAGCGAAAAGTTATTTAAATGTTGCATTAGTTTAAATTTATTATCCAAAACAAAATGTCCAATACGTTTAAAACAATATTTCTTTTAATGTCTGGACTCACTTTATTTTATACATTCTTGCCAACCGTTTTTATATTAGACAATAAAATTGTTAGAGTCAATATAACTGGGGAACCTTCGATATCAGAAAGCTCTATTGAGGTACTTAAAAAAAATACATATTGGAATTTGGAAAAAATGTTGTGCCTTGAAGATCCAGCAATTGATAGTACTATTACTAGGTTTAAACTGTCTGAGATGACTACGTGTCCTAAAAGTGGGATTGTTTCTATCTACATTATGGGAAGGACTGGTAGGCATTTAATAACTTCAAGCATATTATGAGTAAAGAGTTTCGTTATCTAATTTTTTAACAAATTTTGAATCTTTGTAACATTCAACTGGTATACTATTGTACATTATTTTATGGACTATTACGTACCTATGTGTATATTTCTTAAAGATTCAGCAGCAACTGATTAAAGGATTATTTCCAAGAACTCCTAGACAGATAAAGTGAATCAATGCGAGTCAGAATACACAATAAACTGCTGTTATATGAAATATGAGGCATGTATAAGTCCAAAGTCCTTATTCCAGTTTCATCTATCAAAATCTACTCCTATTTATGTATTAAACTGATTTTAAATTTGCCCTGAAATGTTTATAGGTAGCGTCGTGCATTATAAGTCATAAAAATTTATCCACAGTATAGTAATCATAGAACCTATCAACACCCATAATAAGTTTTATGCATTATTTTACGATGTAATTTCTTAAAGTGGTAATGGAATTATATTTTTTCTACAACAATACGTTAGTTATTGCCTATACACTTTACTAAAAAAATAATGATGATGTTTTTCTCAACATTTAACAGACTACTTTTCAAAGTTTCTTCAAAATTCAATGTCGTACTTAAAGCGGTAATTGTTATCGGTATAATTATTGCTCTATCATTACTAATTCATCATCCCCAATATGATGGGGGAAAAGTAAAAAATATCCCACCACAACGAAGATCATTCAATTATTCTATGAAAAAAAAAATTCCTGGCGCAAGTCCAGTATTCGTTTACGAAGACGTGCAAATGAATTTGTGCAACGAATTTATACAATTGGACAGGAAACCTCATTTACATGGCGATAAAAGTATTTGCCCTTTGACGGGCATTGTTTCGGTAGTTAGAGGATACAATACTGGTACCTAACAATAATTATTTGTTTAAATTAAAAAAATGTTTAATAATTAAATTAACTTTTCTTTAGGCAATCAAATGTGGGAATACGCCTCAGTTTGGGCAGTCGCCCGACGTACCGGACTCGAGCCCTACATACCAAGATGTATCAAATTGAAACTGGACCAAATTTTCGAACAATTGTCAGTGCCGGCCTTTGAAGAGATAGCGCATTGTCCTGTCGAATTTAATACGTTTGTAAAGTCTATTGAAGAATGGAATTTTACCAATCAGGTATTTGTACTTACATTCAAAAATTTAAAAATTGGTTTAATTCTCTATGTGATTTCAGAGCATTATTCTACCAAGATACACTCTCAAACCTAAGCTGGTTCTAACGTGGGTCCAAGATATAATTCAAGAGTTCAGATTCAGGAAGAAACTTAGAGAAAAGTCTCAGCAAATACTAACGAGTCTTCTTAGAAAATTGCCACCGAGAGATTATACTTTTGTTGGTGTTCATGTACGAAGGACTGATTATGTAGGATACTTAAAAAGGTAATATTATGGCTTTAGGCTTGATTTAAAAATGGAAAAGAGCTACTGCATCCATTGTCTGATAGTCCAAAAAGCTTATGATTTCTACTCTATCAGTTAGCATGTGAACCAATTACTATTGTTTCTCTATAGAAAATATGATGAATCACCAGTAACTAAGCAATTCTTCATCAACGCAATGGCCTACTACAAGAACAAATACCGCGATTGCCTTTTCGTATTTCTCAGCGACGACCCCAATTGGTGCTATCAGCATTTCGGCAGAAAGCCGGACGTCTACGTGGCATCGTACAAAACGAAAAATACCCCGGCCTTAGATCTGGCCCTTATGGCGGCCTGCAATCATAGCATTTTCGATTACGGCACGTTCGGCGAGTGGGGCTCTATTCTAGCTGGAGGAGAGACTGTTTATAGCAATATGACGCAAAATATTAAAAAAGGTACTGGCAGGATTATGAAAAACTGGATGGCGATGGACTGACCCTTAGGTGAATGAATTATACAGGAGAGTTTATGACTGCAATGCAAAAGGGTAACTGCTTCAGGAAACATTTTCTTTCAAAGATTGTGATTGTTTCCGCTTGTAGTTTGTTAGATACTAAGGGTAGCTAAGGTTTAAAAATTCTATCGTAACTATTTTCTTACTGCATATTTGGATGTGGGAGAAAAATACTCTATTTTATGATTCATGTGAAAAATATTGAACTTGGAAATTTGTTTGTCATATTAGATTTGTATAAAAAACTACCTATTCCTGCATCTAACAGACTGCATCTTTCTAACAAATTTGAAGGAAATCTATAGGTACCTAGTACCTACCAAAGATAAAATGCCAAATCAAGTAGGTATTATGTCATTGTATTTTCTTTTAATACCTACATAAAAATAACTGATTTACTTATAAAATAAAGTTCTGAAAACATTTAAAACTTCAGCAAAGTGTGAAAAGGATTTTTGCAATAAAGTACTAGGATAAAATCGAATATTACTGTTACAAGACTTGTATATTTTTATCAGTAGAATATTTTCCCACTAAACTTATTTGTATACCTACCTATTATACAGGGTTGTAAAAAAATCTATATATTTTTGTTATTTTAGTTTTAGTTGAAAGGAAACTATTTACATGGATACGTTATCGGTTTTGTTGTATTAAAGAATTTATTTATTTACAACAAAAAAAAAAAAGAAATATATTTTTAATTATTCTATCCAAGGCTGAAAAATCTATCTCACAATTCGTAGCAGCGTTTATTTATTTTCTAATATAATATGAGTAGTTTTCTGGATTGGAATTCATGTTTTAACAATGTAATTAAACTTTGCACTGATATTTAGAAAAATGTGTATATAGAATTGAAAATAATGTTTTCATGATCAATTAAAATCACTTTGCAGTATCTCAATGTATTACCTATTTTTTCTGATAAATTAATATGTACAAAATAAGTACGTACTTATATAATTATTCATATTCATGTTCAATAGATTAGAATAGAAAATCTTCCAAATGTCTTTTTTCCTTTCGAAACTGAGTGCCAAAAAAACTATAATTTTCAAAAATTAGCCACAATTCTTTGTGTGCCAAAACATTTTTCAATCTGTGATCTTGAAAATTCTTTTTGAACAGCCTTTAATAAAAATTTATTATAAATTATATCCTATAAGAATTATATCCATTTCATAACATAAATACATATTTTTATTTATTGTTTCTCAAAAATCATTATGCCATAAAAGCTAAAAAGGTTCTAAATATTTTATGTATGCATCTTTTTTCACATGCCTGCTATAATACTGTTGAAATTATGTATCCACTACATTCAAAACCTGTAAATAATATTAATATCTCTGTGATAAATTTACTATATACAATCATGGTAGAGGAAATACACAAATTACCAATGAAAATTATAAATATGAAATATTCAATATCGACAATATTGAATGTTTTTTTTTTTTTTTTTCTTATTTGCAGGCAAATATAAACCAATTTCTATGTGAGAACTATTTAAGAAAAACAAAAATGTAGCATTGTGTAGGTATAATAAATGTATTTAAGTAATTTTTTGTGTCTTTGTCTGTTTCTTTATATAATTTGAAAATATGTTTCCAAAAACCCATTCGGCCACTTTTATGTGCCGGGAATAGGAAAAAATATATACCTATATATTTTTTTTTTCAGTTTTTGTCTATTCCAGGCGCTATAGGCTCTCCGAAATAACAAATATTTAAGTATTTTAGAGCCCTATATTGAAGCTCCAAAGTGTTCTAAATTGGTTCAAAAGAGTTCTAAAAGCTTTCCAGTTCTCAATTGAATCCTTATTGTTCTGAAATAACTCTAAAGTTTCTAAATTGTTCCAAAATGGTTCCGAAAGTTCTGATTTGGATTTGAACAGTTTTGTATGCTTTAAAGTTCTACAGCAATCTAAATTCGCGCTTGAACGCCTCCTGAAAGAGACAGAGAGAAAGGCGTTTTTCAAAATTTTCCTGGAGTGTTTGAGTGATTTGAAGCGTCCTAATAAAATGGGTTGCAAACTTCTGAATTGTTCTAATATACATTGGGAAATTGTTGTTTTGGGGCATTCAAAAATGCCTCTGAAGTTTCTAAATTCTTCTGAAGCGATACAAAATAGGTACTTTCGATTCTGAATTGAATTTTGTTGAACTTTCCAAAAGGCATATTAAAGTTTTAAAGTGTTATTCTGTAGCATTCTAAATGGTTTCCGTTCTTAAATTGAGTAAAAAACAAATTTTGTGGGAAATTTTTGTAGACATCGAAGTCCCTAATGGCCGTTTCCACCAACTATTTTAGGGGAGCCCTAACGATAAGTATTCCCTAAAATGACATTTTTACATGGAGAAATGTCAGTTTAGGGAATACTTATCGTTAGGGCTCCCCTAAAATAGTTGGTGGAAACGGCCATAAGATGTCCACAAATGACGTTCAAGTAGGCTTACATGCTTAAGGTGTCTTGAAGACATCTTGAAGTCTTTCAGAAGACGTCTGCCTGAAGCCGTCTTTAGGATTACATTCTATAAAGACGACTTCAACGAGATGTCTTAAAGACGTCTTTAAATTTCTTTTTTTACTACTTACCTGAGAAAGTCATTATTCAATCTATTTTTCTAGGAAAAAATTGAATTTCTCTCCCTAGGTTAATAATGAAAAAATACCTAGGTTGATAATGAAAATGACGTCATGACGCAAGGATATTGTAAAAAACAGGTTTCTGAGGTACCATCGTCACCAAAAGTAACTGGGACAGCATCACATTAGCTCTTGTCCTATTATACAAATTTTATTGTCAAATATTTGTCAAACTATGAATTAAATGCATTGAAATGAATGACAGTAGAATTAGTCCAGGAGATTATTATGCATTATTTGTGTCCCAGATACTTTTGGTGACGATGGTACATAGGAAGTTATCATAAGGTGTTGATAGAGGGCACCACTTTCAAGAAATGGCCATTAGAAAGATTAAGAAGAAAAGAAAATTCAAGATCCGGGAATAGACAAAATATGAGATGGAAAAATTGAAAAATAAAGAATAAATAAATATATACCTACTTAGATAATAATAATATTAATAATAATACCTGAGTAAACATCAAAAAATTTGCAAAAATATGGCGGCAGGAGCGTGGCTAACTTCTATATTCATATTCAAAATTTGCAAGAATATGGCGGCGGTACCGAATTTCTATTTGAAAAGGTTGTCAATGTAGGTGGGCCGGGGCTATTGGAAAGGGTTGAAAAGGAAACAACCAATCAAATACCTTGACGATACATAAACCCCGGAAAGGGGCGGGGCTCAACTAACCAATTAAATGCCCTGCTGATATCACTCGCATCTGATTGGAAAGGGGCGGGGCCTATATCCAACCTATCAAATGCTTTGTTGATATCCTTGCGTTTGATAACGAGTCAGCCACAGTGTTGCCAACTTGACGGAATTATCCCCTTTTTGAGGAAATTTTCTATTTTCGTTCGCAAAGGGTAGAAGCGGAAAGCGGAATAGGCTCATTCAGTGAAGTGTCATTAACCACGTTTTTTGATATTTTTATGGAGTATTACTCACATATATAGCACACAAAAAAAAAATTCAGCTAGATTGGATAAATATTAAAAAAGCTCTGCGGCTTTGAATATTAAAATATTATACCTCAGAAATTCATCGCTGGCTAAAGGCCGTCACACGACCAAGTGAGAGATGCAGTGACGTCACCGCGTGTTCCAAACCTTTCAAATTTGGATCGTTTTGATAATTTATTTAAATATGAACAAGGGCTCAGAAAATTATGAAATTTTGCACAACTGCTAAACTCAATACGCTCTTTTAGAATATGTAATAAAAAAAATATGCTGTACGAGCCTATTTTTAGTCTGTTTTTTTTTTAAGATAAAAGTCAAAATGACATTATGTTGGCAAAACAATGTAAAATTGTCAATGCTTTCAAACTTTTTATGTAGAAAAGGCTTATGTTGCCAACACAGTTACTAAATTTTTGTCTTGGGGAATTATCTTTAAAAAAAACAGACTTTATAACCAACCCCCCATTTCGTGTACGAAATGTACTCGAATGGTTTCGAAAATCGCACCCCTGTTCCTTGGTTTATGATTCTTGAATGGTGGGGGGCTATGACGTCACACTTGGCTGTCAAAGTTGTCAACCAAAAGAATAACCACGGTATTTACCGATAAATAATCATTCCAGGCTGAAAATCGCCTCAATACTTCAATAGTTGTATTCCCTTCACACCTAGGAGGAGCTCCGGAACAGCTCCGGGGCGTTACGTGCTTATTCCTTTTGAAAAGTGTTTCTTGCATCTGAAGTGCTCAAGCCCGAATCAAACCATTTAAATGCACGAAAGCCAGCGCATCTGTTTCTCGCAAATCGGGTTCGACTAACACCGGAGCGAGTAGCTCTAGTGTTCTAAACTCTTGAAAAAAATACAACTAATTAGATGCAGTCATGTTTTGGAATGATTCACCAATGAGAAATTAGACATCCTCGCATTTTTGGGCTTCTGACGTCACAGACCTAGCTCGCGTTTTGCAGTACCTATCGTTTAAAAATTCGATTTTTTGTTGAACAGGGTACAAAAAAATAGGTGCGCCCGAACTGAAGCATTGAGGGCTCGAAATTATCCAAAAAATCAACTTATTGGAAAGTCAACTTTGTTCGATTTTAGTAATGAAAGAATCAATTAGTCCTGAAATCAGAAAATCGACATTTTTTCGGATAGTCTATTGTTGATCTCAGTTGATCCAATATAATGATAATGGGTACATTCAGGCGGTCCCAGCGGCTTAGTTCAGCTACTCAGCAGGAACTTTATTCTCGAAACAGGGGAGCAGCGCTCTGTTTGGAACGAAATTTCTGTCTTTGTCGTCCGGCATAACACTGACAATGACAGAGCAATCGTTCTTATGAGAACGCTGTTCCTTGGTTTCGAGAATAAAGTCCCTGCTGAGTCGCTGAGCTTAGCCGCTGGGACCGCCTGAATGTACCTCTCAGTCCTACCCTGAATTACAAAAAATAGAATTCTATTTTATAGTGACACGAACTACTAAGAAATGCACCAACATTTATAAGCCCCCCTTAGCCAAAATACCAGTTATGACGTAGGCAGCATGTTATTTCTCGCCTTGACGTAGGCTGTTTAAACAGCTGACGACTTTAAGTTATGACCAATGAACTATAGGTTATATGGTTATGACATCGGAAATGGTAATACACAAATATGGCGGCGATTACCAAAAACGAGGCTGATAAGCAATTCTAGCAGGTGTGTATCATCATGGCTAGAACCTACCTTAACTTTTTAGCACTGAAGCCTAGTACTCATAACAGCGAAATTCGCACTTTTTTGACATTGCTTTGACAATTTGACGTTATGCGTGTATCAAACGTAAAATTGTCGAAGCAATGTCAAAAAAAGCGAATTTCGCAGTTATGAGTACTAGGCCTAATGTAGCAACCCTAGCGCAAGCGTCGAAAATTTGACGTTCCAAAGTAGGCCTAGAATTATTTTTATTTTTGACAGTCGATATAAAATGGCGTCTTTATGCTTTGGGCATTTTAGAGCAAAACTTTTTTTCCGAACTCTTAAAACCCTCGCCCTACGGGCTCGTAATAATAAAAACTCCGGCCCTCCGGGCTCGTAATCAATATGACCGACATAAGATGGTGGATCCATCCAGGTGTTTTCTCGCATCTCAAAGTTTTGAAACATTTTTCGGTCGTTTGAGAGAGGCAGGTTGCCTGATAACTTTATGACGTCATTTGAGGTGCCTCAACATAATAGAGGAATTCTTTCGATCTGAACAAACTGATCGAAATCACTTGAGGTTTGTTTCAAACAATTGTCATCTGAGGCGTTTTCTCGCGTCCACTTTTTTGAAACTGGTTCAAAACTGTTTTGAAACAGTACATTCTCGCGATAAACCCATGACGTCACGTCAAAATTGGTTCAAACCGTTTCGAAATACAATCCAATCCACGTCATTGAATGCAACAGATGCGCCATCTAGTTACTCATTACCAGACAATCTACGAACTTTAGAAACCTTGGTTCAAAACAGCTTCACAATGACGTCATAACTTCTCGTCCCCAGAAAATGGTTTGAAAAAATGGATTTGATTGTATTTCGAAACGGTTTCAACAATAGTTTCATCCAATTTTGATGTGACGTCATGGTACTTACACAGCTTCTACTTATTTCAAACTTGTTTTGAACTAGTTTCAAAAAAGGGAACGCGAGAAAACAGCTCAAGGCTCTAGGCTCCGAAGTGGAACTGTCAAAGTATTTAGTTGTATTCCTTTCACACCTAGGAGGAGCTCCGGTACATATCCGGGGCTTCACGCGCTTATTCCTTGGGCGACTGAACACCGGAGCGAGTAGCTTGAGTGTCTCAAACTCTTGAAAGGAATACAACTAATTACATGTCACTCGAATAGAATTCTATTTTTACGATTTTCGTCGTCGGCGTCATAGGTATGCAACCCAAAAATCATTATTGCCAAAAATCTACAAAGCTCCTTCGTAGCGTTTGTAGCAAAGGAAAAGTCGTAGCATCATCATATAGCGGGTTCTCGTAGCGAATATTTACGAAGTTCCGTAGTCGATTTCGTAGCGGTGTTTATGCCACAATTTGACAAACTGAAAACGCAAAAAATACTCGAAAATTAGGTCAGTTTTTTGTTGAAAAGTTTTTATCGAAAACTATTAGGAGTCCCGTTCAATTTCGGCGATCATAACAAAGCCGCTAGAAGGACCGTCCGAAAAAGGGCCGCCGGATTGTTGTTTTAATAAATTTAAAATGGCGATGTGTTAATCAATTTTTGTGGACATTTAAATGGTCCTAATTTACTGTATTCGTCAACGAAAAAGAGATTTTGTATTGAAACGTCCCGTGATTTGATCTGGAACAAAGTTAGGCTAACAACCATGCCCCACAGGGATCCTGGTTTTCTGGTAATTTATCCAGATTAGTATTCAATATTTAAAGGAAAAATGTCCCGAGGTTTCGGCAAGTATAGAAGAGGTGCAAGTCACCACAGTTTCCACTTTGATAGTCTCTTTAAAGAGAACAGTAATAGACCGTCTGCTGCAAGGTCTGCAGCTTCAGTCGGTAAATGGGGCATTACCAGTTTTACTAGTATTAGGACACTGAATGGGAGGCCAGAAAACGAAACCAGGTAAGAATTTTTATAAATAATGTATACTGTATGGTATGACCCCTATTTTGAGTGTAAACAAAATTAATAATGAAACTACTTTAGGCCTTTTTGAATCCTAAATCTATAAACATTTAAAAGAGTTAAGTAATCTATTTTCTTTTGTTTAAAAATACCTAAGCACTGCTAGACTTGCAGTGAATTGAAAATATGAGTAGTTTTTAAGACACAAATAATGATATATTTATCAAAAATTAAGATAAGATAAAATTTTCAGTCCTCGTTTTAGTCATTAGGTATTACCATGTATTATCCTAATAAAGTACTATTTAGCAAAAGTCTCAGCTGCATGCATGGCTAAAATTTAAAAACTATACACAGTGATTTACGTAGACTATGCATTAGAAGTTATCCACTAGTTAGCAGGTGGATTAGTAGAAATTGCATTTAATCCACCTACAACCTCCATTGCATTAGGCAATGTTTTGTTAAAGTTAAATTTAAAATTATTATAGGTAGTGATATTACAACAGATAAATTTTTGGATTACTTAAATATACTTTATTATGAAACATATGTTAAGGTACGATAAGCATTAATTTTTAACAAATATGCAAGAAAACATGTTTGACTTTTTTGATGGAAAACATGTTATTCAAATTTCCAATTATTAGGTAGGTACTTTAATAGCTGATAACAAAATAATTATTGGAATTTGAAATTATGCTGTTGAACTTTCGATTTGTGATATCAGATTTCATTTTGCACCTAAGTACATATTTCCAATATCCAGCATGTTGAAAACTTTTCATCCAATCACAAGCTCCGAAACTCCCCTCAGAACTGTTGCTGAGGCAATATACAGTTGATTCTATTTTTCATTTAGTTAGGTAAAAACTCGGGTAAAAAGTTGCTTAAACCAAGGCTTAAACATCCTCTTAACTAACTTGTAACTTAAGGACCAATACCTTCTCAGGTATATTTAGGTCAGCTTCATTACTTTATTGTGATATTTTGTTCAGTTTATACTTGAAAAATATCTACATACTCCAGATTGGTTTTTTGTAGATTTCTGAGAAGTATAATTAGACTCTGTCAGTGCCATATCAAAAAGATGACAAACCAATCCAATGTCGTCCGCTTCTCCTTGTAGTCCACAGAATAAATTTCTTCAGAAGCACTACTCAATTTACACAATTAAATGTTTTTGCCAGGTGGCAGAATTCTGTTGCAAATGGCCTCTATTTATTGATGTTAGGGTAAATCTTCTCTATGAAATAAAAAAGCACATTATTTGTATTCTTATTTGGCTTGAGGATACCATCCGAATTTTGTTGACCATAACAAGGAAATTGGGCAATAATTGGAAACAAAAATGTTCTTGTCCAGGTTCCTCTATTATTCAGAAGATAAACGCTTTGGAGAGAGGCTCAATAAGGCTTGTCATTCAGATTTTGTTCTGTGGCGCATGCGCGAGTCACATCAAAAGTGTTCAGACAAACACTAATACAGAGATCACCAATAAATCATTACATTTTATTTTGGCATTGACATTATCTGTGGACATTATTTTATCCTCGATTTCATCAACACATGTGCCAGTTGTTTATCTGAACAATTTTATTATACAGGGTGTTTCACGAACATCAAAACAGTAGCGTTTTGGGGTATTTCAAGGTCGATTTGAAAAAAACGCTCAAACTTGTCAATTTTATATTCAAGGGGGAAACTTTTTGACCCCATCGGTATTTTGCTAGGGTGCACCCCCTGGGTGGGGTGACTTTGACCCCTCTTTTTTTAGATAGGGAAGATGGGTCGAGTGGTACCTTGTTTTAAAGGTTTTTTTATTCTCATCACAACTGTGTACTTTTTTTGAACTTCGAATGATTAGTTCTCAAGATATTTACTGTCAAAGTTGCCATAGGCTACATAAGAAACAATCTTCTGGCCCGGTTATTCTCAAATTAACACTTTCCTGACTTTTCTTTCGAAATCTTAAATTTCAAAGTTTTCGGAAGCACACAAAAAAAAAAATTGAAATGTTCGAGAGGAAAGTCAGGAAAGTGTTGATTTGAGAATAACAAGGCCAGAAGATTGTTTCCTATTTAGCCCATGGCACCTTTGACAGTGAATATCTTGAGGACATTCAATTTTCAAAAAAAGTACACAATTGTGATAAGAATCGAAATACCTTTAAAACAAGGTACCACTCGACCCATCTTTCCTATCTAAAAAAGAGGGGTGAAAGTCACCCCACCCAGGGGGTGCACCCTAGCAAAATACCGATGGGGTCAAAAACTGTCCCCCTTGAATACAAAATCGACGTGTCCGAGCGTCTTTTTAAAATCAACCTTAAAATACCCCAAAACGCCTCTGTTTCGATGTTCGTGAAACACCCTGTATATATGCAGTGTGTCCACGTGAAACTTTTTTATTATCAATTTTATGAAAAAAAGTTATTTTTCATAAAAGTTTCTGCTTCTTGGAAAAATAGTATTTAACTATTAAAACTTGAAATAGCATGTACAGGGTGGTCAGAAACCAGAAAAATATACAGAGTTTTTTGGTAAAAGTAGAAAAAAAATCGCACGTCACTATTTTTTTAAACCTTTGATATTTTTTTCAGATTAAGCAAGTAATATTATTGTCAAAAGATACCTTTCGTTATCACAAACAAACCTGCCAAATTTGAAAAAAAAATTGGAATAGGGATTTTTGAGCTAAAAAACCGATTTTTTCTAAAACTTTGACACCCTGTATCCCAGAAACTACGCATTTCCGGACACATGTTTATTTTATCATAATATTGTAAGAAATCACATCCCGAAGTTACAAACCGTACTTATGAAACACCCTGTATATTTTTTCATTTTTTGACCACCCTGTAAATGCTATTTCAAATTTTAATAGTTTATTATTATTTTTTCAAGAAGCAGAAACTTTCATAAAGAATAACAGCTGTATGCAACATCCTCTTTTAGCTCAAAAGCGCTTTTTGAAACTGGTACCTTTAAACATTTGTATGGTTTAGAATACACATTTTTAAAATTGATAATTAAAAAAATTGATAATAAAAAAGTTTCCCATATGCTGCGAACTTAAGTGAACACACTGTATATGCGACCATTGTGACAAGCCCAATATACACTGACTTCTTCAAAGCGTTTAATAGAGTCAATCATACAGTTTTGATCAGAAAATTGGAGACACTGGGCATTTCTGGCTTTTTACTCTCCATGATAAACAATTTCACTTTCTCACAAATCCCAATCTCATTAGGCGATTCTCATAGTTCACACCTGGGATCTTTACTTTTCAAGATTTTCATCAACGAAATGGCATCTTTCTTCAGACAATGCCATTTACTTCTATTTGAAAACAATCTTAAATTATTTTTAAAAATAGCTACCCAAAATAACTGCCTTGCACCTGAGTTGCCAGACTAATAGCATGGAACTGCTTGAATGTGTTAAAAATGTGAATTAATTAAATTCTACAAATCAAAAACACATAATTAATAAGGCGGTTAGAATGCTGGGATTTGTGAAACACAGTACAAGGGACTTCATGGAATATTAGCTCCATCATTATATTTTTCCTATGTCCGTACTCATCTTGAGTATGATGCATCAGTATCCAAACTACATCTTCCATATACATCGATTTGAAAGTGTACATAGCAAATTCTTCAAATACCATTGTATATTTCACAGTAAATCAGAGAGTGCCCCTAAACCTAAGAAGTTCTTCAAAAGTCGAGACACCAGTCAAGATGCCAATACAACTCCTGCTTATCAGTCACCACCAACCAAATATGGAGCGTCTTCTAAAAGAGACAGGTCCGCCTCTTATGAACCGATTGAAAAGTAAGTCTAGCAACAACTATTTTCTAAAAATGTGTATTCAACCTAATTTTAAAGGCCCACAAAAGGCAGACCTCAAAGGAAGTTCTTCTCGTCTAAAAAACCAAAAGAAAAACGACTACCAGAAAAACAGTTGAGCATGGGCAGTCCGCCTGCAAAGAGAAGAAATTCCGAAAGGAGCGACTCTAGCGAATCTTCAAAACCACCGATAGTTTTAAGGATTTGCAGGGGCAAATCTCAATTGGTCAATGACACTGATGAAACTGAAAAAACTGTTACACCCAGGTAAGAATTCTATCATCGGAATTTCCAATAAATAATCCAATTTGCTAGTCCCCGTTCTGTGACGCCTGTTTCTGCTTCTCCTCACACTTTGTGTGAAACCTCAAATCCACAAACTACGCCTCCAAGACCATCTAATTGCCGCATTACACGTAGTGCTAGGAGAAGCATGCAAATGGATCCTGATAGTAGTCCTGCTACTGCAGACACACCAGGAGAGTTTACTTTATTTGGAGCATCATCAAAGAAAGGTATTTAGTAGACTAATTTTTTATTTATTTTTTTAATTCATATAATTTGTATATTTCTTAGATATCCCTGAAACTGACTTATCACCACAATACGTACCTGCAGAAAAATTCGAGGAACAACGCAGGGCGTTATATGCCAGCCTCCTGAAGCCTGATTCCCCAAAACTTCAATCAGAAGAAGAATCTGAAGACGAGCTATCCAAAGAAGAAAATTGTGAACCAAAAGATGAAGAGAAGTCAGCAAAGGATGAAGTTCCAGAAACTCATCAAGAGGCAACTGAAGAAAATGATTCGCTAGAAGAACCAAAGCAAGATACTTCAACAGAAGATACAAGTATTGAAGATGTTATGGCTGCATTACATGGAGGAGAAAATGAAGTAATATCAGAACCAAAGCTTGTAATTGAAGAAAATGATTCGAGCATGGGCCTTGACCAAGTTGACTCAGGGGAAAAATCAATAGAAAGTGATACTGAGGAAGAATCTATTGAAGCCAAATTGGCAAGGATGGAACAAGAAGCTTCTAAAGGAAATGAAAGCATGGAAACAATAGAGAATATTGCTAAAGAAATAGAGTGTAGCCAAGTGATAAAACCAGAGCCTGCAAAGAGGGCTACTAGAAGAAGAGGAAAGCAAAAAGAACAAATAATTGAGCCTTTAAAAGAGAAAAAAGTAGCCAGACCTCCACTTAGAGGTGGTTTAAGGAATAGAAATAAGGCAGCTATTGTGGAAGTTGCAAAAGAAGAGACTGAGCCAGTGATAGAAGAAATGGAAGAGGAACCAAAGGTAGAAGAAATGCCAGCTATAGAAGAACCTGAACCCATAGTTATTAAAATGAAAGATATATCTCCAACGCCAAGTCCCCCACCTGAAGAAAATTTAAACAAAAAAGTCAACAAACAAAGCATAGAAGAAGACTGGAGCACTGACAGCGACTCAAATAATTCAGCTCCAGACATAGAGGTTGGTGTTTTTGTTTATTTGGTCTTAGTTGGTTATTGGTTTTTATTTTTATAGCTGAAAGAAGTAGATCCAGATGTAGCAGACTCGCCAAGCAACATAGTGAGACACAGGGATAAGATTCTGGACAAAATTTTGGAAAAACCTCCAGATCCTCCACCAGTCAAGTTGGTAATTTCTAAGAAAAAAGGCAGTATATTCAAAAGTAGAGCAGTAAGTAGATATTTTTGTTGGCTTTATAAATTGTATAGGAATGGACAATAAAATAGATTTAGAGGGAATTGAGGAGGAAATACTTGAAACTTTTTTTTTAGGTTGATGATGGTGCAAAAAAACGTAGAGCCCGGTATGTACATAAATGGATAGATGACGGCAAGGGTGGAGGTGAAACTCCAGCCAGACCACCTCCTGAAAACACTGGATTAGAAGAATATTCTTTTGATGGTATGGATCACTATTTAAAAATTCCTTGGAGTATTTGAAGTAAATTTTTTGATTTCAGATGAACCTTTGACGCGGGTTAAAACTGTTGAAGATGATCAAGAGGTAACAAGCGTTAAGTGTTCAAAGACTGATAAACAGGTAATTTTTTTTTTTAAACAATTTACTGTTTATTACTGAACCAATAAATTTTTAGTACTACATGGTTGTGCGAAATGTTAAAAAAGCACATCAAATACAAGAGATTGGCGAGTTTCAAGAGTTTAATGATGATGTTGAGTATATTTTGGATGCTTTACAGGATAACAATCCAGTTAGTACAAGGTAAGTTTTTGACAAATAATTTTTAAAAAAATTAAACCTATGTCTTCCTAGGTGTTTGTCAGCTATTACTCTAGCCTCAAAGTGTATGGCACCTGCCTTCCGTATGCACGTACGAGCTCACGGCACAGTTGCCAAATTTTTCAAAGCCTTACACGACGCGTGCAGAGATCAGAGTCTTGGCCTTTGTACAGCCACAGTAATGTTTGTACTCAGCCAGGACAGGCTCAACATGGATTTAGACAGAGATTGTCTCGAGTTGATGCTCAATCTATTAGAGTCCGATGTCAGTTATCAACAGGCGTTGGACGTTTGTGGGCTGACATCGGGCCAACTAGAGAAAAACAAGCAGAAAGTGCGAGAACTCTGTGAAGAAATCCAGAGCAAAGGACACGCTATGCATTTGAACTTGGAAAATATCACCACAGGGCAACTGGCTATGGAAACGTTGCTGTCTTTAACTTCCAAGAGAGCGGGCGAGTGGTTTAAAGAGGAATTGAGAGAGTTGGGCGGCTTGGAGCACATAATGAAGACTATTCATGAGTGTTGCAGGCAAGTTTCTGACTATGTTGTTAGTTGGACTGATGCATTGTTGGATAAGCTTAAGAAAGTGGACAGGTGCTTGAGGGTATTGGAAAATGTAAGTAATCATTGTGTTTTGTGCTGTATACATTTTTCACCGTTGGTATTTTATGAACAAACGACTTCATTTACCAAAGTAAAAATTAATTCCTGCCTAGATAACTCAAAATAATGAAGAAAATCAAACTTATATCCTTAAATACAATGAGGGTATGATGATAGACACTCTGGTCAGTTTATATAAACTGTGCGATGGTGAAATCCCCCTCTATCCTGTCACAGACATTGCTGACAAATCTTCTACTGGAACAATCGTGCGCGAAGCCTTATTGGTCACTTTGAAAGTCCTAATCAATTTAACGCATCATTATAGGCAACAATGTAAGAAACTTTTTATGAATATATTTTATGGTAATTTTTGGTTTGTTTGAATAGCGATTGGTAGTCAGTTGGTCGGATCCAGATCTGGTATTATAGAAACTAGTTTACACTTGCTCCTTCAAGTACCCAACTACATTCCGGAGCAGAAAAAATTCGAATTAGGTGTATTGGTGAGTAATTTGTTAAAATGTTGGGTAAGCATTTATTTAACCTTCTGATTTATCTGTAGGTGCTGATGTTATTGATTAATCTGATCCAGGACCAGGAAGCCAACAAAAAATTGCTTATGGAAGCCAAAGCACCATCAAAATTGGAAAGTATATATTCAAGTAAGTGAATTCTTGGTCAATTCAATGCATTTCATATTAAATTTTAATTTAATTGAATCATTAACTTTTTTAGGAGAGGAAAGTGCAGTTGAGGCTTTAATCATTCAGTTTTATGAATGGGAAAGTTGCGCAAAAATAGCAGAAAATAAAACCAACGCCATTTTGGATGGCGAAAAAGATGAACAAGACCAGGAGGCTCCTGTGCAGCCTCAACCTAAAACCAATGAGGAATTTATTGAGGAGACTGTCGCTAAATGTAATTTATACCAAAAAAATATTTCACATCAATAATTGTTTTTTTTAGTGCTTCAAAAAGCTGGCACTCATATGGAATACACATTCCTAGCTTCTTATATTGTCATGCTGGTTGGGTTTCTTATTATGGACAGCTCAGAACACCAGGACAACATAAGACAATTTTTACGAGGCAACAATTTCAGTGATATGGTAGAACTACTAAAGAAATTCTTCAATTTTATGAATTTGACAGCATCTGTAAGCTTTAAAAATATTATTATTCAAGTAAAATTACGTTTTTTTTCTAGACTGAAGCTTCAAGTGTTTGTGCAGTGAAGGCAACCCAAAAAGTGATAAAATTCCTAGAATCTTGTGACCAGCAACCATCCGATGGAAATGTCAGTTCTGATGTTGAAAAATCTAAAATTGAACCTGTGGATATGGTGGTACCGTACTTATAATAAAAATGCAGTGCGTCTTTGTACATTTGTTACTAGACTTTAGGTAAGAAAGCAACAAAATGCTTAGGTCGCACATTTGTGGTAAAATTTTCTATTTCACTGGACTTGATGAACCTTTTTTGTTTTGCGATTGAACTTCTTACTGAAAAAACGCACTTTTTTTTGTAATGAAAGCAAGTGCCATAAAGTTCAATTTAGCCTTTATGTTTTATAAAACTACTTTTCAAAAATATGAAGTTTGATCGCTAAAAAAAACTGACACTGTTACCTCAGCAGATAGATCTATTTTTTAAGTTTAAAAAAATAATTAATTTTGTTGGTTTTTGGCCTATTTCATTGGTACATTGTGACATTTAGTATAAAGATTCATCCGAAGTGCAAAGCTCTCAATTTACCAAATAGAACACTGACAAATATAGATAAACTAATAGAGTTTTACTATAATTAAATATATAAAATGTTTTTAATTTTTACATTTTCTAGTATTATTTCTATAGGTATACAAAAAAAGAAGAGATATTTTATTAAGGAAATTGAAATGTATTTTTGCTGGTTTACAGTTATATTGTTTTTTAATATTATCATTTTATTGTGTAAATAAGTAATCCTTCCAAAAAAAAAGAACTCTTTCATTTTAAATCTAAAAAAATGATGTTATCTTTGTACAATACTGTGTAGTCAGATTTTATTTATTTTTTCTTTAATTGGACTGTTTTAAAAATTGTAAATATATATTAAGATTACAATTTTTTAATTGTCGTTTTATTTATCAAGAACTCATAGTTTTTTTGTTTTTCATGGACAGTTGGGCCATTCTGATGGCGAACTTATGTGGTAGAACTATGAAAAAAATGCTTTACCACAATGAGAACGAGTGTTGAGGCCCTTACACTCCTTACAGACTTTGGCCTCATTTTGTAAAGAATTTTTTTTAGCTCTGTTCCAACCAACATGAGAACTGTTCTAGAACAGTAATTTTCAGTTGCCAACTTATTTTTTAATAAGTTGAATGTTTATCTTAATTGATCGACTGGAAATTGTTCTGCATGTCGGTAGGAACAGTCCTTTCATATTCCAAACAACCGCGTAGATTCTCAGGTGACATGCAGTTGAGGAATGTAATATTCCTTCATTTAGCAAATACACACTATTTATTTTAATAACTTAACGTTCAATGTTTTCAGAAGATCCATAAACCAAGGTTTTATCAGCAAAAAGATGTAACCCCAAATTATCCTCATCATTAACTACATCCACCATATCGTTCACATAAAGCACAAACAAAATAGGGCCCAACACACTCTTTGGAAATTTGCTCAGACATTTTTCCATTCAATTTTACAAGTTGTCTTCTGTTTGTTAAGTAACTACGTAGTAGTTTGCCTCTATCTATTGTCTCAAAAGCTCGTTGGAAATCTAGAAACACTGCGATTGTACTTTTATTGCTGTCAAAACTATTTTTCCGTTCATCCAGAACAAACTGGATTGCCGTCTCACAACTGTGTCCTTTTCGGATCCCAGATTGATGTTCAGTAACTAAATTACAGTTTTCCACATACTCAACAAACTAAATATACACAGCTCTTTCAAAAAAATACAATACTGCCTAAATCTTCCAAGTTAATAGTTCAAAATCATAAAAAGATGTTGTTTTCCTGCTTGTATCTACACATTCATTTTCTAAATTGACTGTGTCAAAATCGTTACTATCAATTCCTGAAACAATATCATGAACGCTTTGAACATAAAACCGTTTTAATCAGGAAGGTAATAATAATGTATTCTCTTTTATTTCACCATTAAAGTCTATTTTATGTATTTTTCCTGATTTCTTTATTTTCAGAAAAAACCTGTCTCAATGTTGCCCACATACTTTTAGGATCATTCTTACACCGATCAACCTTGTTCTCAAAAAATTGCCTTTTTTCTTCTCTTATAATCCTCACTACCGCATTTCTATTTTGTTTATAGACTTTCTTCAGTTTTCTGATCTTTAAAATGCCTGTAACTTTCATCTTTTATCCTCACAGCATTCTCCACCCTTACGGTTTATAACGGAAAAGTATACAAAACCCCGAACATCGAGACGCATAATTTCTATTACATATATCTTTATTTAAATATATATATGGATAATTCCAAATCTATAAATTCAGTTTTAAATCACATATACACAATTTGAAAATAAATTAACACAACTACAAAATTATTAAACACTGAATAATTTTCCAATGTTTTAATTTTCATGCTTAAATTAAAATAGGTTGTTTATAACAATCACTGGTGAACAATCTTAGTTGATTTTTTTCTCTGATGAACTCTTGAAGTGTTTATTCTACAGTACTGGAAAAAGAAGCAAATTAATTTTATATTTTACCTGCAAAATTGAACAAAACAAACATGACTGAAACCCAAATGAGTGATTAATGGTATTTAATAAAAGCTATAATATACATTTTGTACAATACATTAGACTACATGCAAAATAAATGATAATGAATAAGATGTTTTTAGGAAAAACCAACAAAATCGCATGCAACAGATAAAAGAAAACTAGTCTGCTCCACAGACACCAATTTCCTCAGATACATACAGAATGCGCATGGTGTTGGTGAATCCGGATCCTTGTTTCCAGCCGGTGATCACAATAACGGGATCGCTAGTTTTGATAAAACCTTTCGATTTTCCAAAAGTAATACCAGTTTGGACGCGAGCGTCTACATCTTGGAGCCAGTCTTCAAGCCTTTCCTCTATAAGGAGAAATAACTGTTTAGTAATCCAAAATTAGGGTTCGAGTTTGAGTAAACTTTTAGAAAATCAATAATATTACTGTCAGTGTTTGTTCAAATCTAATCTCTAAACTTACTCTCATAAAAGATTGGTAAAACAGTTCTGTACAAGTGAGCTTGTCTGGCAGTACGTCCATTCCTAGTGACTGCAATTACTGGACACCTAAAAACCCAAGTTGAATAATATTTTTTGTTAAAATGGTTACAAATACCTTGGTCTATATTTGGAAACTAGATGAGCAGACCGGCCAGAAGTAGTGATAACAATGATGGCAGCAGCTAAACTTTTGGTAGAAGCTTCTACTGCAGCAATGGCGACAGTGTGACCGACATCGATTGGAGGAACAGTCTGAGCAAATAAATAATTAGTACACTAATTGTTTTGAGTCTAGCTGAAACTTACTTGGATGGACAAGTCACTGAAGAGCCGCTTGTGCCAGAAAGCAGCCTCAGCTTCCTTGCAAATACTAGCCATCGTTTCAACACAAACAACTGGATAGTCTCCTTTGGCCGTTTCACCAGATAACATGACACAATCTGCTCCATCTAAGATTGCGTTGGCAACGTCAGAGGATTCTGCACGGGTTGGCCTGGGTTTTTTCACCTTTGGAAAAATTAAAATAATCATAGAGTTCAGTTTACCAAGTGAAAATTGAGGTTTTTTTTCCGTCTAGTCCTAGAAGAACTCACATTAAATCAATGCTAACTCAAAGTCAAGACTACTTTTTTTACAATGTAATTTATAATGGATTATGTAAACACAAAGGGTTCTTACCATGGATTCTAACATTTGAGTGGCACAAATAACAGGTTTGCCAGCCTGATTACATTTAGCAATTATTTGTTTTTGGGCCAAGAAAACTTTTTCTGTGGGGATTTCGATACCCAAGTCACCACGAGCGACCATAATACCATCAGAAGCTTCAATGATTTCATCCAAATTGGCCATACCTATTCAAAAACTTATTAGGAAAATCCACCAAACAAAAAAAAACTCCTTTTACCTTGCTGGTTTTCAATTTTGGAAATGATCAAAATTTTCCTTCCTTTCTCACCCAAAATACCTCTGATCTCAGTAAGCGCAGCTCCGTTCCGGATAAACGAGGCAAAGATCATATCGACGTCTTGCTCGACACCAAATTGCAAATCGGATTTGTCCTTTTCGGAAACAGCTGGAAGATCTACTGGTACTCCAGGCAAGTTGACACCTTTACGGCTTCCAAGAGAACCGCCGTTTTCGATGGTGCAAGTCAAGAACGATCCTTGAATATTGGTGACAACCAGGGAAATGAGACCGTCATCGACGTAGATCCTGTTACCTACTTTCACAACTTTTTGGATGTTTTCATAGTCAACAAAAACAGTATCTTTGTTTCCTTTTTCTGCGTAGGCTTTGTCGGTTGTCAGCTTGATGGTGTCACCTCGTTTAAGCTCAATTTCAGCAGAACCACCCTAGAAATTCATATTAGACATATATTTAAATTAACAAAAGTTCTACTTTTACTTACACCTTCTAACAATCCAGTTCTGATTTCAGGACCTTTAGTATCCAAAGCGACAGCCAAAGGATAAGCCATACCAATTTTTTTACTGTAATTAACAACTGCTTGCCTAATGTTCTTGATGGTCTCGGCGTGGTACTCGTGAGAACCGTGAGAGAAGTTCAAACGGGCAATATTCATACCGGCCTCCATCATTTGTTCGAGGACATCCAAGTCCCTGGAAGCGGGTCCGATGGTGCAAATAATGCCACTGAGTCTGATAAACGAAGCCCTAGAATGGATGTCCAAACGGGACAAGTGCATGAGCTGCGTGTTGGCCTCTGAGGCCTGCAGTTGGAATGGAAGCACATTGCTGCTCATCTAAAATAATTTAAAATGTTTTGTAATGTGTTTGATGAGGTTGAGTGAAGAGGAAATCAAGCAAGCAATGGAAAAAATAAAAATTGCATTGTGTTGTCAAACTAGAAAAATATTCATGCGAAATATACTTAGTAAAATCAAATTACATGAATAAAAACTTGTGGACGTATGATTTTTTTCATCATACGACATTGTATTATAAAACTCATAAGGAACATTAGAAAGGTGCCGCTAGTCTATAATATCAAACACTTTTTCTGTCAGATTCTTTTTAAAATAATCTGTATTATGACATATTATAACAATTTCCAAAAAACAACGTCATAATAATGTAAATATAAATATGTGCATGTACCTACTTATTAAATCTAAAACAACATATTAATTTAAAAATCATAACTAAATAAAAAAAAGTTATGTATCTGTGTATATGGACCAAGCGATGTCTTCTATGTGGCTTGCAAAAAAACAAAGCTAGGAAAAAATCTATATACAAAAAAACAACGTGTCAGGCAACAAGCATCATCGTCTATGTGACTGGATTATCCAAACCTCCACATTGACGTTGGTAATCCTATCATTGACTGTGGGCCACACCATAGTTCTGGCACCGAATCGGTACTGTTCTCTTCCGGAAACAAAGTTACTGCGTCGAAGCAGCGGCTGGAAACACTCAAACTGGTACCTTTCGAAAATCCAAACGTCCGACACTGAACTTGAGACAACCTTATTCCAGTTGTAGTGCCTACCTAGAATTCGAAAAATCCCCCACCATTTAAACATGGATCTATGAATGTATCATGTTTGCTGATCGTGAAAATTTTCATATATTTATATGATAACTAAAATAATTGGCAAATATTTACATTTTACTAGAACAATAGTTACTTCTAGCTACAATATATCACGGTCAACAACTAAAAAGGCGGAAAAAAATTTCCACTTCGAACGCAAATAGAAAAATGATTACGTAAGGAGCATTTTTACGAGGAGTGGCTAATAATTAGTCCAAATTAACACTTATTTTATGCCTAAAAAAACTTATTACCAACTCGAATCTAGGTATATAAATTTCTAAACAACTTTTTGAAAAAAAATCTAAGCACATAACTTAAATTGGTCTATTTTTAGAACACATTCTATTTATAAGCCTGATGTGCAATGTGTACATTAATTTTCATAAAACTAATAGTTTGTGAATGTTATTGTGAATATTACTTCATAATAGAGGAAGTTTTTTTTGCAGATATTATGAAAATGTAAGGGAAGTATTTATTGGGAATTTTTGAAATGTCAATGGATAGCCAAAAAAGCCAATTGATTGAAAAAAAAAGTGGGTGCTACATATATCCATTGTAAAAACATACAATGTCTCGGGATCATTGCACACCTGTGCAGCAAATGCGTATGTTGCACTGATGTGCGATGATCCAGAAACATTGTTCGTTTTTATAATGGACATATGCAGCACAAGTCTATCTGCGCTATTTACTTCATGACGCACGTTACGTGTTGCATGTTTGATTGGTGTACCACACTTTTGTTTTTGTTTTATAAAACTTCAATTGTGCAAGAATCAATGCTGGATGTTAAAAAATTAATGCTCAACACATTGAGAATTTTTTAAATTTCAGCTTAGTCAATGAGACATCATACATTTTATTGAGACAAAAATTAAGTGCATTGGCCCTAACTTGGATACATTTTCATTTAGTTCTTAGTTGATCTAAGAAAATATGCCCTAAACCAATTTACAGATGCATTCATTCACATTCTTGACAGTATGTAACTTTTCTATTGGAGGAGTGTTTTGAATTTTCTCTTTAATTTAATTGAAGCAAAATAAAAGTACGTACTTACGTTAGTTCTTCATAAATAGCAATACAAAACGAATGATATAGTTTTTGTAAAAAGTTTTAAAGGTAATTTTTTTTTTTGAAATTGTCAAAATCTGATGGCCATTAAGGCTGTGTACCTACTATTCGGTCCATGTTGGTGGTTTATAGATTATGAGGGTTTCAATTGCAATATTTGAGAGGGTATATTCCACAGCAATGGAAAAAATCGATAGTGACTCCTCTATTCGAAAAGGGTGATCGACATAGATCAGAAAACTATAGGCCTATTGGTCTAACAGGCAATATATTAAAATGCATGGAAAAGATAATAATTGTTAGGGAACTGAAAGCATTTTTCTTTGAAGAAAATCTCATACCAGGCTCCCAACACGGATTTCTCTCTAAACATTCTACAACAACAAATTTACTTGAATGTCTTCAATGGACAGATAATTATGGTAATTCTGAAACCACAGATGTGATCTATCTCGATTATAAGAAGGCATTCGATAAAGTCCTACATAATTTACTTTTAGGAAAATTGGAACCTTAGAGCAGATAGAGGTAAAGGAGTTGTAACGGGGAGTTGGAAAATGAAGCCGTTTTTTTTTTCAAGTATTTTGGCACCAAAAAATGGCGGTATAGGCAATTTCAATGCTTTACCTGTATTTAGTGCCAAACACCTGCCAAAAACTTGGCTTCACTTTCTTTCATAGCAGAATGGTGCATTCCTACTCCTTATATTTATGTCCGTAGGACAGTGCTCTACCTGCTCTAAGGTTGAAACCATTGAGGTTGCCTGCTTGCTGATAAGAAGCGTTTATAAGCCCTAATAATTGAATACACGTTCAAATGCACCTGCATAGTCCAATGAGGATCATCTTCTAAAACTGGAATAGGTGATTTGTCCATACATGTAATTTGGTCTTCTTCGAAGGCAAAGGGCTTTTGATCTCAAATATATTGTAACAAAATAAAACTTTCATGCTTTGGAGACCAAATTCATGGTTGAAACGTTGGCATGATTTTTTGAAAAAGGGGAATGTTATTTTGTATCCTAAACCCATTATCTCTAGTTTACATAAATTATGAAAAATGTTATCTGTAAACAAATAATCATAATAATAAGTATGGCAAAATAAATATTGTGTTGACTCACTGCCAATTTATAGATTTGGTTCTATTTTGTGCTGTCTAAGAGTAATATTCCAATGTATTTTCAAAGGAGAAACCTCAGATACACATCAGAAAAACCCGAGGGGTGTTTCACCTAGTTAATCGGTATACAAATCACTGGTTAATATACAGGGTGGATCTGAAAGTGAGGCTTTCTTTTAACAGGGTATATATCTTGCTAAAATAAGTTGTTTGGCAAAATTTTTTTTACATAAAAAATTTAAGATAACGGAGGTACAGGTATTTGAAGATATAAAAATTATTAGGTTGAAAATGGAAAAAGGAGTTTTTGATTGATTTTTTTGATAAAATAATGCAAGTGTAGATTACCTTTATGGAAAAAAACTCATTATGCTGAACAAATAACTGTTTTTTTTCCGAGAAAATGTAAACAAAATGTTTTATAATTGGATGCCTATTTTGGAAACTGGGGAACAGCATTCTCATAAGAACGATTGATGGTCTTTGTCAGTGTTATGCAAAAATGAGTATGGGCAAGTAGGGCGGCGAAGATAGGACCTTCGTTCTCATAAGAACGCTGTTTTGAGAATAAGGACCATGTTTTGAGGATAAGGACCCTGGAGTCTTCTTAAGACCTTGAAATACCTATAACTCCGTTAAATTAAATTTTTTGTGTAAACAATTTTTTGCCAAACAACTTATTTTGGTGAGGTACAGGGTTATTGGTTATAAATGTCACCCCCCTCTATCTTTTTTATTTGACATTTTGGAAAAAAGTGTCCCAAATAAAAGTTTTATGGTTGAAATTAAAGTTTTCGAAAAACTCACTTTCACATATACAGGGTGTTTCAGAAAAGCTGGTCGTGTTCCGAATTTCTTGTTTGAAATAGTATATTATTGTATATTCGGATTCTACGTAAAATTCTGAGCAGATTTCATGTGATATACCCTATACCTAAGTTCAACTGTTTTCGAAATATTGACAGTTGAAAATTGACTTTTTTGCAACTTTGACAGGCTGTAAATCCTAAACGGTTAATTTTAGAGCAAAACCGATCTTACATTTTTATCTTAGATTTTTATAAACTATTAGTTGACTCCAGTATTTGACATCAACTTTGAATTTAATCCATGATTGAAAATTCCAATTAAATTTAATCTTCGGTTAAATTAAAAGTTGGCGTCAAATGATAACTTGTGAAAATCTTAGAAAAAAATGTAAGATCGGTTTTGGTCAAAAGTTAACGGTTTAGGTTTTACAGCCTGTCAAATTTGCAAAAAAGTCAATTTTCAACTCTCAATATTTCCAAAACAGTTGAATTTAGGTATAGGGTATATCACATGAAATCTGCTCAGAATTTGACGTAGAATCCGAATATTAAATAATATACAGGGTATTCAATTTCAAATAAGAAAAATAGAACACGACCAGCTTTTTTGAAACACCCTGTATATGTAAAAGTGAGTTTTTCAAAAAATTCAATTTCAACCATATTTTTTTTATTTGGGACACTTTTTTCTAAAATGTCAAATAAAAAAGATAGAGGGGGGTGACATTTATAACCAATAACCCTGTACCTATACAGGGTGTCACGAAAGGTTTGTTACAAACTTCTAGGGATGTTAGATCTCATAAAAATAAAGCTTTTTTCTTAATAAACATGGGTCCGTAAATGCTTCGTTTTCCAGATATACAGGGTGTAAAACTTTGTAAAAAAAATCAATTTTTACATTAATTCTCAGAAGTGTGTGCGTTTTACAAAAAAGTTTTTTGTTTTTTTTTCTGTTTATTTTGAAGCAACCGAGGGGGATTTCATTGTGGTAATTTAGTGTACACAATCGTGGTAATTAGTGGAAATTTCACGGGAAATGAGTGGTAATGACTGGAAATTACTGGTAATGACTGGTATTTAGTGGAAATTAGTGGAAATATAGTGGTAATTCGGGGTAATTTTTGGTAATTTGAGGCAATTTAAGGCAATTTTGGGGGTAATTAAAGGAAATTTTGTGGTAATATTTCAAAGTTCTGTAGTGATAAAAATTATGATATGCCTTCGAATTTGCTTTAATTTAGAAGTAACAGAGTTTTAACTGTAAAATATTCAACTAAGATTTAAGTAAAATATTCTTCTGAGTCCCTATTAATCAGTTAGAAACATCAACTTTAATTTTCTAAGGAATGTTCCATTTGAGGTTTCATTATATGAGAACTGGCAACCTTGCAGTTGTTCAGCACTTGGTTTGACATCATCTATGAACGCCGTTTTTACTGCTCATTTTAAAACTTTCAAGTCCTCGTCTCATTTAAGGCCCAGTTTTGTGTTTTAGTGTTTCTAAATCTAAGAGAAAAGGTAAATGTGATAGATAGAGTACATTCTTGTTAAATTATTATAATACCTTAAGTCTCTATCACACATTCGGCAAATAGCAACAAATATTAGGTGTTTATGTGTTTCCGTCTCTCTGTTTCTCAAGTTTCAATTTTCAAGATTTTCACCTATCCTAGATGGATGCCAAATACGCAAATATGTGTGAGGAACTGCAAAGGCGTGTGAAATTTCGTATTTTTTCATATTTTCGTATTCTAGATGGAATCCGAAATAGTGTCGGAATGTTCTAAAGTCGCTGATGGTGAACTCGGTTTGTTCCTCTAACATGAATCAAATGATTTTTATCCAGTTTCCAGAAGATGGAACCTAAGTTTTGCAGGATTTTGGAATCCTTTTTTCTTCGAGACATGTTGAAGTGTCTCCTTGAGTGTTTCACTTTTTCAACTTTCAACATCCTGATTTGCTCTTCCTTCAACATCTCGATTTGTTCGTTCATCATCAATCAAATAATTTTTATCCAGTTTCTAGAAGATGAAACTTCAGTTTTTGCAGGACTTTGAAATCCTTTTTTTTCGAGACATGTTGGAATACCTCCCTGAGTGTCTGCCTTTTTCAACTTCCAACATATTGATTTGCTCTTTTTTTAACATTTCGATTTGTTCCCTCAACATCAATCAAATGATTTTTATCCAGTTTCTAGAAGATTGAACTTGAGTTTTCCAGGATTTTGGAATCCTTTTTTCTTCGAGACATGTTGAAATGCCTCGAGTGTTTCTCTTTTTCAACTTTGAACATTTTGATTTGCTCTTCTTTTAACATCTCGATTTGCTCCTTCAACATCAATCAAATGATTTTTATCCGGTTTCTTGGAGATGGAACTTGAGTTTTTGCAGGATTTTGGAATCCTTTTTTCTTCGAGACATGTTGGAATGCCTCCTTACGTGTCTGTCTATTTTAACTTTCAACATCTTGATTTGCTTTTCTTTTAACATCTCGATTTGTTCCTTCAATATCAATCAAATGATTTTTATCCAGATTCTAGAAGATGGAACCTAAGTTTTGCAGGATTTTGGAATCCTTTCTTCTTCGAGTCATGTTGAAATGCTTCCTTGAGTGTTTTTCTTTCTCAACTTTCAACATCTTGATTTGCTCTTCTTTTAACATCATTTGTTCGTTCATCATCAATCACATGATTTTTATTCAGATTCTAGAAGATGAAACTTGAGTTTTTGCAGGATTTTGGAATCCTTTTTTCTTCGAGACCTGTTACAATGCCTTCTTGAGTATCTCGTTTTTTCAACTTCCAACATCTTGATTTGCTCTTCTTTTAACATCTCGATTTGTTATTGAGTTCTAGTCTCGGGTATACTTGAAAATTGAAATAAATTCCTGGTATTTAGTGGTAATTTCAGTGGCAATTAATGGTAATGACAGTGGTAATTAGTGTTATTGACAGTGGTAATTAGTGGTATTTAGCGGAAATAAGAGGTAATAAGTGGTAATTTGAGTGGCATTGAGTGGTAATTCCTGAGGCAATGAAAGGTAATAGAAGAAAAAAGTGGTAATTTAGAGGTAATTACTGGTAATTTGTGGTAATTTCTGTCAGAAGTGGTAATTTAGTGTACACAGTTCCACTACTGAAATCCCCCTCGAAAGCAACAAATAGCCTAATAAAATTTCAGGTAATTCTATGGCAATTTATTTTTTATTTATGGAGGTCAGTGACTTTCGTGGTTCGCCTGAAATAGTTTTTATATTTTATCTCGAAAACAAAGCAGCATACGGAAAAAAATGAAGAGACAAAAAAGCTGTATATTTAAGTGTTCTATTCAAAAAACATATCCTAATTAAAAATAAATCTACTGGACGATGTTTTTCGTGCAAAAAAACCCTCCGACAGAACCTGTGGCACGTCCCTGAAATTACTGGGTCAACTCTGAGCAATCCAAAAGATACCTCATAAAGGTGTCAACAAACTATGAAAATTTCATTTAATTTGTTCAACGCATTTCTAAGAATTAATAAAAAAAATTGGCTTTTTTTTACAAAGTTTAACACCCTGTATCTGGAAAGCGAAGCATTTCCGGACATATGTTTATCAAAAAAATAACTTAATTTTTACAAGATCTACCATCCCTAGAAGTTTGTAACAAACCTTTCGTGACACCCTGTATATCCCATTAAAAAAAAGCCTCACTTTCGGATTCACCCTGTATGTCAATACCAGGTAAATACTATGTCAATAGTGTCAATACTATGCAATACCTACTTGTTAATTATGTAGGTAATATATGTCAATACTTGTAGATATCTATGTAGGCAATATACATATTATGTTAATGTCATTGGTTGATACCCATTAATAACATGTAAATACCTGTGGGTATGTCAATATCTAGAATTCTGGCAAGACAAATATTTGATTTCAGTCTGTTAATAGCATGGCAATACCTGGTAATATGTGATAATACTAATACTAGGGAAATACCTGGCAATATGTGGAAATATTTTGTTAATACATGGAAATAGTTGGCAATAACTTGTTATTAGGTAGCATCGTCACCAGAAATATCTGTTAATACATGGAAATATCTCAGTACTGTTAATCGGTGTACAAATTTTGTTAGGTGAAGAACCCCTTGGAAAAACCCATCTACAGGTCTGTTCTCACAGAAATCACAAACCAGTTAGAGCGTTTTAATTGGAAAATGTTGAAAATACAAAAAGAGCACTGAACTTGAACTTGCTCTAAGGATCACTACTGAATTGGTATCTAGCCAAAACCTTTATTTCTATGTAAGTACCTACCTAGTTAATTGTATATAATTCAAATTCAGAACTGGAACTTTTTCTTTGATTTGTTATAAGATAGGTAAGTATTACTTTGATTATTAGGTATAGTTAGGTTTTTAATGATCTCTGGATAACATGTCTATATTTTGAAAAAGAAATGCTATCAAGAAAGCAGGTTTGCAGTTTGGATAAGAAAGCATTGTCAATAATTAAGTATATACCAAAATGAAATGAAGAACTGCCTAAAATAAATTTATTTTATGTTTTTTTTTTTTTTTTTTTCATTACACTATGAATCTTTAACTTTACTACTGATTTTCCTATTTTCCTCTCCTAATAAATAGAGACATAATTTGATAAAATATTGGATTGTGCATTTATAAATTATTATATACCTATGTAGTATTTAAATTTTAAAGGGCTTTTCATAAATACAAGTAATGCAAAAACCAGACTTATTTTATTACGTAAGGTAAGATACCTAAACACCTGACGAATGGAAATTAATTACCTTGTTAGATTTTTTTGAATACACTAAACACTAATTATTAGAATGCAAGAAATACCCTAATTTTCCACTTTTAGCAAAAATCAGCCGGGTGTCGAAAATCTGCCCACAGGGTCGTAGAGGTTAAATGAAGGTCGTAGTCTCGTCAGCTTGTTGAGAAAAATTCGTTTCAATAGAGTTCCTGTTCCTATTGCTCCAGGTGCGATGTATGTTTGAATGCAATAGAAAAGGACAATAATCACCTGGGCAGCGGACAGAAAAAAGAAGACATTTTGTGATTTAAGTGGAAAGGTGCGGTATATTCAAATTTCCATGAGGCAAGATAATTTGATGAAAAGAAACTTCTATTTCTATCCTCAATAAATACATAATTAGATGTTACCTTTTGATTTAAGGGCGATGTGGGTTTACGTTCAACAGCTTTCATTTTTGAAATCTCACAAAACTCTAGCACAGAAAAGAAAACACGATAAACTTTATGGAAAATACTGAAATTCTATAAAAATAGTAAAATACATTAATTACGTTTCAATTCTTGCGTTGTTCATTAATAACTGAGATAACACTATGATGAAAAAAATAAATCAAATTCCTCCTAATCTGGTTTTATTTATCCTTACTTTAACTTTCAAGATATTTATATTAACCCGTTGGAAGGTCAATAGTATTATAATCAGTGAATACTTTGTTTATTCTATTGGAATTTGATAATGTGATGCATGACAATCATGCTGTATCCAGCTTCCAGCACACGTGGAAAAATATCTCTCAAAATAATAATTTTATGAAAATTATCACACATACTTTTCCATTTCAAATGCTTTTTGTTGATAACATGATTTATTGGGGGCTGGAACTGGAAATTTACATTAGGACGGTTTTGTTTTGAAAACTCCAGTATCTACACCAAGAACGATTTTGTGTTACTTTAATAGGTATGCAGAACAAGATGATGCCTCTCTTGGAAGAGTCATTATTGATGGAAATTTTCATGTATTACATGCTGATGCGATCTCCAAATTAACTGGTTCTGTGCGACCCTCTATCTTCCTCATGATCCGTAATGTTTTTCAGATTTTTAATATACCATCACTAACACCAGAACTCCTCAAAAGAAACAGTAGTGAGTCGATGGTACGACTTCTCTAGTCTGTATAGTGATCATTGTTTTATTATTGCTGGCGAATTTACTTTACCTAGATGGATTTCTTGACTTTGAGCTTGACTGTCATTGATTACATAAATTTAAATAAATAAATTTATTCTCAACAAATAATTCACAATTTCAGATTTCAATCAATTTAAGCAATAGGTACACAATGGAGCACAGCACATGCTCTGTGTGTGTACGTAGTGGGTGTGCTATCTATGTACTATTATTTAATTACATCATATAACAATTTATTATATTATATCATTCCAAAACTCTTTATTTATTTTACAACAGCAAAAGAAAGATACCGGGTTTGACTATAACATAAATATAAATATATATATATATATATATATATATATATATATATATATATATATATATATATATATATATATATATATATATATATATATATATATATATATAATATAAATATAATATAAATACGCTACCAGCAAGAGGATTTGTGGAACGTCCCTCAAAATTCCAGTATTTCAGTGATTTCAAGTTTTAAATAACGAAGGCGATGTTGTTTTCAATCAACCAGATTTTCAATTTCTTTTTAATTTTTTTTGTAGGGAGATATCTTTCTAGTTCTTTAGGCAACGCATATTGTATATTTCCAGGCCCGTATATGTGAGGCTTCTCTGACATTTTGTAAGTCTGGCATTTGATACTTCTGCCATATTCCTAACTTGCTGGGTCGAGAGCCCATGATTTACTATTTGTATGTGCGTTTTATTTTTTGAAATATATAGGTACTTCTCTTGGGTACTTCTGGGTTATAATGATGAGCGGTTCCAACACATACCGACAGGATGTCCCCCAAGCGCCCAAGCCAACCAATTGTAGATAATTATTGATCATCAAGAAGAAGTAAAATAAAGTACTGGATCAAAAAATAAACTTGGTAAATAGGGTTTTTTGGATCAAAAGAAAAAAAAAAAAAAGTTTCGCCCGAGCAGGGACTTGAACCCTGGACCCTTGGATTAAAAGTCCAATGCTCTACCGACTGAGCTACCCGGGCAGATGAAAATATTTGAGCAAACACGGTATAAAAACCTGTCTATTGGACAACATTGTTCAATAGTTCCTTGCTTGATAAGTTTTTCGCTGACCCATAGGGTCATATGGATTGTTAGTTTGCCAGCAGGTTTATCAGAAGTTGATTAAACCGAGCGGAATAAATCCCTGAATTATAATTATTGCCCTCTAGTTAAACTTTCCCATTTTTTTCCCAACAAATAATAATAATAGGCAACCAATGTAGGTAGAGTTTTAAGGGTGGCTGAATTAGACAAAAGTGTGCCCAACAATTTGCCGTTGAGGAATTTAAAAAAATATTTCTGGTTTTCGAGATTTTTTGAAAAAAGTAAACATGGTACTACTAGATTTTAAATCCCACGTTTCGTCAGCTATTTAGGCCCATCATCAACTTTTTATTTTTTTAAATACGGATCTAATTTATTTTAAATTCAAATTTCGTAATCTACTTTACCTTGCGTTCGGTATTTTGCTCAAAGAGCAGAGCGTGCCGAGCGGAGCCATAATCACGTGACCAGTGAGCGAACAGAGCAGTTGAACGATAAAAGTGCCAGAAATTTTAATAAACGAACGCGAATGAGGCTGCACCGAGTACACTTTTTAAATAAACGAACGGTAAAATCAAGCTCGGAGAACTCGGACCAAAATAACGAACGCACGGTTAGGTGGGTTAGTGCACTGCATGCACTCGGAGTGACTCCATGCGCACTCCAGCCGTTCGGGTTAAGGTTCGGGTATTGCTTTTTACCGTATTAGGGGTGACTCCATTAGCTCTGTTCACTCCAATCCAACTCCGCGCTGAATAGCCGAACCCAGCTTATGTCCAGGCGGTTACACTCGAGCGTCGATGTCTGAAAACATGTACGCACATACATGAACGCGCAAACAAAACCATTATAGCGTTTTCCATTTGTCGAACCAGTGCAAAAAAATATATATATCCTTATCCTTACATGTTACATGCTCCTAGAAAAAGATACGGATACACTCAGTGCGCACTGATTGACAAATGAAAATCACCATTAGTTGTATTCCTTTCAAGAGCTTAAAACACTAGCGCTACTCGCTCCGGTGTTAGTCGACCCGGATTTGAAAGGAACAGATGTGCTGGCAATAGTTGTATTCCTTTCAAGAGTTTGAAATACTAGAGCTACTCGCCCCGGTGTTAGTCGACCCCGATATGAAAGGAACAGATGCGCTGGATTTCATGCATTTAAATGGTTGGATTGGGGCTTGAGCACTTCTGGAGCAACAAACACTTTTCGAAAGGAAGAAGCGCGTAACGCCCCGGAGCTGTGCCGGAGCTCGTCCTATAGGTGTGAAAGGAATACAAATGGTTTTGCTTAAACTTTTTGATCCATCGAATTTAACGGAACAAGAAAGAGCGCTCCGTGCGAGATATGAGAGTGTTTTATTGCTAAAGTCGAACAGTCGAACACGTGAATTTCGTCGAGAGCAACGCTTCGTTTTAAGCCGAACAGGTGTCGCGCTATATAGGTACTCTAGTGCAATCCAAATGGCGTCCAAATTAGACTCTCCAAACCAAAACCAAGAACGATATCGATAAACCACAGAGGGATGGTAACATCGGCGATTTTTTTCCGCCAGCTTAGCGCGAGCACGCGCTACTGTAGTGACGTAACCTGGCCTACTCGAAACAAGTTTTTATGCGTTATTAGTATAGGAGATTAGAGAGTTCTCGTGCTGTCCAAATTTCAAATACCGTAAAGTTATTTGACAAGTATGACAGTTCTTACAGTATTAACGTTAACGGAGCCCGTTACCTAACGAGAGTTAGCGGATGTCTTACCGTAACGCTATGCTATGTCAAAATTAGTTAACGCTCCATTATTACGTCTGCAAGAAAAGCAACTTCTAATCATTTCTCCATAAAAAACACAAAGGGAAAATTAATGAAACTCAGGAATCTTCAGTATAAATGAAAGTTAGCAAACAAGCACGTTTTTTTATTTATCTTGAGTTTATTCGGAATATTTCAGGAATTAAACAATCGTCCCGCCAAATTTCAATCTTTTTATGGAATGAGTACCTATACCTAAAAGCATTTACAAAATTATGTTCTATTGTTGGTCCCTAGTTGAAGAGAAACAGTGAAACTGGAACAGAAAAATAGACCGCGATTTATTTCTTGAAACATGTTTCAAGTAATAAAAATTTTTCACGCGGATAAAACAAATTCGTTTCATTAGTGGGCGGACTTGTATTTGTTTGCGCTATTCTATATTCATGAAACGTGTTATTTCACGTTTCATATTTTTGATGTTTCACGTTTCATATTTCTTTGATGTGCGGCCTCCCCAAACTATATATATGTCTTTATATTCAGATAATAAATGAATAACCCAAGTAGGTATGGCACCATTTTCATTGTTTGTCCATAGCCGCCATATTGATTATATTGCCCTTATCATGGCATGTAAAGTCGAAAATCGCCTGTTTCCAATCATTTCCAATAATCCCAATACACCAATGACAAATTCACGAAAAAAGATCCCTCAAGTTATTAGGCCAATAAAGTTCTTTGTTATCAGTATAAGCTCCGCCCCCTTCTTTTTTTCTTAGCAAAAAATGGTTTTCTGTTTATCAACCAATTCCCAATAGTCCCAATCCACTAATGACAAATTAAGGGGAAAAAATTTTTAAAGTTATTCGGCCAATAAAGTTCTTTCGTATCAGTATAAAGCTCGTCCCTTTTTTTTTCTAAACATTTTTTTTTTTGCCAGTTTCCAATAGATATCTTGCCGCCATATTGGGTGGTATGAATAAAAACTGAGTTTAAACTCGGAGTTTATACTCGTGAGCATGAGTATGAAGTCTGAGCTTATACCTACTCCATTTCGTAAGAATAAAAAAGATTTCGGTTTGATAAGTAGGTACATACTCCTAGTACATAGAGTAGATACTCAACATTTTATTTTGCTTGCCACCGCTCTTCCACCTCTGGCTGAGTTCGTTTTTGTCATCTTTTTCGTCGATTTGCTCCGAAATTTTGACAGACACGTGACTGGATAAGACAGTTCAGTTTACAAATCACGTGCCTGTCAAAATTTTGGAGCAAATCGATGAAAAAGATGACAAAAACGAACTCGGCCTCTCTATATCCTATTCAGAATCCGATGACCACAGGTACAGGTAAATTTATCACCTTTCCCTATCAAATAGCATTGAAAGGTGATAAATTTCACCTGAGACTCTCCACCCAAAAATTGATTTGATAACCACTCCACAATTTCTTTACTAAACCGGTACAACGTTTTAAAGTCCCGATCACACGTATTTTTTCTAGCTTTGTAAAATTTTTCCGAACGCAGGTTAAGATTGAAGAACTCTGCCATAGCTCTGCCTTCTACCGAGGGAAAATCGGTACTGAAATATCTTAAAGCAGAAAGTTGAGTCTACTGCATAGCAGACTCTAAAACCATGGAGTAGATTAGGAGGGTGACCATACGTACAGCATTTCGCTGTATTGTACAGCATTTTGGAAGTCTGTCCAGCATTCGATTTTGTACAGCAAACGTACAGCGAAAGTCCAATGTCCTATTAACACTGTGTTAATAGGTCATTGCGAAAGTCTATGCTAACGCCGCATATATACATTTGCGATTTACGTCATTTACGCGATCATCCAGAGTATCAAGCCTAGTACTCATAACAGCAAAATTCGCTCTTTTTTGAAATTACTTCGACAATTTGACGTTTTATGTGTGAATCAATTAAACGTCAAATTGTCGAAGCAATGTCAAAAAAGAGCGAATTTCGCGGTGTTGAGTACAAGGCAATAGATCGCGGATGACGTCATGAAAGTGGAATTCTACTTGTCGTGATCCCAGCCCTGGGGCCTTATTCTGTAAGGAACAACCGTTCGATTCGGTAGAATTTCTTCGATTGTGACGTCATTTTCGGTTTAGTTTTCGCTCGTTTTCGCGCTACCAAACCTAAAATGACGTCACAATCGAAAAAATTCTACCGAATCGAACGCTTCGTTCCTTACAGAATAAGGCCCCTGGGCTGGGACACGGACTTAGGGATCACGACAAGTAGAATTATACTAGAATTCTACTTTCATGACGTCAAATTGTCTAGTAGCCGTCATGATGGCCTGTACTGTACGCAATAAATGGGTCGCGGGTGACGTCATGAAAGTAGAATTCTACTTGTGATCCCAGCCAGGAACGATTTTGCAGGTTGCACTTTGTGACTTTGGTGTTAGTTTTGGTACTGTGTCTTTTTTTTCTTTCTCCTCTCACCTTTCCCAAAATTTTAAATGTGTACAGCATTCATACAAGAAAAATATGGTCACCCTAGAGTAGATTCTTCTGCCGAAGAGCACAAACAATTTTTTATTCATTCCAAAAGTGAGAATCTACTCATACCAAATTATACATAGGAGTACCTACTCAAGCGAAATATCTGCTCGTAGTTTTTATTCATACCACGTGGGGAGTATTTACTCCAAAATTTGAAGTAAAAACTAAATGCTCATTTTTATTCATACTGTATTATATATGTAATAATACACATACCACCCATTATTCTTACTTAGGTTTCAAATGTTTCATTGATGAATATAGAGCCTAAGTTCCGATATCAACTGTCAGTACTGAATTTACTGGACGCCGTTCCAATAATATTTTCAGTACACTGGATTCAGTCGATTCAGTACTGAATGACCACAAGAGTACGCTGTTGAAATCGGAACGGCAAATGACAGTAAAATCAGCACAGTAAATCCAGTACTGGCAGTTGATATCGGAACATAGCCTGAGTAAGCCATATTTTTGAAATTTTTGAATATGAACGAAAAAAGGACGGCAATTTGCATTTTCGACATGGTTGCCAATTTGTGAATAATTGCTCACTTGTGAGTAATTTACTTTAGTCTGTAATTTTATGAGTAGAGGACAATAATATAATATGTAATTCCAAAAAATTGCAAAAAAAACATCATAAAAATGTTAAAAAATTCCAAAAAAATCCCAAGAAATTCCAAAAAATTCCATTTGGACTTACCATCGTCACCAAAAGTATCTGGGACACAAATAATGCATAATAATCTCCTGGACTAATTCTACTGTTATTCATTTCAATGCATTTTATCCATAGTTTGACAAATATTTGACAATAAAATTCATGTAATAGGACAAGAGCTAATGTGATGCTGTTCCAGTTACTTTTGGTGACGATGGTACCCGCAGCCCTGGGCTCCGTTCAGGGCAGGAATCTTCCTTGGAGTCGCGAGTTTAGAATGGACACTTGCTACTATTTGACAATGACAAGTTAGTAAATTATTGAAGTGTTTTAGGCGGCGTTCCGTATCTTAACCAGAGTTACCGATTGGTAATGGAGCGGTTCGTCTATGGAGACAGTCTGGTTCCTGAGAATGCGGTTTATATGTGGAACCGCGTTTCATAACCTTACCAGATTTCGGGAGTGGTTAGGTTACGGAACGGGAACCGGAAAAACCAAGAATCTTGGTTAACTTACGGAACGTGGCCTAATTTTTTCTAGCTAGGTAAAGAATTTCTCTACAGGTTTGGAAATAAAATCACTTAGAGCAAAAATTACTGCTCCAATTTCCCAATGAAATTCCAAGAACCTGCACCGAAATGGCTAAAGTAACAAATATTGCTGCACCAGTTCGGCCAATGGAATTCGCTATTTGTTCAATAGGTGTAATCCTTTCACACCTAGGAGGAGCTCTGGCGGAACAGCTCCGGGGCGTTACGCGCTTATTCCTTTCGAAAGGTTGCACCACACATTTGTTCCTTTCAAATCGGGGGCGACTAACACCGGAGTAGTAGCTCGAGTGTTTTAAGCTCTCGAAAGGAATACAACTATCCTTGCGTTCGGTATTTGGACCAGCGAGTGCACAGAGCAGTTAAACGCTGTATCGGACAGCTATAAAAATTTTAATAAAAGTACGAATGAGACTGCACCGAGCACGCTTTTTGAATAAACGAACGGTAATTTCAAGCTCGGAGAACTCAGATCAAAATACCGAGAACGCACAGTAATGCTGCAGGATGCGTAGTTGTATTCCTTTCTACTCGCTCCGGTGTTAGTCGACCCCGATTTGAAAGGAAAAGGTGCGTGGTGCAACAAACACTTTTTTTCGAAAGGCATAAGCGCGTAACGCCCCGGAGCTGTTCCGCAGCTCGTCCTAGGTTGTGAAAGGACAACTCTACATAAACATAACCATAACCTTAAATAAAAATATTTGACATTCCAAGCAAAGCAAAGAAAAAGAAAATATAACAGAATTTAAAAAGTGAAATCTTGTCCCTGAATCTAAATTGCCTGAAATTTGAATAACAAAATTATTGTCTTATCTAATAAATAATTGGGACACGTAATTTGTGCATTAATTTGCTGCAGTGTTCATACTAAATTGTTTATAATCTTTTCAAGTGCAAGAGTACTGAAAATTGAAACAATTCTCTAATAGTTAGCTAAAGTATTGTGACCTTCTCATTATTTAAGCGTATTTTATGTAAGTGACCTGTTTCATTTTGTTTTTAAAATATATTTGTTGCACCTGTGAAAATCCTTACCTTTGAAATTACAAGCCTGGGCTTCATAGTTAAGATGGATCTGAATTATTGCATTTTAAAAAAATAATCTATTTTTGTGGCGTCATATTAGAGCTTGAATAATTATTGCACGCATTCTAAGGGCCAGTTTCACAAACCACAACTTATCTGTTTCGTGTGGTTTAGGCAAAATCGCTAGTCAAGCTTCAGATTATTCAACTCAAGTCCTAATCTGGAGTTTCATGCATACGTTTTCCGACGGTACGATGGAGCTCATATTATATGAAAATATGTCAGAATACAAGGTTTTTTGGACATCGTTCGTCGGAAAATGGATGCATGAAACTCCGGCTTCATTTTGCGAAATTGTAACTATTAGTTTGATATTTTGATAACCACCAATTGTGAAACTGGGCCTTAACTTTTCTTATTTAATTTTGCCTAAATGTTCAAAGTTACAGGAGGAATTGATCAAGAATTACCCTCAAAATAAACCAAGGAAGGTCCAAGGTTCAAGACAGGAATGATACATTTAAATAGGGATGATAAACATCTTTGATATCAATAATTTTCCACTCCTACACATACTGTTCAATTAGAATCCTGTGTAGATAAATAACCTAATATGTAACCTGTATTTGTAGCAATTAGCAATAAATATTTTAATTGGATTGACCACTTTTCACTTTTTATAATAGGGTTCAAAGAAATTACATATTACCATCAACAATTATTTAATTGGTTCCAATGAAAAAATAAACTTAATTTTATAAACCTTTGGACAGTGATTTGCAATTTATATTCTACTTTCAGAAAAAAAAATTAATTATGGCACTGAATGTTTTGAGGCGCACATCTAAATTTGGTCGATTATTAGGCTTCACTTCACCAGCAGTGAAAAATAATATGAGAATACTCTCAGTGGGACAACCTGCATTAAGTAAAAAAGAGTAAGTTAAAAACCCTTCAAGTGTTCCCACTTTATTGAAACCTTTATAGAGTCGAAGTAACTTTTATTAAAGCCAATGGAGACGAAATTAAGGCCAAAGGAAAAGTAGGCGATTCCCTATTGGATGTAGTCGTAAACAATAATCTAGATTTAGATGGCTTTGGTGCATGTGAAGGTAAATCAGAGTTTAATTACTTAAAAAAAGTTTTGCCAACATTTTTCTTTGCAGGAACTTTAACTTGTTCGACTTGCCATCTAATCCTCTCCCCTGAAAACTACAATTCACTACCCAATAAACCGTCTGAAGAAGAACTAGACATGTTGGATTTAGCTTACGATTTATGCGATACTTCTCGTTTGGGCTGTCAAATTATTCTCGAAGATAATTTGGATGGATTAAAAGTGAAAGTACCTGCAACTGTTAACGATGCTAGGAGCTAACGTTTCTAGTGATTTTAGGTCTTAAAAAATTTAGGTCAAGTTCAATGCAATAATAAATATTTTTGTTAAATGTTATACCTTTGTTTATTGAGAATAAAAATTTCTATTCTATGCATTTTCATGTCACATTTTCCAATAGATTTCAAACTGTGTAAAAAATTATAATTGATGGCTTAAACAATACCTGTTGCTGTTAAGATAAGGAAAAGCTGTTCATTTCACCCAGAATAATCTAATCTTTATTAAGGATCAAGTCAATATTTGCGATTTAAATCTGATTTAATCCCATATCTACTGTTACAATAAAAACGCAAATTTTAAAACTAGAGAATGATGTAGTGTCATAAAAATAGTAGTAAAAAGTTAAACATGGCTGGTGTAGGTTTGAGATAAATTTTCTTAATTTTTTTTATTTATTTTGCTATTTCAGGAGCTAGATAATAACCAAATTTTACTTATTATAAACAGTGTAATGGCAGCAGTGCTGGTGATTCTTATCGCCTGTGTTGTTTATTTGTTTTTCCGAATAAGGCAGCTAAACAAGTTAGTCAGCGCTTTGGATCCAATGAGCAAGTATAAGAAAGTGTAAGTGATAATTTTCCTTACCTCTACATTATTATTTACTGCAATAATGATTGAATTTTTGGTAAATATTGTATCTTACCAATGACATCATTAGAAGAATATTAAAAACATGCATTCAACCACAGACAAAAGTATATTTAATCTCAAGTTGCTCTTTCTTAGAATATCACCAATGCTTCAATATTAGATAAAAATAACACAAAAAAAACATCATTAATTTGACCACTACTTGGTCAAAATAAAAAATAAACTACCAAATTGGAAAATCATTTTCCTAGCTTCATAAATGTTATCCAAACCAGTGATCACCCATACACTCCCTGGTCCATTCAGTCTGACAGACCCAGCACCAATGAAATTGGCAGCCGGCTCGTGTACAAACCATGTGCATACAACCTCCATCCCTTTCCGTAGGTGTTTTACAACTTGGACAAGGTTTAGTTATAACCTTAATAGTAGTCCTAGAAGCATCATCACCAGCACCATTCCTATTATCACAATTCAATTCGGTACCACAATCTCCGCTTGTACCAGAAGTTTCTTGAATTTCTGGAGGGTCACATGAACCTATGTGATAGCCTTGTAAACAGTTTCTGCAGAAGACGTATTTGCAATTTTGGCAAGTTATTCTTATACACTCTGGGTCAGCTGAAAACAAAGAAAATAAAACAATTTAAAAAAAAAAAACTCTAATTTGCTTTACCCAAAATTCCCATTCCGCATCCTGGTTGAGGACATAGCAAACCTCCAGATTGCAAAACGAACTCTTCAGTAGCAAATCTATGATACCTTTAAATATTTTTTAAAATATATTTTCTGTAAATGGAATAAAAATACAGCAAACCTTTCATAGTGTTCATCATCTAGCAATCTAAAATGATGGATTTCTTTAATAAAAGAATTGGCACATCCACTTGGGCAAGCTAAAGTATATCCATATCTGTAAATTTACAAGTGCACAAACAGAAATTGAATTCAAATATATTTAATTACTCTGGATGTTGCCAAAATTGCCTATCTGACAACTTAGCTTTGCAATATGCTTCAAAGCAATCCAAACAAGTTACATGATCATCTTCACAAGGAAACGAAAATATTGTTTCAGTTATTTCAAAACACGCAAGACATTGTAGTTGTCTTAAATTTGGACGAATTAAGTCTAAGGGAACTGCCTGATCATTTTCACCTAAAATATGACTAATAGATGAAAACTCTCAACAAAAAGACACCTTTTTACCTAAAGATATATGTTCAGAACACTTAAAATAAAACTCAGCAAATGTTGGTTCCTTATTTTGCAAAATGTTTTCACAGAATTCAGAATCATTTTCACAAGTTCCAGTTATTTGTTTTGATTCCAGAACGTGAGACCAATTTTGAGGATCCGAGTGTACTGTGAAAGCTCCACTTTTGCAAAAGTGACACCTAACTCTTAATTTACCTTAAATAACCATTTTTTTTTAAAAATATATTACTTAACAAGTTCTTGTATGAATTTACCTTGTGTAAGTTTTTTGCAAGTAGGACAATAAACATAAAAGTGCACCTTTTTGGGCTTTGATTTTTCATTATTTGCAACCACCTCAATTTCATCCAATAAAGAATCACTAGTAGATGTTTCATTTCCAATTGAAATGGAAGCTGTTCTGCTACCAGAACTTGCAGAAAACATTAAATCATCCAAAGATTCACACAATGGCATCAAAGTTTTCGAGTTTGGGGTGCTGCTAGCGCTTATTTTGGATTGAACATTTCCAGGTTTTATTTTGACCACGTGTAAGATGCTTTGTTGGCCCAAGTCACATTCCTCTAAAATATATTTCTGTGCATCCAAAAATAAACAAACAAAATCTTTACCTATAATAATATCATCTCCCAGTTCTTTACCAGCAAAAATAACCTTTAACTCTTCAGGTTGAAGTCCTATTTGAGGTGCAACCATTTTTTTTATATGTGAAACATCGCATTTTGGGTCTATATCGATGGATATATTTCCACCTGTTGTTTTTATGTAAATACTTAAAACATTCTGGATTATGTGCTTTTTGGTTGTCAGTATGTGGATCATCATTTGAAATAAGCTACTAAAGAACGAAATGAAAAATCTTAACATACTTGGGACCAGTGCGTAGTTAGAATTTCTTAAACAAAAAAAAAATTGTTGGTTTTCTATTTAAATGAACCTAATAAAAATTGTTTTGTTTGTTCTAAGGAGGTTATCATTCCCTGCACTATTTGTACTTTCTTATGAAATTAGTGATTTGAGTTTTTCATAAATTTGTACTTTTGTTAACTTCGTAATAGTCTTTTTGAATAATATATTAGGAACTTACATTTGTTTCTGTACTTCCAAGCCACTGTGGCTTAATAGTGAGCTGCTGAGTAATGCACTGGAAGAAGAGAAAATAAATTAGCAGCTCTCAGCCCTGCAATTTGCAAAATAATTTAATAAATAATTATAATATTAGTTTCTTGCTAATTCTTACTTAACCTCACTTTTTATTTAGTAAACAAACAAACAAAGTGACATATGTCCATGTTTGAATTCTAATAGCGCTTTCGCATTTTGCACCAAAACTGCACCCGCTTGATCGAAAAGCGATCCGAAACGGATTCACATGTTCGGTTTATAACGGAGCGTTGCTCTCGGCGAGATTCAGGTGTTGGACTTGAACAACAGAACGCTCTCAAATCTCGCACGGTGCGCTTCTGCTTGCTCTGATTAAAAGAGATTTATTAGAGAATTCTCGTGTCTCAGACGCTACGCTAATACGGTACCGCTAACAATACGGTATTTCACATGGTGTTTTATACTTCTCGGACACAAAGACACAACAACATTTTCTAATCCCTTATTCTGTTTACATTTTGACAGCTGAGTTGAGTGATCTAACCCGACTTTTTTTGCTTGTTTTCTAACGTTCATTTATCCTGAAGATTCTTGAGCTTGATTAATTTTCCCTTGGTGTTTTTTATGGAGGAATTATTAGAAGAGACTGTTTTTGCAGACATAAATGGAGCGTAAACTAGTTCTGACATAGCGTAGCGTTACGGTAAGACTTCCGGTAAGTTCCGTTAGATAGCGGGCTCCGCTAACGCTAATACCGTAAAAACTGTCATACTTGTCAAATAGCGTTACGGTATTTGAAATTTGGACGGCACGAGAACTCTCTAATAACCGTTCAAAAATACGTTCGGCTATTGATTTCAAATGGTGTGCCTTGTTCAGATTTTAATTGCTCTCGAAGCACTCCTGTGACGTCACCGCTCAGACAAAGACCGCTTTAAAATATATAACTTTAGTGCTGTATTACAGAAGCAGAATGCATTTGCAAGACGCCTGCAAATTTGCGCAAGGCGAAACGGTCCCGTAAGTTCTTGCAGTCACTTTGACATTTCAAAATGGTAAATCAGTAGCGCCCAAACATTTTTTTTGATAAATAGGACGGACTTGCAGGTTTTTTACTGTAATTTGCTCGTTCCTGCAAATAGAGCACATGTAAAGCCAAGGAGAATACACACTCTAAGGAGTGCTTATCGGTCTCGTTTTTGGTAATTGCCGCCATATTGGTGTGTTACCATTTCCGACGTCATAACTAAGTCATCAGCTGTTTAAACATATTACGTCAAGGCGAGAAATAACATGTTGCCTACGTCACAACTGCTAATTTTGCGCGGGGAGAAAAGGCTGAGAAGGGAGGATTTGTTACACACAGGCCTTATGAGGATAGGCCATCCTGTAGTAGTAGTAGTGTGTATCATCCTTGCTGATGTAGAGCACATATGCAAGTCGGCCATATTTGCAGATGCAAATATACTGTAATTGGACCCTTAGCTGGTTTCGGCTGGCTCGCTCCATGCACTCGGAGTAAAGCAATAGGCGAACGGCTGCAGTAATGGAGTCACTCGGAATGCACGGAGTGAGCAAACCGAATCCATCTTTTATAATTAATTGATTCTTTTTTTTTCAGAGGCCCGTCAATTTACATCAAGAGGCCGCAACGAGATACGTCCTCAATAAGCTCCAGCTTCAAGCATTTTCAAACTAATCCAGGCAAAAGCAACTGTTCTGATGATGATGTTCTAAGTGAAACGTTCACAGAACCAATAGGCACTTTGGATCGAAATTATTTCTCTAGAAATAAGTTTCATTTTGAAAATCCTTTGGCTAGCAATAATATTGTCAATGAGGAAAAGAATGAAGACAATAGACCAATGAGAAAACTTAGCAATCAGAGAAGGTAACCACTATTTAATGGCGTTTCCGATTGGTAAATTCAGTGCGCACTGAGTGTATTTGCATCCTTTTAATCGACCTGTAGAGGAAAAAGACAGAAATAGAAAAAATTGCACTAGTTCCGCACTAAATCTACCAATCGGAAACGGCATAAGTTTAACGCGGTTGTGATTTAACTATAGCTGAGTTCGGGATGGTACTCTTTTTTACTCCACTCGAAAGTATTGTAGTCGGAGCAAACAGAGCAAGATTATTTGTGTTCAGACTTATAACTTTACTCCAGTAAATCCAATATCACGGAGAAACTACTCTACTCCAACGCCAGAGTACAATTCCGAACCCAATTCAGTTTTACAGTTTTAGGGAGAATTCTCATGAGCGTAAGTTGACATTTCTGGCGTAATCACGTGATAAAATGGTTGGGTTTTATTGGAAAAATATTTGACATGTTGGAGATTTTACCAATCAAATTACACCATTATTATTACGTGATTACGCCAGAAATGTCAACTTACGTTCATGAGAATTCGCCCTTGAACTACCCATTTATTTCATTAATTTATTTTTAGTCAAGACGCCCATAAAGATGTTATGGACGCCATTAAAAGCCTAGATAGGGTTTTGTACTGAATCAATTACCATCAATAAGACATATTCATGTGTGTTTTTCCTTAGTATGTATTGGTAATATATATATATATATATATGTTTTTTCAAATGAAATAATATCTTTGCTGATTGAAAAAGGACCCCGCAATATTTAAATGGAAATTGGTTACCCGTGATATTTGGATGAAATTTAAATATGTTATTGGGGATGCCGTAAGCAACATTTTTTACCATGGGCACAACTGTATATATGACAGGTGAGGCGTGGTTAGCTGTCAAATATTGGAATCTTATATCCAAAAGCAGAGTAACTATGGCAGATTTTAATGAACAAAAAATCTATTTCTACTAAATCGACCAAGTTAAGTCGAAAAATGTCAACCATTTTAACATCTGTCAAATCCTTGCCAAGCGGCAGCACTCATCTTTTCCAGTTTTCAATATTTTATGTTGTCATTTGACATTTTTAACTTATATGTAAATACTAAATTCAGAAATTGAAAAAAAAAATGACAGAACTGTCAAAACCTGTCATTTGTTTTAGTAGAAAAAAATACTCTAATCTGGTCCTTTCTCGTTTTAAGGTAGTTTATTGGTGATAAAACATTGAACAAAGTTCATGCACGTCACATTTTGACAGCTGTCATTTTTTTTTTCAATTTTTGAATTCAGAATTTACATATAAGTTAAAAATGTCAAATGACAACATAAAATATTGAAAACTGGAAAAGATGAGTGCTGCCATTTGGCAGGATTTTGACAGGTGTTGAAACGGTTGACATTTTTCGACTTAACTTGGTCGACTTAGTAGAAATAGATTTTTTGTTCATCAAAATCTGCCATAGGTACTCTGCTTTTAGATATCAGATTCCAATATTTGACAGCTAACCACGCCTCACCTGTCATATATACAGGGTTGTGCTCATGGTAAAAAATGTTGCTTACGGCATCCCCAATAACATATTTAAATTTCATCCAAATATCACGGGTAACCAATTTCCATTTAAATATTGCGGGGTCCTTTAGACGAGAGAAAGTGAATGCCTCCGTTTTCTATTGTTTTATTTTAACTTTAACCTGCGTGAGACAAATAATGCCAAGACATCAGAAGAATTTGGTTTGAAGTAGCATGTAAAGGCAGATATTTATTACAAATAACGCTCGAGTCCTTATAAACTCGCACAGTTATGATGTTTCTAAAATATGAAAATGTCCTGAGTTGGTATTGTTCCGTTCTTGAGTACTCCAGACTCGCTCGAAGAAAGGGCATTGTGCACGAATCAATTAATGAGCGCTTTCAATTTTTGCCTCAAAAGTTCACCCGATTAATCAAAAAGCGATCCGAAATAGAGTAACATGTTCGGCTTAAAGCCTAGTACTCATAACTGCGAAATTCGCACTTTTTTGACATTGCTTTGACAAATTGACGTCTTATGCGTGAATCAAACGTCAAATTGTCGAAGCAATGTCAAAAAAGTGTGAATTTCGCAGTTATGAGTACTAGGCTAAAGCCTAGTACTCATAGTCAAAAAAATGCGAATTTCGCAGTTATGAGTACTAGGCTTTAAAACGCAGCGTTGCTCCCGGCGAGCTTCAGAGCTGCTTTTCAATATGCACATTGGCTCGCTCTTAGAGCACCCGGGAGCGCCACGCACTAGATTTATTTGTGCCGTTCCAGTATTATGACGTGAGACGTTTGTCCGTAGGGAGCTCCAAGGAGAATACACACTCTAATAAGGGAGTGCTTATCGGCCTCGTTTTTGGTAATCGCCGCCATATTGATGTATTAATTACCATTTTGGACGTCATAACTAACTCGTCAGCTGTTTAAACAGCCTACGTCAAGGCGAGAAATAACATTCTGCCTACGTCACAACAACTGGTACTTTAAAGTGGGGAGATTTGTTACACACAGGCCTTATGAGGATAGGCCATCCTGTAATAGTTGTATTCGTTTCACACCTAGGAGGAGCTCCGGAACAGCTCCGGGGCGGCTTCACGCGCTTATTCCTTTCGAAAAGTGTTTGTCGTACCCCGCATCTGTTCCCTGCAAATCGGGGGCTACTAAACACCGGAGCGAGTAGCTCGAGTGTTTCAAACTCTTGAAAGGAATACAACTATTAGTAGTATGTATCATCCTTGGGAAGCTCCCCGGGGCGTTGTAGCTCCGAGCTTCACACTCCCATACTGGAAGGCGACTATAGCTGGGTTCGGCTATTCAGCGCGGAGTTGGAGTGGAGTGAACAGAGCTAATGGAGTCACCCCTAATACGGTAAAAAGCAATACCCGAACCTTAACCTGTACGGCTGGAGTGCGAATGGACTCACTCGGAGTGCACGGAGTGAGCAAGCCGAACCCACCTCATGTTGGACTTGAACAACAGAAGGCTCTCAAATCTCGCACGAAGCGCTTCTGCTATATCTGTTCCGGAGCTCCTACAAGGTGTGAAAGGAATACAACTAATCCGACATATGATTCCGACGAACGTAGCCAATCAAAAGACTGCAAAATATAATAAAATAACCATCTATCACCAGTCCCCCTCGTCCCAGACAAAAACAAAAATACCTCAATGACAAAAATAGAGGAAAAACACTGGAAGTGACTCGCAGTGAGCAGTGATACATGACAGCAGCACAGAACGACAGCAGTGTTCTTTCGGAACTTAAAATTGAAACATGTTCCAGTTGAACAAACGGATCATCTCGGTCAATCATGATTGACATATATTGCGAAAGAATGCGGCAGATTCGGAGTCGGTTCCGATCCGCGATGTTCCATAACTTTGCTCTGCTGCACTGGTTCTAGGTTGTTAATCTTTAAAAAAAGAAGACCCTAACCTAACCTCATAATTTAACTCCACTGTTTAACTCCCACTTTCCTGTTCGAGATTTTTTTCTTTTTTTAAATAAAATATCGATTTATTCAGTACTAAAAATAAACCAAATCAAAATGAGCGATACGCCTATAAATGGACTAACTGGTGCACAAAAAATGAATGGAACAGAAGAAAAAACTCCTTTTTTAATTGGGGTTGCTGGAGGCACAGCTAGTGGAAAGGTATTACCACCTAAAAATTAAAATTCAATTAAACGATTATTGTGTAATCATCAGTTGAATGTCTTTACATTATTTCAGGCATAAATTCTGTTCCAGAGTACAGTATGCAAACGCATTATGGAAAAGTTGGGTCAAGCGGAAATCGATAACAAACAGCGTCAAGTTGTGTGCATATCGCAAGACAGTTTCTACAGAGAACTAACTCCGTCTGAAATTTCTAAAGCTGCAAGGGGTCAATTCAACTTTGATCATCCAGATGCTTTTAATGAGACATTGATTAGAGATACTTTAATTGATATTTTGGCTGGCAAAATGGTACAGATTCCTACATACGATTATAGGAATCATGCCCTGTAAGTACAAGACTGAGGACTTTTATGTAGTTTTACTGTATTTTACATTGTTTTGATATTTTCTTTATCATTATTCCAAATCAAATCAAATCAAATCAATTTATTTGTGTTAATTTACACTCATGTGTTTACACTTGTCAATAAAAACTACTGTCTAATTCCAATTTACATATTAAAATAGTTTAAAAAGGTTTAAAACACAAGCTAAAAATTACATTAAAAAAAAAAAAAAAACAGGCTAAAATTTACATAAATTAAAATAAACATTTACCTTAACGAATTTTACAAACAAATTTCAAGAATAAAAACATTACATCAGGTTAAGATGGCACAATTACTATTATTATTACTTATACTATTTTTCACTGCAATTTACCATCCATCCAGCTAAGTGTGGAGTTGTTAAACTCTTGTATAGAATAAAAAGCCTTGGAAATCAAAAAGTCCTTTACTTTCTCTTTAAATTTAGACTTACTTAGATATTTCAGGGGATCAGGAAGCCGATTAAAAAATGTGACTGCATGGAACCCGGGTCCATTTTGGCACCTTTGTAACCGGTGAAAGATTGGTTGTAGGTGGTTTTTGTTTCGCGTGTTGTAGTTGTGGATGTCACTGTGGCAGGTATATCCGTCATGGTGGTCTTTAACATACATCAAATTTTGGAGAATATACTCACATGGCAGAGTCAGGATTCTGTTATTAATAAAGGCCTGTCTTACATCTTCCCTATAACCCAATCCCGCAACAATCCTCACAGCACGTCTCTGCATAGCAAAAACCCCCTGTGCACCACTAGAGTGGCCCCAAACGAGCAACGCGTAGCTGAGATGCGAGTGGAAGACAGCAAAGTAAGACTGTTTGAGAATTCTTGGAGACACGCACACCGACAAATTCCTTAAAACAAAAGTATTTCTACCTAGCTTCTTCGTAGTCATCTCAGTGTGAGCATCCCACAGTAATTTCTGGTCGAGAGCAACCCCAAGGAATACGACACTACCTGCCATCGGTTCTGTTCTTTTTAATGAGAAAACATACTTTTGGGTTTTGGCTTCGTTCAAGAAGAGTTTATTAGCTGAAAACCATTGCTTGGCTCTTGCCTGTGCCTCTCTAGACATGTCGGTTGCTGTCTGTATGTCGGTGTGTTTGACTTGTTCTGTTGTGTCATCTGCAAAATTGAAGATTTTTTCTGTTCTTGCTATGTTTGGCAGGTCGTTTATGTAAAGTAAGAACAAAATAGGCCCCAGGATCGAACCTTGGGGTACTCCCATTCTGACTTCCTGCTTATAGGACATTATATTGTTAAAACTGACTGCTTGTTGACGTTTTGTTAAATATGATCTTATAAGATTTATGCTTTGAGGTGAAAAATGATAAAAAGGTAGTTTGTCAAGTAAAATGTCGTGAGAGACACAGTCAAAAGCCTTGCTCAGGTCGCAAAAGATTGAGACTGTGTGTTGTGAGTCTTCAAAACCCTCCATTATGTTTTCTACTAGTCTTAGGATTGCCAAAGTGGTGTTTTTGCCCCCTCTAAAACCAAACTGGTTTGGGCTCAATATTTCGTTAATTTCAAGATAGTTTGTTATCTGGTTTGCAAGACATTTTTCAATGATTTTGGAAAGAACAGGCAAAAGAGAGATAGGCCTGTAGTTTCCAGGATCACTCGATTCACCCTTTTTATAAATAGGAGTCACCCTAGCTATTTTCATACAATCCGGAAAGGTACCTTCTCTTATGCAACAATTTATAAGCTTTGTAAGAGGAATAAGCAACTGGTTCTTGACACCCTTTATTAAGTTAATATTTAAGTTGTAAATATCTTTGCTTGTTTTATTTTTGAGCCTATCGATCACCCCTCGAACTTCACAGAATGTAACCTCCCTAAAAAAGAATTGCCCCACTTTTATATTTAAATGTAGGTTTTGCAGACTTGCCAGAGGATTAATGTTTTCATTGGGTATTTTACTTTGCAATTCAACTGCTATATTTACAAAGTAATCGTTAAATTCCGAGGCTGTTATGCCAGTCTCGTCATTTACAAATTTTTGTGGTTTACCTCTCAGCTCATTTACTATCTCCCACATGCACCTGCTTGGATTAACTGCATTTTGAATTTTTCTATCATTGCAATGGACCTTTGAATTTTTTATAGCTTTTTTGTAATCTTTTCGGTAGCTTTGGATATAAGACTTAAGTTGGTCATTTGGGAAGTGCCTGTAGATGTCATTTAGATGGCGCAAGTGTTCCCGCATATTTCTCAAATCGTTATTAAACCAATCTATGTTATTTGTGTGATGTTCTTTTATGTTACACATTTTTTGTGGAAAGGAGTCATTGAAAGCAGATCCAAGAAGATGCAGAAGGGTTTCAAATTTTTTATTTAGTATGATAGGGGAGTCAACAAAGCTCAAGTCAAAACCTGCCACCTTTTCAAAAAATTTGTTTTTCCCAATTTGTGTAATTGGTTGGCAGAGCTTTTTTATAGTTTTTGGTTTAATTTTATCGAATGAACAATTTATTGTAAGTAATTGACCCTCATGATCAGATTTACCTGGTGCTACAACTTGTGCGACAAAGTCACTCTCGGCAAAATTGATAAATATATTGTCAAGACAGTTTTCTCCTCGTGTTGGTTGAAAAATGGTCTGGAGAAGCCCATGAGATAATAGCATGTCTGTGAGTTCTTTGGACATTCGATCCTCAGTACAGAATTTGACATTGAAATCTCCTGCTAGGATGACCCTGCCTTGAGGACTAACCTGGCCTAAAATATGATCAAGTATGTCAATAAAGTTACCAAAATCCCCTGAAGGTGAGCGATATACTGACAGGATTGTTGCTTTATATTCAACGGACTTCACCCCACAGATCTCAATGCATTTCTCCACACTTAGCTGTTTGATGTCTGTCAGCTCAGTAAAATGAGTGTTTTTCTTAAGAAAAATTAGGGATCCCCCTCCTATAGATATTGTTCTGCAAAAGGATGCTGCTACTGTCATTTCTCCCATTCTCAAATGGTCCATTTCATTGATTTTCAGGAAATGCTCAGTAATACATATTATATCTATGTTTTTATCACATAAATATGCTTCTATTTCATCTATCTGGCTTCTGATGGATTGTGCATTGTAGTGCAACACTTTTAATTTTCCAGCTTTTTCTTTGTGGTTTTGTTTTATTGGGCTGTTGGTGGATAGGCCCTTTGAGTCAGGCTTCGTCTGGTGTTCCAGGGTTAGTAGAAACTGAAAACTTCTATTGGGTGTATACAAAATTGCATATTTGTTTAGTCAGTTTTGCACCTAAGAAGCTTCAAAATTGAATTTATTGAGCATAGATTTTTTTTTTTAAATGACACTGATATAGTTTTTGCTTCACAGTTCCATTAATTTTCATCCGATTTCAGTGTAGTTAAGCTCTAATTGAAGCCAATTAAATTCTCTACAAACCTATTAAGATTTTAATTTGGTTTTAAATTAAATTTATCGAGCATTGAATTTTGTTCAAAAATTACACCGAGACAGTTTTTGCCTCACAGCTCCATTATTTTTCATCTGATTAGGCTCTAGCCCAAAGCCCCCTGGGGCCCAATTCTGATCGCAGGGAGAGGAGAGCTCCCCGAGAGAATAGATTTTTTGTTCTTGTCAATGTAATCGAAAAGTGAAGGAGAATGATAAAGACAAAAAATGTGTTCTCTCGGGAAGCTCTCCTCTCCCTGAGATGAGAATCGGGCCCCTGGGCTATTGTTTTATTGGGTTATTGTGTTAAAAACCCTCTGGGTTTTTGTTTATGCAAACCCTGCATTATTATCGAGATTATTCTCTCATAAATTGTTTACTGCAATATACTTACTTAGTATTATTTCAGAAAAAAAGACGAGGTGTTAACCATTTACCCCGCAGATGTTGTTCTTTTTGAAGGAATCCTGGTATTTTATTTCCCTGAAGTAAGGAAACTATTTCACATGAAATTGTTTGTTGATACTGATTCAGATACCAGGCTTGCTAGAAGAGGTAAAAACATAACTTTACAAATAAAATGTATTCCAATTTTGTTATTTTAGTTCCCAGAGACATAAATGAAAGGGGCAGAGATTTGGACCAAGTCTTAAATCAATACATGAATTTCGTAAAGCCTGCGTTTGAAGAATTTTGTTCTCCTGTAAGACACAACAAACTATTTATTTATAAATATAATTTTCTATCATGCATTTCAGACCAAAAAATTCGCAGATGTCATTATTCCAAGAGGTGCAGACAACCTTGGTAAGTTAATTGTAAATATAACTCTATATTTCATAAGGATAAGGCAAAAAAAGATTTGAGAAATAGTCACTGCAATATAATTGTATAACAATGTTGGTGTACTTTTTAAAACTGTGTTGCCAATAATAGAAATCTAGTACGACTGGAGTGAAAAGAAGCATGTAATTTGTCTCATATTATAAAAGCATGTGTAAATGTTGTCTATTATTTGAATGTCTTTGCACGTCACTTATTGATATTTTTCTGTTGCAGTGGCTATTGATCTTATTGTGCACCATATCAAGGACCTTTTACAAGGCAGTCCTCGGGGCAGGGGACTGTTCGAAACCATCAATAGGCTTTAAGATTTAACATACTTTTCTGTACACTTTTGATTCTATTCCAAATGGCTTTCTATTTTTTACTTTACTTTATGCTCGAAAGAAAGAGAATCTTATTGCTGGTTTATTTTTTAATTGATGTACCTTTATAATTTTTTTCCTTTTTACTAGGATATAAAGAAAAATATTGAACCAAAATTATAAATTAATGCATTTATGTTAGATTAGGTAGGTGGTAGCCAAACTGGTATAATTTTTAGGATTAAAATTATGATGGCAGTAGTTTTGAGATACTTCTTAAACATATCTTCCATATTTCACTATGAATTTGGCAGTTTAGAAGTTTTCTTCAATAGACTTAAATTCTTAGGTTTGGTGATATTTTTTATTGACTTATTTGAACATTTCAGACTTTCAAGTTCCATTGATGAGATTTATAAAAATATGAACATTCTTAATTAAGCTTTTGAATGCACATTCATATTTTTTACAAAACAGGGATTTATTAATTACAATACAATTAAATCTGATATACGATACCTATACATTTTATATTTAGAGGATGTTCTTCCATGATTAACAAAAAAAAATGGATTTATTAGAAAAACAAGTTTCACAAATCAATGGAAATCTTAAAATAAAAATACTTGATAAGAAGTATTATAATTGTCCCCAATATGTTATTATTTTATAAGCTTTTTATGTTTTGTATTAAGATTTTTCCGCCTTTATTGAGACTATTTAGAGGAGGTTGCACAATCTATAATAATTACAATTTATATACTAATAAAATAAAACAATATTTTGTACTCAATATTTCACTTGGTAATTTTCTGATGACATAAACAGGATTTATACATTATGCAATCAATTGTCAAGTATATACAATATATATATATACATACATGACCAAAGGTTGTCACAGCTCACAGCATGTAGTAGATGTATTATACCTTCTATACCAAATTAAATATATCATATTATTAGACACGCCTACTTACTTAAATTATCTTATTTCTTCCTTTATTTTTCCAACCTTGATGTTGATTGCTCTTTTTAGTGGCAATCGATCTTATAGTGCAACACATCAGAGAGATCCTTTCAAGTAAACCGAGAAATTCTGAAGAACGGAGTTTACCTCAAGTAAGGGTTCATCCAGCAATGCTTCAATCACCCACAAAGAGGGTGACTATTAGCAATGATGTCTGTAAAAGACCACATTAGGTTTGTAGCTCACTTTGATAATTTGGCTTACTCAAAAAGTGTAACACAAACTAGAATATTTTGCAATAGAAGAATTATTAGATATAGGTATTTTATCCCATAGGTCACAATTTTCCGGTTTGATTAAAGAACTTATTTAACAATACTTTTGTTAAAATTCACTCCACCATGGTAATCACCTGAATTTTGGTGAATACAAAGAATATTTAAACATATGTATTTGTATAGGGACCTGCGGAAAAATACCTTTTTTTGGAGGCAACAAAAATCATAGAGTTAATAATTTTCCTGAATAAAATTAACATTTGGATTGTGATAGATTAAGTACCTATAATTTAAACGCTCAATAATTTTACTTAGATGATTTCTTTAATTTCTATTTTATGTTTTTACTAAAAATATTTTATTTTGCTTGTTATTTATTTAATTTAGGGCCGGTTTATTCACTTTTTGATATACTGTCAGGTATGCAATCTGATGGATAAAAACCGGACCTTAATCTTTTTCAAAAATTAATTTATTAACTAGGTTGGGTGTTATTAATAAAAAAAAACTAATTGTGTTTTGTGATATTTTTGCCAAAAAGTTTCGTTTTATTATTTATTAGGTAAATTATTGGTGCTAAAAAAATAGAATGTAGTGTTTAGATTTAATGCTCCACTATTTATTTCTGTTAACAATTTTAAATAAAACTATTTTGAAGAATGAAGGTTATACATTACTTTACTTTTCTTAACAAATAGGGACATGGAAGCTTCAATTGAGCTTTTGAAAAAGTCCAGTTCAGTTCAATATTTTCAGTTTTCTGCACACTTACCAGTGGCGTGTCCAGATAACGGATGGGGAAAGATGGTGAAAGTACAGGGCAGGAGAGACTTATAATTTCAGAACCAGTCAGCCATTCACAAGTTTCATATATTTCTTTTTGAAAATGTCTACATAAAGTTTAGTTTAGTGTTCTTAATAAATCCTCGAGGGGAAGCTGTGCTTCCCTAGTAAACACGCCACTGACACATTGATTTTCTCATGAAATGTTTGGGGAGTCATTTCTGCTTGTGCAATGTTGAAGGAGTTCAAATCCACTTTCAGTTTTAGATGAATGTAGAAATTAAGGCTTCAATTAACAACAAATGCTTGAAGTTTATGAATAATAAATGCCACTGATTATTCCAAGAATTTAAACTTAATCGCAAAAGTTTGATAAGAAAGAAACAATTATTAATACATTAGAAACTATATTACATTAAAAAATTGAGATTTACTTATCAATATTGGTACATAAAAACCACCGACACCTTTTTTTTTTAAATAATACCCTAAGTTTTCTGTTTGTATTAGTTATTGGTGTTTACTGGTAGTAGAGTTCTATATTCATCCCATCATGGATTTCATCTGGGTAAAAATGTTAAGGAAATATTTTTCATGGTGAGTTGAATCGTATTTTATAAATTAAGTTGTGAAAAGGATACAATCCTGTAGCTGTATATGATCCTTGAACGTGGTATACCATTTTTTCAGGACGATTTTGTCCCATTTAGTGCCAGTTTGAGCAGCGATCAGCTTTTTGAGGTCTCCTACTGTATCGTCGGGGTTGCATTTCACTCGGACTTTTTTGCCCAGTCGGTCGTTGCAGGTAATTTCAATCATGATTGGGTACTTGCCTCAATAAAAGTTTGGTCTTTGTTTTTCTGAATCTAAAAAATAGCAGGAAAGAAAAACACTGAAAAACGAAAGAATTTTTTTAAGGTTATGTTCATGTTGACGTTGACAGTTTCTATTCTTCGAACTGGTTTAAACTTTGTACAAGGCGTCATCACTTGTGAACGCGAGGGAAGGTTTGAACCACAGTCTTATAACTTTTTTGAACCAAGTTCAATGTGACGTCACTGGTTCAACACAATAGTGTACAGGTTCGAACCTAATTGGACTAGATCGAACCAGTTCCGCCGCGGGGAAACAACTCAAATCTGTTCTAAAAATTGATCAACAACCTGTTCCGAACTCGTTTACTATAAAATGAAATCTTGAACAATAAAAAAAATCCTGAATTATGGCGATTTCCGTTTGTCAATCAGTGCGCACTGAGTATATCCGCGTCTTTTTCTAAAAGCATGTAACACATAAGGCTAAGAATACAATTTTTTGCACTGGTTCGACAAATGGAAATCGCTATTAGTGTCCTAGAACACATTGAACTTACTCTATTTTTTGTTCGTTATTCAATTAGAACCGCTTTCCAACTAAAGTTCAACTAGAATCAGTTCCAAAACGTTTCTTTTTGTTCTGAAGACCTGTTTGACCGAATTTGTTCACAATAAAAAAATCTTAATAAAATGGCCCTGAAGCACATCGAATGTATTTTTTTTAATTCACAATTCATTTAGAACCGGTTCTAGATCGACTCTGAACTGATTCTGCTTACGCATTTGTTCATATCGAACACATAAAAAAAATTATTATTATTATTATTATTACATTATTGCGCAGTTTAATTCAGAACTTATTCTAAACAAATTGATTATTGTTGCGTTTTTCCGAACACATTGAATTGTTCGCAGTTTATTTAAAACCGGTTCCAGAGGATTCTTGAACTGGTTCTCAGAGTTCCAAGTAGTTCGATTGCTGTTCCGAGAGAGAAAATCATAAACTGGTTTATTATTATCTATTATACGCATATGGTGCACAATTATTGTTCTAAACCCCATTCAACTTACTATAGAGTATAGTATATTGATTCCAGATCATTTCTGAACTGGTTTTTAGAGTTCCGAGTAGTTCCATTGTTGTTCCAAACTAGAAAAAATTATGAACCAACTAAATATTTTTAAACGCACGGTGCACGAGAATCCTTAATTAGTGTCCTAGATCACATTAACAATTCATTTAGAACCGGTTCTAGAGCATTTCAGAATTAATTTTTAGAGTTCCGACTTCTACAATTGCTGTCCCGAATACGGAATAAGCTAAACTGAATTGTATTGGAGCACATGGATTGTTCGTAATTCAATTAAAACTGGTTCCGAATAGATTTTGGAGTCTTGAACTGGTTCACAATCGAACAATCTTTAATTTGGGTCCCAGATCATTGAATTTACTGTTCTTTGTTCGCGGTGCAACTAGAATCAGTTCCAAATACGTTTTATTTGTTTTTAAACCCAAAAACCTATTCCGAACTCGTTTGCCTTTATACTCTTCAACATTCGAACTTACTCTATTTACTTCAAAGTAGTAAAAAAATACAATTTTGAACGATTTGCTTACTCAGAGGACTCCAAATATGGCAAATAGACTAATTATGTTCATGTTTGAGTATAAGCAGAGAAATAAATACAACTTTTTAATGAATAAACCTACTCTATTTACTCGAAAACATTAGTAAGAGTGAACAGAGTTAAATTTAGTGCACTAAACGAGAATCTCATACCAAATGGAGTAACTGTTAACGTTGCCCGATTAGTTTCGAACATAAAAAAAATCTACACTGGATCCAGAATTGGTGTTCTAGAGGCAACAATAAACAAAATTTGAGTAAAAAATGTCAATTGGAACGAAATCACCTCTGAAAAGAACGCAAACATAACCTACAAAATCCGAAAATGCCGGTAATGCAGGCACCTGCAACGATAAATAGAATTCTATTTTGGTTAAGTCATTTGTCATTTTTAAAATAAAATTCTATCAATCAAAGGCGTTTTTTCGCGAGGAGAATGGTTGAAACTACGGTTTGAACCAATTTGTAGAAGACGTCATTACTGGTGAACGCGAGAAAATGAAAGGTTTGAACACAGTCTTATGTCGGAGAACAAGCCAAGAGTCCAGTTCAAACTTTTTTGAACCAGGTTCAATGTGACGTCACTGGTTCAACACAAGAATGTACAGGTTCGGACCGAATTGAAGCGGATCGAACCAGTTCCACCGCGAGAAAACAGCTCAAGTCTTTGTTTTCTGCGATAGTTGTATTCCCTTTAGATGATACGCACCTACAGGATTGCTTTATCGACCTCATTTTTGGTAATCGCCGCCATGGCTCATGACCTTGCTCAGGGCGCACTCGCCGCGCTCTGCCTATGACGTCACCGATATCCATGCTCATACCGTTCGACTTAGGCCCGTATTCATAGTCGATGCTCAAGGTTGCGTTTTCGCTCAAGTACAACTTGACGCCATATTTGCGTTTCCAAACAGCACGGAACGATGCTCACAACTGTCAAAAATCGGAGCTTGAGCCAAGCACACGCCTTGGCTTAGTGGAGTGCAAAGCCAAACTCAGTCAAAGAGTCAAGTAAATGGAGCTCACTCCAAAATGGTAAACTTGAGGTAAGCTCAAGAAGGGAGATGATAAAAATTTGTGACATCAACCGCAGACCTCAACTCTCTTAAAATGCATTATTCGAGTTTAAAACATTTCAGGTCAAAAAACAAATTCCGAAACGTTGAAATCATATTCTCTACATTTAAAATCGATGAAAAAATAAACTCACAAGCATAGCCCGAATCGAAAGCATTCCATTGTGTTTGCTGATAATGATGACGTCATCTGCAGACCAACTGCCACTCGAACAACAATCATTCTTCTGAAACAATCGAACGTAGTTTTTTTTTTTAATTTGCGAGGTTGAGATTATTATTATTATATATGTTCCGATTCAATCCTACTCTTCCTCGAAAGCAAGTGCAGGTTGAACATGAACTAAACAGTTTGGTACTAACCGCAATTCACAAACGAACGCTCGTCAGTTCATTGTCATAACACAATCGAACGCCCCAAAGCAGGACGTGCTGCTCCGAACAACACAAACAAACGAACCTATTTTCTGTTAATTTCAACAACCTTGAGTTATCTGTTATCTGTCACTATTTATTCTACACGTAAAAATAGAGATAGGTATAGATTTTGAGCTATAACATAACTGTTAAAATAACAGGAGAGATAAGCCGGAGCCGCTTTCCAGTGACGAATTTCAAGGTGCTCCACCCACACCCGTAGCTTCACACTCTCCAAGCAACTATTGTTCCACTGAAACGCACCCTACTTCAAGCGGCTTATTTTTGATGCATCCATAAAATTACTGGTGCTTGAGAGGGCAGGGGAGAGGAAAAGCGAACAATTCAGTTGCGCGAAACTCTAATGCACTGGAACGCCTATATTAACAGCCCGGGGCACTCTAGAGTGCGTAAAGTGCGTCACTGGAAAGCGACTCTGATTAACCATAGGTGGGTTCGGCTTGCTCACTCCGTGCACTCCGAGTGACTCCATTCGCACTCCAGCCGTTCGGGTTAAGGTTCGGGTATTGCTTTTTACCGTATTAGGGGTGACTCCATTAGCTCTGTTCACTCCACTCCAACTCCGCGCTGAATAGCCGGACCCAGCTCAATAACGTTCATCAGTTCATTGCCATAACACAACGAACGCCCCAAAGTAGGAAGTGCTGCTCCGAACAACACAAACAAACAAAGTGTAAAAGTGATTGATCCAGATGACGTCAGTTTTATGTCAACAAAAACTGACGGTGACAGTTTGTAATAAATCGATCCGGAAACTTTTTTCTTTCAAAAATGTTTAGGTAGCGTTTAGATTCTGAGCAGTGAGTAGTGGTAGACTGAAAAAATAAATAGTTTAATTGAATTGCCGATAGAATATTAATGAATTAACCGTGTGTGAGGGAATGTAGAATTGAATTAATTAACATATTAATAGAGAAAGCGATTTATGTGCTTGTAACATTATTATTATTGTTTATTTGAGTGCGAAAAAGATACAGTAATTTTTTTCTCTTATCTTTTCGATAACAAACTCATAAAAATAAATCGATCAATTAATTTTTCTGAAAAATAAGTAAACGTAACAGCCTGATTTATTTAACAAAATCATTCATATCGGCAGCTTTTGAAGTAAATGTTTGTTAAACCTGAATTTTTAAAGATTCCATAGTTCATTCGTTTTTCGATTTTTTTCATTACACTGGACGTTGTACCTATTGTATGTAGTATTCAATAATTTAAAATTCAAAATACCGAGCATGGCTGCTCTTCAATTGAGTGTCCAATCTAATAGTGTAAGTTCCAGTTCAGAAAGTGAGGAGTCTATACCACAATGGAAGAAAGATCTTATAGCCAGACTGAGGAATCAGAATAGGAAAAGCGATGTAAGTGTAATTTACTTTTTAGTTATTTAAACAACCACTTGAAATAAATACTCAATTATTATACTTATTGCTCTATTTAATGATTATTTTTGCACTCTATGTGGTAAAGTAACTTTAAATTAATTCATACTTTGCATTCTAGTTTACCGCATAGTGTGTGGCAAAGTGCTACTTTCCACTTTCAAATAAGTGCGGTAAAGTACACTTTCCGCGCGCTCATACAGATCAAAGTTTAAACTCTAGTATACCGTTTTCTAATCAAGAGCTCAAGAAATCCTTGCAGAAATCATGCTTGAGGTTCAAAGTTAGTTTTCATTGTAATTTTACAGAAAAATAACTATTTTGTGAAGCACCCAATTTATTCACTTGCTTCTCATTTATTTAGGACCATAGCAACATACTATTAATAATTTATTATCCGACCAAAAATATGGGTAAGTAGGAGTCGGATCAATGTTGACTGAGTAAATATTTATCTTAGGATAGGTATTATGCACGAGATTGTGTGATTCAAAAATCACAGTGAATTTTTAATGCTGATCAAGCATTAGAAATTTATGGAATACCCTGTATATAATAGGTACTTACTTATAAGTAAGCTCCTAGATAAAAACACATTCTATTTTTAGTAGATAAGTACCTGGTACTCTATATTTAAGTATTTAGAATAATACAATTCTGATTAAAAAGATAAAAGCTATTACAATAATCCTATTACGTTTTTAGGACAATAAACAACAATGTTGTTAATAAATATCAGGAAAAATATTAAAAACTATTTAAACAGCAACTAGCAACATTTAATTGTTTTCCAATAATTACTTGTTTCTCTTAAATAGGAAAAGATGACTGGCAGTGAAAGTTTCAACCTCATTCGTGCAGATACAATTAATTTTGCATGCCAAATTCAATAGAAAATTAATAAATTTTTGCTGTAAAGCAAATGAACTTGTAGCCAGATTTGGGTTAAGTAATATGCAAATTAGTTTAATTAGAAGTAGCTATTGTCTTTACTGTTTGCAAATGTGTTTAATTTTCAAGTTAGGGACTTAAAAAATGGTCCCTCTACTTGTTGAAATTTTGATAATTCGTCATGTATTTTGGAGGAATTTGGAAGTTTCCAGTAGGTAAGTAGATAAGTACTTAGGTCCCTAGATGACATTTTTATTGGACTTTTTAGCAAGGTATTGGGTGGTTGAGAATTTTGAAGAGAAATACAATTTTCTTCCTGCTAATTTTTTTCAGTGAGTAGTACCTAGGTACAGTTGCGATCAAAAAAAACTAGTACAAGAAAAATCTCCAAAATCTCCTGGTCTATTATACATTAATTTAATTCATAACCATTTTTCGACAAGTTTTTAACCTAGAAAGTTTCAGGTGACAAAATTTTGACATTTTTCCACCCGTTTTTAACCTAGAATATATCATTGCCTGTCAAAATTTTGTATGTTACACCGGGAGCTCAAATTGGGGTTAATAATTTTTGTACTACTTTTTTTTGATCGCAACTGTACCTATATCTCTTATGTTATCAGATGTGTATATCAATCAATCAATCAATCAAAAATTGCTATAATAACATCTTATTCATGACCTTAAGGTGAATAAAATTTTGTCTTAATTTTTGAAAAATACTTTTAGCTCTATTTTTGAAAGGGCATAACTTTTTTCCTATTATAGATAGAATGCTGAAATTTTCAGTAATTCTTATTCCAGTGTAGGACTACAATCCCTGAAGCTCATTTGGACGTATACTTCCAGAAATAAAATCGTGTTAAGCAGTTTCGGGTGATTTATCAATTTTACAATTTTTCTGAGTGCCTTTTTCCATAGAATCCGGCTGCAAATCACAGAATAATTTAGTGTATGGTGTTTGGGGCCTTTGGGGGATCCCAAAGGACCATTGAGGCACAAAATCTCAACAAAAAAAATGTTGAAATTTCATCGTTTTAGTACTGAGGTACTTGAGGTAGCTACCGAGGGGTGGTTAACTCCTCAAAATATGTACACAGATTCAAATCTTCATTGATTTTGTAGGATTTTGAGGATTTTGAAAATCTTCATATGATTTTACAGGATTTAAGGTGATTTTGGAGCATTTTAGAGAAATGAGAAGGGTTTTTAGATCCTGGAGGATTTTTAGAGATTTTAACGGATTTTTGGAAATTTTGAAAGAATATTTTTTTAGGAATACATATTAATGATTTTATCAGATTTTGTCGGATTTTTTTTGTTCTAATAAAATTTTGTGTGATTTTGTGAAATTTTATGCGATTTCAAATGATTTTTAAGGGATTTTGTAGGATTTTGGAAATCTTTACACGATTTTACAGGAGTTTAGAAGAATTTAGATTTTCAAAATTTTAGGTGATTCTGGTGCATTTTAGGAGTTTTTGAAAAGTTTTTAGAGATTCTTAATTCAAATGACAAATTTAAATGGAAAAACGGAAATTTCTAGACATTTTACTATAGGATCTCATAATACTTTTCTGAATTTCATCAAATGTTTCTATGGAATTCCACCATAAAATTCAATAGAATTCTTGGACGAAAATTCCTCGGAATTACACTACATAAGAGATTTCATGAAATTCTTCGGCATTCCACTAAAATTTCAAGTTATTCCATTGAAATTCTCCGAAAATTTTAGTCAATTCCATAGAAATTCTTTAGAATTTCACCAGAAGATTTTATAGATTTCTTCGAAATTCCATTCAAGTGATAAATTTGAATGGAAAAACGGAAATTCCTGAAAATTTTACTTTTACTAAGATTTCATAATATTTTTCTAAATTTTACCATGGAATTCCACAATAAAATTCAATGGAATTCTTGAACAAAAATTCCTCGGAATTACACTATGAAATTTCATGAGATTCTTCGGAACTCCACTAAACTTTCAAGTTATATAGGAATTCCGCGAAAATTTTAAGTAATTCCATAGAAACTCCTTAACATTTCACCAAAAGATTTTATGGAATTCTTGGACAAAATTTTTTCGAAATTACAGCATAGGATTTCATGAAATTCCTCGGAATTCCACTAAAATTTCAATTTCGAAATTCCATAATTTTTTGTTTTAACTTTACTGAAATTTCCCAAAATTTCACCACTGAAATATCCTGGAATTCCACAAAATTTTCATAAAATTCTTCGGAATTTCTTAAAAATTCTTTGGAATTCACTAAAATTTTATGAGAATATTTTGAAATTTCACGTTCATAGCCGAAGATTTCTGTCCAATGAAACTTCAAGGAATTTTTCAAAATTTCATTTATTTTCATAAGAATTTTTCGGAATTTTACTGAAATTCCCTTGTAATAGCCAGGAATTTCTGGGAATATTAATGAAACTTCAAGTAATTTCTTGAAAATTTACCGAAATATATTGAAATTTCATGTCATTAATTGGGAATTTTTCGGAATATCACCGAAATTCCATGTTTTTAGCCGGAATTTCCTCGGCATTCCACCAGTAAGAACTGAAATTTCATGGTGGGCATTTCGGTGTAATTTCATATAATTGTTTAGAATTCCTCCATGAAATTCATTTAGGATTTCGTGTAATTCGATCGGAATTTTACTGAAATTTCATGTAATTCGAGAGACTTTAACAGATTTTTGGAGATTCCTAAATTTTTTTGGGAATTTCAAAGGAAAGATTTTTTAGGAATGTTAATGATTTTATAAAATTTTGCAGGATTTTTTTGGTTTTAATGAAATTTTGTTAGATTTTGTAGGATTTTATGCAATTTCAAGAGATTTTGTGTCATTTTGTTAAATTTTTAAGGATTTCAAACATTTTTAGGGATTTTCAGTAGATCTTATGAGATTATCTGGGATTTTGACAAACTTGTACATTTTGACCAGTTAACCACCCCTCGGTAGCTACCTTATGATTTAGGTTTTGGAAAACTTTGAAACGTCATACATTTTTTTCTATTATAGATAGAAAGCTGAAATTTTCAGCGATTCTTATTTCAGTAGAGGACTAAAATCCCTGAAAATTTCAGCGCATTTGGACTTATAGTTCTAGAAATAAAATCGTGTTAAGCAATTTGGGGTGATTTATCAATTTTTCAATTTATCCGAGTGCCTTTTTCGGCTTTTTCCATAGATTTTGACTTTAAATCTCAGAAAAAATTGTGTCCATTTTTTTCCAAAATCGGTATGGTTTCAGGGTACTTATGGCCTTTATGAATTGAGAATATCGAAAAATTTGTTTCAAATTGAGTTTTTATTTTTTTTTTTCTGAAGATTTTTGATAGAACATATAAGGTTGTTTGAGAGAGGTAAAGTCTGTTTTTTTTTTAAAGATAATTCCCCAAGTCAAAAATTTAGTAACTATGTTGGCAACACAAGCCTTTTCTACTAAAAAAATTTGAGAGCATTGACAATTTTACATTTTATTGCCAACATAATGTCATTTTGACTTTTATCCGAGCTTTTATCTTTAAAAAAAAACACACTTTAGGTTGCCTGATAACTTTATGACGTCATCTGGGAGACCTCAACATTATGCAAATCTTCATAAGGCACCTAAAGGCTAAAATTTCAATTTAGTTTCAACAGTTTTGCAGCTGAGAACCTTCAAAGTTGAAATTATCGAACATTGAAAATTTGCCAAAAATGACACTGAGACAGTTTTTGTGGTTTTTAGGCACATATTTCAAATTTTATGTTTGAAACTGTAAAGTAAACCAAATATCTTGTGGGGGAGGTACATGTTTTCTTAAATGTCAAACACCGCCTGTTTTAAAATCATTCAAAATACCCAACTGACTCGAAAACAAAAATACATGAACAACATTATGTAAGGACCCAAGTGAAATTATCCGAAAGTGGGTCTTTTGTGCGGATATTCTGCATTATCCTGCTTAAGTGTAAAATGGATTATTATCATTCGTGTATGCAGTAATAGATTTATTATGCACAAATTCAGAAGTTTGAAAAGATTTAATAGATAAATAAAATTTCTATGCAAAAGTTGAAATTAATATT